TACGAAAATATTCTTGGTAACGGCGAATTTACATTTCATACAACATGAATTTTGTTCTCACCATTGGGTGCATTTATTTTCGATCACAGGCGAATTTACTTTCCGGAAAGACTGTATAGCCTTAGCATGGTTTGCCTTGTGGCAATAAAAAGGAGTGTTTTGACATGCCCTTTGCAGTATGCAAAAATGAAACGTCGCTTACTAAAGTCGATTCCTTGAGTGAGGTGGAGCGACTTCATGATTGGTAGAAGCGGTGTCAATAAGAGCATAGTTTTTACTATAAAAAAGCAAAGTCCGTGCCATATCGGCGCAACGCGGTCGTTAAGTATGGCATCAGGTCACCAGGACGCAGCAGAGGAAGCTTGTCTAACTATACACCTTTCTGTATTAAATGTGTAACGATACACGAGACGTGGAGCTTTCGGATGATACGATGGGTGTACCAATAATCGTAAAATTACCTGCTTGTATACCTACGGCGAAAGCGGACGTACGAGCCTCAAGGGTCTTAAAAGCTGTAACAGCGCATTGAACAGAAGGAGCCTCAAAAAAAGCTGCAGGAAGTATAAGTTATTTGAGTTCAAAAACAGCTCGGCGGGTGACACAGATCGCGAGGTTGATCTTACATTGTCTGGGCGATGCACTGTATGCGTCTAGTGACTGATTAGACTTTTGTATATGTATATCCGAAAAAAAAAAATTCCTTTTTTAATGTACTTCCGTCCTGTGCCAGATCGGATAAATCCTCGCTTTTTTCTTGTTTTTTTTGTTTCCTTTATACTACTATAGGTGATCATGGTAAAGAAGCTTTTGTTTATTGGAATCTGGATGATATTGTCTCTTGCGTATGTGGTTCATGCAGATAGGCCCGTAGCTATACATCACTGTGGCGAAGTGGACAATTGTTCAGGGTGTGTGAAGAACTGCCGTCATCTTTGTAAAGATTTTATAGAAGAATGCAGATTGGCAATAGCAGCATGTTTGTTAAATTGTGAATTCTTTTGTGGAGATTCTTTACGTCTACAAAGCAATGAATGTAAATATAGTCAATAATATATATATATAGAAATAATAATAATATATTACGCTTGTAGAATGTAGCCTCGGTTGTTGTCAATCCTTTCTTTACTTATTCAAACTTGTACTACATGAAATAAAATGCATAAAAATAAGCTTTTTTTTCTTTTTTTCCTTCTTTCTTTCTTTCAAGTCATACTGCTATAAGGGGATATGAAAAAACTTATTCTTTATATAGCACTTTTACAACTTATTGTATCAGTTACTTGCCAGATAGACTGGTCGAAGCCAGTAGCAAACGTCTGTCTTGAGCTATATGCACCTGATTTTGGAGCAAACAATGGCAGGATTGGTATCTCGAAGGATGGCTATGGCAAATGGGCATTAGATAGTGATAATCCTTGGCGTGAACGCTACTTTAGGTTCTACAAGTGGGATAGAGGCTATATGAGAAGCAGAGTTGAAAATATATGGCCTGTTGATGCAGTTGTCTTGAAAGGAAAAGCTGGCTATTATATCAAGACAGGTTGCGATGACTATAGCGTTTATGAACCATGGGACTGGGAATCAGCAGATCTTCTTAGACTTTCTTATGTAGAAGGAAGTAGAAGGTTTAAGATCTGTCACTTCGAATGGCCTGATATATGTTATGGAAGAAATTATAATCATAAGCTTCAATGGATTTATAGTGATACTTATGGAAGTGACCATATAGAGTTTGAAGCATGGCCTGTAGATGAAAGCTATTGTACGGAACAAGACGGCTAAATTACAAAATAATAATAAAAAAGCTCATCTTTTTTTTCTTTCCTACTATAATGTGTGTGTCATGTATATGCTTGATACTCTTGCTATTCGTAAAACAACAAAGATAATCAGAACAGACAGAACGGTGCCTCTAAAGGCTATGTGTTCAAACTACTAGACGAACATTATAAAATTATGTATGAAGTATAAAATGGGAAGTTTGTTATTAAGGAGGTGAAGACCATTAGTGAATTTACAGAAAGTCTGTTTGCTGCACGAAAATTGAGGAGCGAGAAATCAAAAAATGTAATTCAAAGTTCAGTCAATTCGCAATCATTTAAATGGAGGACTAAGCTGCTCTGCTCTTCATTTTTGAATCTTACTGCAATTTAAAAGATGATATTGATGACCGCGGTCACAAATAAAGAAATTTGATTGTGATGGCGGTACGCAAGGTAAATCAACCTTTTAATAAGAGACATAGTAGTTATTGCAAAGTATTAATAACCATTCTTCATTTTATCTTAAAAGACGTAGTCTCAAACATATAAACTACAACAAATAAAATAAGATTAGGATTAATTGACTATACTAGTCTGCCAATCAGGCCAAATGACATTCGTTAATTTGTTGGGTAAACAAATTCGAATAACACAATACATGGTATATTAATGACATAATCCATAGTTATAGAGCCAACAAGCAAATCAAGAAACTTGCTGTTGATACAGGCGCAGCAGAAAGGGTTGCGAGAAGAGATCACTGGTATGATTCCAATAATAAATTAATAAAGCATCATCATTCGATCTCTGTGAATGATTTACGTACCTGATCCTTATTATTATATCTTCTACAAATATTGCTTCATAAACCAACATTATTTTGATTTGAAAGGAGTTAAAACTATCCTTCACGCTTACAAAAACTAATTACCAGTGAGCATAAACTAGAAAAAATGTAAGCAGGTTACATGAAAAGTACTATAGCATCCATCCATCAACATTTAGTTACTAGGAGTAAATGCTTAAACTTTGGGAGGAGAATTGTGTTCGGTACGATGACGAAATACTTGAGGTCTGCCACATCCACGAAGGATGCAGTGACGATCTTGAAAATATTTTTCGAAGTATTTATATTACATTGCCAAAGCAATCCACATTATGTGCAGGATTGGATGCCATGGGGGTTTACAAAAGCAGCTGTGAATGTCATATTTCACAAGAGTTGCAAACCTATAGATAGTTAAGTAGGATATTCAAAATTAGAAAATAACGCTTTGCCTTTGACGTTCTGAATCCATCGACTGCTACAACTATAACATCACCTTACTTTTCTCTTCGTTTCAGTGCTCTGTATACACACCTGCTACCCCGTTATATGCCCTTTGAATTTAACATTGTTCTTTCCGAACAATCCAGAGCCGAAGGCAACCACAGGTATTTTCTCTCTGTCATGCGTGTTTATTTGTGGCCTCCACTGCTTTTCGGGCCTATTGACAAACAATTGTAAATTGTCAAAAAGATACATTGCTGCTTATATAGCCGTATCTTTCGCTACTTTCTTCATCTTTCTTCTTTTCTTTTTTCTCCCTTTCCACTTTTTCTTTCTTTCTACTTCTGCGGTTCTTCCTTGTATTTTTTTTTCTCCTATCCTTATTGTACTTCTTTCCACTGTTGATCAATATATTGATCATTTCTTCTCTAGCTCGTTGAACCCCTTGATAACAGCAAAAGCGTCCCTCGGCTGTTTCATATCCATAAAAATCTAATATTTTCTGAATATTGGCTATTATATATGTCATATACATATGATTTTGCGTCAAAGATGTAGTCTTGGTCGAAGAGATGTTCAGCAATACATTTTTCATTCCTTTCTTATCTATTCTTTTCTGTTCTTTTCTTTGATGATGAATGGACCCAGTGTAATTGTAGTATTCCGCTGTCGAGACTCTTCTTATTTGATGAGAATTTTCTCCTTCGTTATAGGATGCTGCGAATGCATGTTGTCTACCAGGGTCTAAACCGCACAGCGAGAAGCTGTCAACATCACCAGGTTTTAAGACATCACTCAGAAGCTGTATGTCAAAGGTACTGTCTGAGCTTTGTTCAGTTACATCTTCATTATTGCTCACGTCCTTATATAACACTACATCCGCTGCAAAGCCATCAGATCTGATTAGATTAGCAAATGCGGTTTTATTTTTTGCTTTTGGCTTTTTTAAATCTTCAAAACTATATTCATTATGATCAACTATTAGTACATAGATATATGCATGTGCATGTGGTTCATTAATAAATACCTGTTCACATCCAAACTTGACAGGTCAAAGACAGTATTGAACATGTTAAGTTTAGCTTCATAGCTGCTTTGTTTAGGCTTGCTAGCAAATGATGACAGTGTATTGGGGTTTATTGATACGAATCGCCATTACAAGGATGGCACAGGGAACAAGGAGAATAGCCGGGCCATATAACTTGGTTTTTTTTTGTTGGCCATGTTCTTGGTTTTCTTGCTGTTTTTGATTTTCCGCCATATATCGCTTAAGTATCTCTCTAAGCATTGGTATATATGATCCCGGAGATGCAGCCAAGCTTTTGACAGTAACTGGCTTAGGCATTTCTATTTTCAAAAGATATTTACAGAGAGAATTTATGGCAGTTCTTTCAGCGATCGTTATATCTGTAACATCCTCGTGCCATGTTGCTTGACCATCACAGATATACTGGTAGCCATATTCAGCAAGCCTTTGAACATATTTGCTATTTGAATATGTATTAGAGTGCATTAGAGCGAGTAGTGTACAATATAAGCGCTCGATGCTTATTACCTGCTTTACTGATGTTCTGATCATACGAATCAAATATGTCATAAGCCTTGATTGAAAACATTCAACAATCATATTATGATAGTATGTCGCTACTTCAACACAGACAGCAGTCAGGCATTGACTGTATCCGGTAACAGAATTATCCATTCTATATATTATTTCTTTGTATCGACTTGAGAAACTTCCCCAGCTGCTAAAAATGCCGTCTGGAAGTGACTTTTTGTTTGTTAGTGTTTTGCCCAATACCAATTGACTGATAGAATGCCAGTAGTTCTGAGTGAAAACCTTTTTATCGACAAGTCCGTTGTGACTCATGATTTAGTAATTCACAAAAAGTTAGGCACGAACTAAAATGTTCCTAATGCCTTTGGATACTTTGACTATTTTGTCTTTTGTTTTTCTATGAGAAAGACGCAAAATAGTCTCTAGTTTTGTTTTAACTATTGTTGTCTTTTGATTCCCCGTGAGCTGCTGAAGTTCTTCTTGTTAACTTTTGATTTGGGTATAAGGAAGATCTTGCATTCTTGTGTCCCTTTTGGTGGCAGCCTGTACAAACAATGTCTTTTTCTTGCCAATCATTTCCATCGTATTTCTCTTTTTCTTTCTTTTCTTTGTTGCTCTCAATCTTCTCTCTTTCACTCATCCTCTTTCTCTTAGTTTTACCTATAATATATGGATGATGTTTATAAAGTCAAAGATGACTGAGACTTTTATTTTTTTTTTACTTTTGGATGAGGCTTGTTGTTTCTCATTTTCTATTTCCTTTTTCTCTCATACATTGCTTTAAGAATACTACAGACTTGATCGCGCATTTTGTTTAAAATATGGAAAAAAAGCTAAAGAATAACAGCAATTGTAAAAGGTGTCTTGACATGGTTCTTTTTTAACAGTAATTTCTATTTATCAAATAATCTTTCTATCTACAATGCTATGCTCATTTTACCATAGTTCTTTCACTTCTCTTCTCTCAAGCTCAATACATGAATGGCATCAAGTTTAACAGAGGGATTTCCTCCTTCTTTTAAGTGCCTATTTACTTGTATAATTCTCTTAGACAGAACTGTAAAGTTGCTGTTTATTAGATAAAAAAAAACTAAGAAGCAAATATAAACAATGATTTGGCATATCCAGCGTGAGTGTAGCTAATGCTCTGAAAATATTGTGCAAAAGCATATTGTTGACGCAAACTACCACTTCTGCTTCTACTACTGCCTCCTCAGAAAAGATCGATGTCACAGACACTTCTATTGCTGTATTCAATAAGAATGTCTGCAGTAATTTCTTCCATTATGCTCAGCTTATGGGTGCGTCTATTGTCCTCTCTAACTATTCTCATTCTCATCAAAGGGTTGGTGATAATGTAGGGTGGACCACTTTCCGCAGAGTCATTGTTGCTTGACCTGACCTCACTGTTAATGTTGGAGCTTCAATGGTTGCTCAATATTTCATATGCATGGCGATAAATACGTGCGAAAGGGCTGCATTAAGCAAACATAGTTGAAAGGTTTCCTATAATTTCATGGTCCAGATTTTCATTCCTTTCTGATCGTCTCTGAGCAGCATACAAAGGATCATAGACGTACAGTTGAGAATACGAAGATACTTTGCCCTCAACTGGAAGTAGAGGCCCTTGGCGGTGACAAAGGACGCCAAGGATCTGGAATGCGTTAAGTCCACCTCTGTTATTGCTGGAATTATGTTCCTCAGCTGAGACAATGTCACATCCCAAAGAGCTAAACGCAGAGGCAGCGTTATACTGGCGAAGGCTGTCCTTGAAGTGACGTCCTTGGGTGTCTGCATGCTCGAGCAAGTCCTTCAAGTATTCAGGTGGATCGGGCAAGAGCTGCAGCTGGACTGATCCCTGCTTGAAACACGATTCCCAGCTGGGATTTCTAATGGGAGATATCTCTTGCCTTTCATTAATCCAGTGCAACGCGTGACAGTGGGGGCACTCTTTGTCCATACGCCCAAGGACCAAAGGACGAAGGCGAGAAATCTGCGAGATGCAGGCAGCAGGTATTGCTCTGGGTCTGCCTCTGGGTCTACTTTCAGCATCAGAAGACTCGACTGTTCTTGCCCTTCCTCTAGATCTAGTAGCGGCGCCAGCTTCTTGTTGATCTTCGGCATGACGTCTGCGGCAAGATGCTGCTACTCGCTCTCTGCATGTCTGACAGGCACGATAAGCTGAGCTGCTTTCCAAACCCATGCCACAGGCGGAACAGTTGGCTGGGATCCCAGTAATAGTAGTAGTATTGTTCATTGTTATTATATTCTAATGTTTGTATTAGAGTGATATTAGAGTTATTCTATTATTTCTTTTATTTAAACAAACTAATTAAAAATTCTACACGCAAAGAATTTCATCTTTATTCATTTCGATGACGATGAACATCCTTTGTCACAGTAAAGTGATCAATGATTCCACCCAAAGTACCATCAAGGTTAGCTTTACGGTGAATCATTTCAAGCGATGTGGGTGACACTTTAAATGTAGAGAAGCCATAGCCTTCGTAGCGAACAGCTGAGAAATCAGGGAAAGGTCCATTGCCAAATAGAGCGGGACCTTCAGGTTGACCAGCATTCCCGATGATCAACTGGAAGAAGCTCGGTGCATTATGGTATGATTTTGACGTAACCTTGCCGTGGGCAACAGGGTATGTTCTTTCATAGTTATGAACATGGCCACTACGGACATATTATATTGTTATTATCAACCAACAACCATTGGATTTTTTCTTACCTGAGGAATATATCCACATTATACTTCAATAGTATATCCTCTATTCCTCCCCAAGTTTGGTTATTTTGGCCGGGACCGCTTCTGATGGTGGCCGCTTTGGTGGTACAGTCCGTGCTGTTTGCAGAGCAATACATAGGATGATGTGTCATAACAATAATCCAAGGTCGCTTATCACGATGTTTATTTGCTTCTTTGAGATCAGCCTCTAACCAATTAATGCCTGTTTGAATTTCTTGTTCTGAGCCTTCAAAGTAAATTTCAGTTGAGAAAGAGACAAGATGAAGCGATTTATAGTTGATGGAATACATCATTGAGTTGGAAAACTTGGATTCAGCATAAGGAACAATATTGAATCTATACACAAATAATTAAGCAAAAAAAAAGAGATTAACCACCTCACTCTTTTACCTATTTTTATAGTGGGAAAAATTATAAGCCGATTCATGATTGCCAACAGCGCCCAAGTAAGGCACATTAGCGAAAAGTTCTTGCATAAAATTCAGGTACTCGTCTCCTTTTGTTCCATTAAAGTCTGCCATATTGTAAGCTTGATCTCCTGCAATGGTTACAAAGTCATACTTGTGGGTTTTGCCGTATTTCATCATATGGGAGACTGCTACCGCATTGCATGCACCCTACAAACCATGTAAAGGCCCATATTCAATACAACACTCTTATACTTACCACATCGCCAGTGGCAATGAAACTAAAGTCCTTTTTCAAGGAAGCAGTGTGAAATTCGTATATTTTTGACCATTTGATAGAGTTGCCTTTTTTAGCACCAACTTGATACACATATATTGTGTCAGGTTTAAGCGTCTTTGTTTGAATATTGTGCAAATAAAGTTGTCTTTGAGCGGAGCCTCCATCAACAAAAATCCAATCCTACGCTATTATTAGTATAAAGCTAACATATAGAATTTTATACTGTACCTTGCCAGTAACTGTAGTATTCTTTTGAGTGTGGTTCCCCTGCTTTTTTGGCCAATAGGCAAGAACAGAGCTGTCAATTGAATCCAGAGTAGCAAATTGTACACGAGCAAACTTAGAGTCATCTGCCAGTGACATGTGAATCTGTTGGGGCTCTGTTGGAGCGTATGTATGGTTCCAGTTATTTCCCAAGTCATTATAGGCATCAGCATAGCATACAGCACCAGGGCTACCATTTGCAGCGTCTTCCTCTTGGGATTTGGCTGCTATGGTTGAGCATTGAGCTATAGTCACAAATGCAAGTACTAATGTAAGTAGATATTTCATTAATACAAAAAGTACAATAAGGAGAGAGATGAAAAAGATATAACAAATCTATCTATTTTATACTCATACAGAATCGCTCTTGTCTAACTTTGGAAAGTTTGTAAAACATAGAAAAAAGACATGATAGCAGCAGCAACTTTTTGTTAAAAAAGACCAAAAAGTAGATTTGCATATGCACACATCTATGCCGATCCGCCTTTATCCCTCCTCTTTTTTTCCCCTTCTTTACTTTTGCAAACAAGAGATAATACATTGATACTGCAAGTGTAAACAAGTTGAACCTGCATGATAAAGATAGTCCAATTTGATTGGCTGATTTAATAATCTGTTACTTGGCACATGTGCGATATGAATGATTTTTTTAATCAATTTTGATACAAGATATTTCATGAATCAATCCTCCCAATAAACCTTCATCTGTGCTTTTTAAATCGATCGATAGAATAGCAAGTTTAGGCTCTGAATCAACCTGCAGGGTATACTTCAAAAGACCAGCCACTTGAGCACCTTGAACAGTTTTACCATATAAAGACGCAGCTCCAGGAACAACTTCTACTACATTTAATCCACTTGTTGCCGTCACCTTGTTGAGTGCCTTGATTAAGATACCTTCAATAGATGAAGTCTCTGAAGGCAAAGGTACTTCAATCGATGCATTCTCATGGTGTTCAAATTCATCACCATGTTCAGCCAAGAGCGTGGCAAAATGAATTGGATCCATTGGCTGCTTGCTGTTCAAGAACAGACTTGCAGGGATAGGTATCTCAAATGGGCTCTGGTTGATCGTAGATGATTCCTATACTCAATAGATTAGCTTTCATATCATATCCCACGTTCTTTTTCTGTACCTCGACGTCATAGAACAAAACTCCTCGAATGCATAACCCTGGCCTTACGTTTCCAAGGATCTCAAAGTGTGCTATACATTCAACAACCTCATTCGCCTGCAGTTCAAAGGTTTCTGTTGCATAAGCGATGTGAGTTGGAACATTGTCCTGAATCATCTTTAGGTCAAAAGATTCAGCAAACTCCAAATGCAGTTTTGGAAGCATCTTTTCTTCACTGAGGTTGCGTATACTAAACTGTATAACAACAACAGGTGACTCATCTGATTCTAATCGAAGTGAACCCATCTATCATACTCCTTTTAGTCTATCTTTTACCAAATAAATGATCTTCGTTTACCATTCGAACATAGTCAACTTCCAACACCTTCATTTCTTTAAACATGTCGACCTGTTCTTGTCTGTCTACTAGAGCTTCCCTTACATCATTATCTATCGTCACTAAATCATTTTGTCGAGCTGTTTCTGTATCGCTTGTCTTGTCACTCTATCAGACCATAGTTTAAATCATGCAATCAATCTGTGTAATTCAAATGCTACCTTTGCTTTCTTTGTGCTCTTTTTCTTTTTCTTTTTTTCAGTGCTGCCTTCTTCCTTGGAGGCTTTTGATGATTTTTTAGATTTTTTAGCTTCTAATGTCTTTTCATTCTTTTTCTATTGATAGCGGTTAGCAACATCAGATAAAGTATATATACCAAGGCTTACCTGAAGAGCTCTTAATTGTCGGCGTTCACTTCTATACTTTGCTTCTTCCTGAAGGCGAAGTTCTTCAGGGCTAAGGTATGCTTTCACCTGCTGGAATTTTTCATCTTCGCCCAATGGAGTAGACAAGTCAACATTATTAAGTCCAGCTTCTTCTGCGTTGTCAAATATATCTCTTGTTGACTTTTTGGTATACAATGCTGCTTTTGCCTTGTTTTTGCGATTGCTATTGTCTTCTTTCTCATCTTCAGATACAGCCGCATCTTCAGGCATCTCTTCTTCTGCATAGACAGGAAGCTTGGGAGGTGACTTGGGCCTCTTAGATCGCTTAGTTTTCTTTGTCTTTTTTAAACTGCTAGCTCCTATACGCATCTTTGTTAGCATTTGTAAGTAAATCAAGAGATGTGTATGCATACGCGAATTGATTTCTTCCACATTTAATTCTACGACTGGAATTGAATCAACATCAATAAGGCCCTTCTTATCATCTGCCATGATATAATAAGGGTCGTTTTTACGTGCTTCTCTTCTAGCAGCACGACGCTACACATGACACTGTCAAATTGAATCCATAGTTCTTTTTTTTTCATAACTTACTCTCTCTTTTTCAGCCTCATCCTCACTACTTTCGTAACCCTTTGACTTGGATTTCTTCTTTCTTGAGCTTTTACCAACCTTTTCATACTTGGGTGCTTCCTCAAACGAGCCATCTGACTCAGCATCTTGCACTAAATCAGGCAAAGGTTCATTGATCCACGCATCCAAATCCAAACCCTCAGGAACAGGAACCTTTGACTGTGCCTTGGGAGCAACAGGGTTCAATTCATATAGGAAGAAGAGCTTGGGGAGGTCCTGCAAAACAAGTGGAGCGTCTTCTAAGGTGGGGTCACTTGTTGCATCCAAGACGATCTTGAACAATGATTTTACATCATGAGCTCTTTCTTGTACCTCAAGATCGGCACTGTAGATAAACATGTCCATCTTTTCATACATAATCTGCGTCACTTTGACAAACTCGCTTTGAAGCTCGGCATTCCATTGTGATATCAAATCGGTTGTCCAGTATGCGTATATCTTGATAACACTATGTACATAGACTGTCTGAACTTTCACGGGCAGATTAGCTGCTTGTGGCGATAAAAGACATTCGAGCGTAGACGGAATGTCCTCTAGGTAACTATAAAATGATGTTAAACATGTGAATCAAATTGACCGAGAAATGACATACTTGCAGTATTCACCACAGATCCAAGCGGCTGCAGATAATATATCGATATTAGAATCTCTCTTCTTGGCAGTTTCCAAAAAGTGTTTATCTTGCAGTAAATTGTACTATTTTATCGTTTAATTCAATGGATTCTCTCTTTTATGTATAACGTCTTACCATTTGTTTAACAGAATAATCCCGGACACTCTTTACACGAACACTAACATCCATCAATTGATTTGTCAACAGTTCACCCACGTTCACACCTGCTGAATAAGCAATATCAACAAGAACTGAGATATACCATTCAAAGTCATTCAGATTGTGGTAGTGATTCTGAGAGCACATGAATACGATTCGGTTGATGATATCCATACGATACATTGGATCAAAGATGGCAGAAGAGTCATGCAATGAGATCGATTCTGTTTTTTTAGGCATAATATGCGATATCAACTTTTTTACAATGTCCATGATATTCTTACGATTCACCATGCCAACAACAAGGTCAAGTGCTCGTATGCGAATACTGAGATCTTCATCGTCAATACACTCTAAAATGATGTCTCTATGTTCGGCCACTAGTTTTGGATGAGTTGCTAATAGTCTTCCCATGGCCAATAGCCCAACATACTTTACTACATAGTAACCATTTAAAAAAAATGGCAATCACTTGATAGTATATAACTTACAGTTTTGATCAGGATCTTCTAAAAATTTCCTTAGCTTGTTTGTACAAGTAGCAGCTAATGCATTACCCGCCTCACCAGCAGCTTCAAGGAAACCACCGGTGATAACAGTATAGATGCATTCATAAAGCAATGACATGGCAGGTGTTGTTTGAATAAGCGATGTCAGTGGTGGAAGTAGTTTTTTAATCAATCTTGGCTCGAGCGGTGTCAAGGAAGCAAACTATAAGATGAATAAATAATGTGACTCTAAAGACTCTTTCTACTTTTCCGTACCAGTTTAATGATTTTGATGAGCATCCAGTTGTTGGTAGAAGTTGTCAGAATCTTGAATAGCTGAGGTGCAAGTGACAAATAATTCTTGGGGTTCTTTCTTGCTAGTTCACATACAACACTAACGACAGCTGAGACAACAGCTATCAAGAGAGGATCAATAAAGGCTCTATATTCAATAGTATAAGATCTTACATGGATCAGGATCTTCCAGCTTTTCCTTTAAGCGAGGGAAACTCAATCGTAAGGCTTCAGGATACTTTAAGAATATCTTGTAGAGAACTAGAATAACTCTTTTACGAATATAAGGTCGTGAATGATTGAGCATGGATACCAAATCAGGAGAAAGGTCTCTAGCCAAGTCAGGTGTTGCAATATGAGATAAACCGTTAAGGGCAACACTAATGTCAACCACAGCAGGAGATGCCAAATCCTATTTCATACACACACACAATAAAATTCTACTCTCTCTTTTTTTGTCTTGTTTTTAACTTACTTTTTTAATCAAATTAGTTGTAAGCATGAGCACATCCGTGTCTTGCTGAAACGATAGAGTAGCTGCCAAATAACCTGTTTGTTTATGAGCAAATTTAGCACTCGACATGACTTCTACAATGTGAAAAGATGCCCATGACATGTCATAACCGAGCATTTGCAGCTAACGCCAACATGAGTTTATATACATGTGCAATTGTTTAGAGTATTTACATAAGCAAGCTTAGCAATAGCAGTAGATTTTATGTCCAAGTCATTTGATTTCACTTCATTTCGTATCTCTTGTAAACACACAGCAATATATTTTTGCTCATTTTTCTTGTTTGCTCTTATGCCTCGAATAAGGTCTGTCAGAGACTTTTCAAACATGTTGCAGAAAAAGAAAGGACGAGGCTATTGTTGCGTGCAAGCACGAACGCCCAACCTTGTATTCGGGCGGAGAAAATAATGGGTGTAACGATACTCCTCCATGTTTCAGCCTTCTGATGAGCTTTTTATTACATTAAATACAATAATATAGGTTATGATACAATCTGTAAAAAGATGATTAAATTCGAAATCTGTAATCTAAACGATTAGATCCTTCATCCTTTGTATGCTTCAAGTAGTCCTGCTTCTCGGCTTCAGTCAAACTATCCCATTTCTTTGAACGATACTGGTTTGTGAACACATAGCGGAAATGTTGGACTATCAAAAGAATAGCAGATAAAAGAGCGATACTGAAATTGATCCAGTTTCCTCTTATGAATCTAGGGGAATCGCTTTGTTCTATGAAATAACAATTAATCTTTTTTTTTTTTTCATTTTAATAATGGCGTGCTTACGGTATATCTGTGATCCAGGAACACTGCAGATATTAGCAGCGCCAATGACAGCGCCAAGAGCAAGGACACGCTTACTGTGAGGTGCAAGATTAGACGACATCCAAGCGATATGCATACCGTGCCAATAAGGAGCCGAGGCTGCAAACAATGTTGCTGCATAGAAATTCCAGCGACCAGCGCCATCAGGTACAAGGATCAAAGACAAAAAGCCGGCCATGGCCCAGGCACAGCCAAAGAGACCATGAAAAGCATAATTTCCTATTCTATCGGCGTTTCTGGCAACGATGATGGAAACAATAAGGTTTATGAAGAAGGCAGGTACTGTAAGCAAGTTGCTAGTCGTAATTGAAAAGCCGTATCCTCTGATAAGCGTAGGAAAGTATGTTGAAATAGGCGTGGTATGCATCATGCTTGTGAAGGTGATCAGAAGATGCGTCCAGAGCTTGGTGTCAAGAACAGCCATTCGTACATCACGCCATGTTATGCGTTGGTTCTGTTCGAGATTGTACTTGTCGTCACTGATAATTCTTGTAACAGCAATTGCCCTTTCGCGTTCTGTAAACCATCCGTATTTGCCACGAAGAAGGCCTCTTGTTGTAGATGGACTTTTTGGGAGATAAAAGCTAAGGAGCTGACAATCAGTTGGGATAACTTTAAGTATTCAATATTTGCCTTACATCGCAATAAATCCAACAATGTGAGTAATGATGCCATCAATAAGAAACAGCCATTTCCAACCATAAAGACCACCGACACCTTCTAGTCTAAATATGCCAAATGATATTAAGCCAGAAAAGGCAGAAGCAAATGATTGAATACCCCAAAACCAGGAAAGACGTGTTGCTAATTCACTGGCCTTGTACCAAGATGTAAAATATAATAAACAAGTAGGGATAAATCCTCCCTCAGTTACAGCAATGAAGAACCGTGTGGCAAGATATCCGCTATAGTTCTTTATCCAAAAAAGAGATTAAAACGTGCTATTTCAATATATATCAAACTTACATGAAGAAAAACGTGAGCCCACGTCACGATAGCCCAAGAAAACATCAAGAAAGGGATCCATCTGTGTGGTCCAACACGTTTAGCGATTGGGTTTGTTATCAACGTGATGACAGTAAATACTATAGAGTATAGTAATGTTCCTGTGTTGATACCATTGATGTTAAATCCCAAGTGTTCTGGCATATTATCAGAGATGGCATTGGCTACAAGAAAGAGATAGTCAGCCAATATATATAAAGAAGAATGATTTAACTTACATATATTAGTTCTATCCATATTAAGTACGAATGTCATAAGCAATACAAAGGGCATCAACTTGAGATCGATCTTTAAAAGAACCTTTGCCTCTTCTTCTTTAGTCCATTCCAAATGAGGAACATAACCATCTATGTCACTTTTATAGTCTTCAGTAGAGTATGTAAACGATGTCGCAGAAGAATCGGTCAACTTTGTCACAATATGTTTTTCATAGGCTACGTCAGTAGTAGTTTTGTCACTAGTGACATCCTTTTTATCTTTTAAAGAAGTCATCAATGGGATAATATTGTTTAATAAAAAAGGAAAAGAAAAGAAAAATATGACCCTCCCTCTTTTTATAATCTCTAGTTGAGAACTAGGACAGATAAGAACATAACACATTATATTACCAATATCTACATATCATATTTAAAGGTGATTATGCAATTTATGCAGGGAAATAGACACTTTTTCATATTGTAACACAACTGATCAAAATAAACTGGATTGTGTGATTGTCAAATTGTTTGGGCAATTCGCGTCATCTTTGACACGATTACTATGCTATTGTTATTAAGATGTATGAAGCGACTTTGGTATTTTTTATTATCTGCAGTCATTGAGAGCTTTCTATGCATCAAACCATGACTTTTCTTTTTATTGATATTTCGAATATCTTTAATTCAATGGAACCACTCATTATCCTCTTTTTTTTTGGGTTCTATAAGTGTATCGATAGAAACGTTATGAAGATTTGACAGATGCTATTATTTCAGCCTTATCTTGATTTTTTATATATATACTATATTTTCGAATGGAATAACAGGAACAAAATTATATTGCACCAACAGTTTTAAGGCGTGATTTTCTTTTTTTACTACAAGTCATCCTAGTGACTTATTATATTTTTATAACTATTGGATGAGTTTGGTCTGTCTTTTTTATACAGGTTTTTTCCTTTTTTTTGGCGTTTTGTTTCTTCAAATAACCAATGACAAGTTGTTCGAACGGTAAATTAAGTACATTATAGCAATTCAAACACTCTTATTAAATAAAAATTATAAAAAGTCTTTTTGATGATATTTTAACGAATGTGTAATAAACAGTACCAACATTTAAAGTAATGAAAGCTAGTAAACGACTTGTGTTATATAATCAGATTAAAACACTATGCACTTAATGAAACTTGTTTATTTATAATTGGATATATATTGTAGATAATGAGAAATGAAGGGGAACTGAATCATACACTATTTCCAGAAACTAATATCGTTCCAAGATGTCGTATTTTGTATATTTTGTATTATAAATTTTCAAATTATGCGACATTACTAGTAGAAAAAACCGTATTATACTTATTTTATGGATATGAGAAATCGAAAGTGGTAATCACTATGGCGCATCGAAAATTGAATTATGACATTTATCCAATAATATCTTTATATTTTCAAAGTCAATGATTTTTATGAAATTTTATTGGACTAACTTTATTGTTATAGCTCCGATGAGCTACTGTGAATCATCAGGTCTGGGTTTTAGATTTACGAGGTTGTTTGTACTATTATCGTAGGCTGTCAGTGGTAGAATATTCTTTAATTGTCTTAATATTTTCACGATAATCTCGAGAAAAGCATTCTTTCCATGATGTTCTTCCCGATTTTTCAGAACGAAAGCGTTCAACATACTCACCAAGGAGCTGATAATGGTTTTTGTTCTTTATCGTACGTTCTGCTTGGGGCTTTTTTTTTAAAAAAAATATTTCAATGGGGGAGTTTCGGGTACTGTGTTGTTTCTCTGGCCGTCATACTGTATTTTTACGTAAAAAGACAACAAAGAAAAATACGTTTGAATAAAACGACATCATGTCAAAAGAGAGAGAGAGAGAGATAATGAGTATATGTAGAAAAAGAGAAAAAAAGTATGTTAGTATTAGAGCACATATCCTAATATTAGTTTTACTTACCACCAAGGTGCATTCTGGGGAGGGTAGCGATAACTACCCAGGATTGTTTAAACAAAAAAAAAAAAGGAACGGAGGACAGAGAGAACCCAGGGCGTCAGAAGAGACTATTGGAGAACGTTCCAGATACACACCAGAGAGCAAAGAGGGCGGGACAAGCGAGTCAGAGCAAGGATCATGTGGCATTATTTTCGATCACAGGCGAATTTACTTTCCGGAAAGACTGTATATCATCTAAATAAGAAAGTGCCTTTTCAAACAAATCTTGATCTCCCTTTTCAACACAATGTTTGATCTTTATAAATTGAGAATCAGCATTATCACAAATGTCACTTATTCTTTTCAGCTTTTCGTCTCCTGTACCAAGAACTTCCATGATATTGCCCTTGGCGATTGTGTAGAGGGGTTTGATTGTATTGTCATGTTTTCCATAATCGAGCATATTCATTGATAATGCCTGTGAGCACATAAAATAGCCTAATGCAGCCAGAGGGTGCAATTGCTCAATATATTGTGACAGAGTGGCTAACGTAGAAGATGATAACAATAAGCAACGCTGTGCCCAAAAGCAACTAGTTATTTCTTTTGCAAACGGAAACTTGACACAAGGCACAGTTGAGCTAAATACAAACATTGCAACATTGGATATGCCAAGAAGTACTATTAAAGGATGCTTTTTGTATTTTGCATAGACTAAAATACAATAATGAATAGCGCGCACCATAAAGGATTTATCAATATTTTTCTGTATTTCGAATTTATAGGTGATAATGTATTGTGAGTTGCGTTTAGAATGTAAAGAACATCACAGAACTCTGTTGGTACAGCAATATACACATTTTCTGGTGCCCCAGCAAGGTTTTTTGTCATAACATTGATGATTTGATGATCAATATGATTCTGCTTATTAGATCGCTTCCAGGTTTATACTCGTGTGGAAAAGCAAAATCATCAGTATCGGGATCATTTTCACCTAAATAATTTTGCGTAAGAGAGTGTTTGGATTGCTATAATGCACTTAATTTATCGTTCGAACAACTTGTCGTTGGTTATTTAAAGAAACAAAACGCCAAAAAAAAGGTGTACACTACGCGCACGAGGAAATCCACGAAAGGGCTAATGATACAAACTCCACCTGTGATGTCGTCAACCAACCTTTTCAATGTGCAGCGTCGCGTTAAGCTTGTTCAGAAGCAAACATCTTTCATGTGTCTTGATGTAGGATAAGGATTTATCTTTTAAGAAGAAAGAGATAAAATGTGGTTATTGCTGTATTTTAATGTTTTTATGTCGTTAGTTTGATCAACAAAGAGCCAAGATCAATCACGCGCAATTATGGTATATATGTATTTTATATCAAAGGATAGCCCACAGGACAGCCTTAGGTTAGGTAGACACTTTGGTAGTGTGAGCTTGTACAGTGACGCCACATGTGTAGGAGAATAAGCGCCCGTATCATTAGTTTTCTCGTGGATTTCCTCGTGCGCATAGTGTACACTAAAAAAAAAGAAATAAGCGTACCGTACCGTACCCAAAAATAATATAAAAGCGTACGGTAGAGATCTCAAAGACTTTCTTATAGTTCAAGGTCAGCTTTTTTGTTAAAGATTTATGATGTACACAACCTTACCCTGGAGCTTGGGACTTCATGAGGCTTTCTCTTGTCTTTTTCTCTCTTTTTTACATTCATTTTAGACATCTACTTCTTTTTAATATGTTATTTCTATCAACAAAGCACAAGTCACTCTTGGCTCTAATTTCTGAATTTGAGGCACATTGTTTAACCCAGCTATGATTTGCTTTAAATCGTCTGCATTTGAACAAAAGACACTGTATTTCGTGTAACCACTTCTTTCCCTAATTAATCAACACTGACATCGACCCTTCGTCATAGAGCCTTATTGCATGCATAAAGTATAATAAACATAAAAAGAGAAAGATCAGAGAAGATAGCTAGCTGTTTATAAGATTAATGTATCGAATAGAATAAAAGAGCGAGAGAGCGAATATCTTTTAAAAATGTGTGTGATTCATAATGTCACTTATAAGACAGAATAATGTCGTCAATGATGATTTACCTTATGCGCATAAATTTACAAATATGAAATTAAGCCAATTCCTATAGTGATTTAATACCCATGAAAGTATTAAAAAGACATGACATTGTCTTTAATCATTTTTTTTTTGTTTTCTTTTACCACCAAATGGACAGGAATTCTGATATTAATTCTTCAAACCAACCGTAAATACATGATTTATACTTAATACCTCCATCTTATATTCATTTTATTTAGCACCGAGCAGAGATCTTCTTCCATTGACCGTAGCGCATACAGCTCTGCTGAAGCGCAACGTGCTCAAACAACTTTGCATCCTGGAGGAACTCTGCAAAGCTCTGATATAGGATTAGGTACTGAAACAATGGTACCCAGAAAACAACAGGATATTCCCAGAAATGTCAATGGATTTGACCTCTTCCATCTCAATCTTGAACAACAACCTACCTTTAATGACCCTGATAAACGCCACACGTTTGGTCAAACTCGAGAAACACCTAATGCTCGAGCCAGAAAAACGTCTGAACCTTCGGTAGCTACTCAGATTCCGCCACCCCCACGCTATGCTGCTAACCAGCAAAGACGATCTGTCCCCTATGACGAAACGATTTCGTTTTTTGGTGATTCCAATGCAACAGACAACAGGCACTATCCTTCTCGATCTTTACTCGACCAAGATGGTCTCCATCGAGGATCCATTGGTACTCTGCCTCATGCTGGTGATAGCCGTGAACACAGACGATCCTCTGCTCTTTCTGGTTCAGGAAAACAACAGAGGGACAGTCTTTCTACTCCTATGCATCGAACTTCCTCTGCCTTATCTGGTGCCGGCGACTTTCTCCCTCGAGAAGAATCATCCACGGCACCTGCTATGAGTGATATTCCTATTGGCGACAAAGCCCTTCATCCAGAAGACAAAGTTTCTGCTGCACCTGTTGTCACCGAAAATCTTCCTTCGACCCACGAACCTACTGGCCTCCTTCCTCAAAGCAATCAAACCGCTACTCCTCAGTCTCCCACAGTTAACCAGGGAGCCTCAACACATCAACCTTTGGAAGGTGAGGGCAGAGATCGAGAAAAGAGCTATTCAGAAATGGCATCTGAAGCAGCCGCCAGTGTCACTGCGACGACCAAGGGAGCTATAGCCACCGTGGCCACAGGCGCCACAGCTGCTGCTGCTGCTGCTGCTGCACTCTTTGGCGCAAAAAACGAAGATGAAGAAAAAGCAAAACGTGAATCGAATGTAGAACCTGCCATTCATGGTCAAGAGGCTGATTATGATTCAAAGGACAAGGTTCGTAGGGAAAGCGTTCCTGATGATCAGCATCCTTTTTGCAAGAGTGTCCATGAGCCCGTGATTCATGGTCAAACAGCCTGTTACCACTGTGTGAAGACTGATGATGAAAATGCCCAAGCCAAACCTTCCACGGCTGAAATTACCGGTACAGCTGCTGCTCTTGGTGCTGCTGGCACGGTTGGCACGGCTGGAGCTGTACTTGTTACTCCAGATCCTATTGGTACAAGCTCTGTAATAGAAGACGATGACAGTGCTATCGACCATATCTTGAAACGACCTACAAACACCGACGTCCAATCCACTGGCATCCAATCCACTGATCAACCTACCGAATGGGCAGGTCAGCCTTATCCTGCTACTGATGGCGTCTTGGGTGCTGACAAGCACAACTTTGGACTGAGCAGACCTCTTCCTCCTGAAAGCAATAATGAAAGCATGAGCAGTACACGCGCTATTAATGGCGACCCTATCTCTGAAGAAGACGAAATTAAGCAACGTGCTTCTACTGCTCCCACAGACAAGACTATTGAATCTCCCTCTGAGCATCAACAAAACCGAAGAAGCAGCCTCACAGCAGGTCTCAAGAGTAAGGCCGTGGCCGGAGGTGCAGCTGTTGCCTCCGCTTTCCGTCGTTTCAGCCATGGTCCTTCTTCTCCTACCGAGACAGACCGTCGTGTGTCAGATGCAGAAGCTTTCAAGCAACAACAGCAACAGCAACAACACCATCATCATGTACATGGTGCGGACAAGGCTATTGATACAGAAAAGCAAGTCAATAACTATGCCATCCCAGAGGATGTAATGAAGGCTCGAGAGAATAACAGACAGCTGGAAGAAGACTATGGCAAGAACTATCCCAAAAAAGAGTTTACAAGCCAATCGGGGCCTGCTAGTCAATCACCACAGGTTGTTCCAACAGATACAAACACACCTTACGACACACGTGCTGTAGGTGAAAGCGGCTTTACCCATGGCTCGAATAAAGCAGCTGGTCCAACTAGTACTGCTGTTGCTGATATTCCTGTCGACACTGCTGGTGCCACCGCTGTAGGTACCTCTGCTGGTGCTACAGCTGCTGCTAATGCTGACGCAAATAAGGCTCTGGAAAATATCACTCCTAGTCGACCTCGTGAAGAAGCTACTACTACCTCTTCTGCTCCTGAGTCTAGAACTCAACCTGCTACTATTTCTCCAACCAACTCAACCAACACATGGACCACCGCCCCTATGGTAGCTGACCAACCACGACATGCATTTGGTGGAAGCTTTGCCTTTGGTAATCGTGACATAGTAGCACCAGGTGAGTATAGTAATAATAATAAACGATAAATATTAACTTCATTATGAAACAGTTCAGCAAGAGGTTGCCAAGGCCCCAGGCATTGAATCTATGAAGGTAGCTGATGTACCTGGCCAAACTGAAGGTCAAGGTAACTTTGTTAAAGAAGAAGATAATGAACAAAGAAGGACGTCAAGAAAAGGATCGATCCAGGTATGAAATGATGTCAATCTTTATTTTATTTTTTTTAACTGTTTATTATAGAAAGTAATTGGTAAATTATTTCATAAGTAAATAAAGTACTTTATTATTTAATTGCATAATCACTCTTAAAAAAAATCATTATTGCATATTTGGTTCTGGACTTTTTTATTTGAAAACGAATGACTCACAGAGGCTTTTTTTTCTTCTGATTAAAAAACTGTTACACATCTACTGAAGCATCTATGGCTGCCAAACGTGGACTATGCCATCTGCTCCAGCGACACCAGCAGCGATTGTCATGCATGCTTCATTGACAAATAAGCTCGTTACACAATTACTCGTTGAATACGATTTCACTAATTTGGTTTCTCCTTCAACATTCCAGACTTTGACAAGCCGGTCGCCTCCACCTGTAATAACTATACGACTATCTGCCATCCAATGCAATCCTCCGATTCCTATACTTGAATCAGGTGCAATCAATGTTTGATTCATCATTGATTCTATGAAGCCATCAGTATTCGGTATTTATAATCTCATTTGGTAACTTACGGTCATGCAAGAGCTTATGTAAGAATCGCGTATGAAACCTCACGTCAAAGATGACGACCTCTCCTTTTTCTTTTTCTGCATTACCCGAAGCAACATACATTTCACAGGGGCTAATGAGAGGGAAAAGTAAGCATACCTACATTGTTATATGCTTCATTTACCTAATCGAAACCACATTGACATCGTGGTGTCCTGTATAGAATTTCTTTACAGGCTTGTCCAACCTCACGTCGTGTAAATGTAAATGTTTGTCTCCACTCAGGTTATCATAACGGTTATAGTTGCCCGAAGCAATGAATCGTCCTACCAATCGGAGTAAATCCACACGTTTTCTTTTTTATTTGGCTTTCTTTTTTTTTTTTTTACCTGAAGATGATACGTTCATAGCAGCCACACCTCCATTCATCGAGTCATAATGTCTCACAGGTTGACATGTCTCCGTATCAAATGTCTGAATCTATTTTATATGTTTTTATCGCTTGTTCTCTGCCTTTTTAGGTAACTTACATAGCCTGTGTGCTCTATTTCTCTATTGTAAATACCAAGAAAAAGAAGATTATGAGTCGCATGGTGCCCAAATTCCAAGCATTCTACAGCAGGGTTTCGGTAAAACGGTGCATCAAGTTCACAGATAGAGCCTTGGCCCGTTTTACCAGATGATCCAATTCTCCAGATCGTAGCGGTACCATCATTGGAACAAGAGGCAAGCATATTGCCTGCTGTCCAGTAGTTGACTGCTAATTGATTCACTGGCTTACAATGGTATTCTTTTTTTTAAAACAAATGTTTCAGTAAGATGAACGGACAGACAAATGATTAACTTACGCAGAGTAGACACGAGCCGACCGGAGCTCTGCTTCCATACTTTGGTTGTCCCATCATGAGACCCAGAAAAGAAGAGGCCTCCTTCGTTAGAGGCTTTCACGTCAGCTACTGTTCTCCAAATGGTTTGTTGTTGCTGTGCTTGATTGGTATCAATTGTTTGATGTCCAAGGAGCGTATGGGTTGTCTTTGACAATGAATCCCACAACCTAAGATTGCCCGGCATATTATATTGTACATTTTCATCACAAAGTGATCCTACGGCTACACGAACACTTTACGCAAAATGATTAAAACCATGCATATTGGCGATTGAATATCGTTACCCAGCAAAATCATCCTTAAACACAGTCACAGAGATGGCATCTCCACTTCCTCCGGAAATGACGCTCTCTTTTGACATGTCTTCCCAACACAATTGCTTTGCAACGTGTCTTACTAAATACCCTGATCTTTTTCGTTGTTCAATTAATGAATATCGACTCTTGTATGGCAAGGCCCCTAACATAATATTAGAGTGAGACCTTTTTTTTTGCACAAGTTTATAACTTACGTTTAAACTGCCTAATCATCACAGGCCTCGTGTAGACGAAAGGTATATTACTCGTATAATCAATCCAAAACCACTTACAATCCAACCTAGTCCTTCCTGGCAGCATGCTTGACACAAACAGCCAAAAGTCAACCTGGCCTCTGGATCCACGTACCATACGTTTGTTTACATAATATTCCAACACCTCAATTTCTTTTTTCGAAAATGGTATATGCAGCACATCACCTGGATCCAGTTGCGCCCAATCCTCCCAAGTTGAATTGAACCATACCTTGTTGGGGACATATAGTTTTTGCATGTCGGTGCTGCTCCCTCGACAGGCCGCCTCATTACTATGCGATTCCAGTGAACGCGTTGCACGACGCGATGTTGTACGTGGCACAGAGTTGGATTGACTTGAGAGAGTAGATATTTCGGAAAGGGCAAAGAGATACATGTCTAACATACTAAGATATTCTTCTGTATCTAAATCGTCTGGTATAATATTTTGTTTATCTGATGTAATTGATGGTTGAGATTGTACATTGATGCGCTATATAAATAATAAACGTAAATAACACTAGCTTTTCTTTTCTTTTTTAATTTTTACAATGGTATTTGTTGGTATATTTGAAACTACATTGGGTATGCTGGACGTATTATATAAATCAGATGAGGATGATGGTGGCGTCAGTGGAGTGTCTAGTTGCATTGGAGCAGCCAAAATATCAGTAGCTAGAGCACATTCGTCTATTTGCATAGGTTTAACATCCATGTTGCTCTCCGTGTCCACAGCGTTTTCTTTAGTATTTACAATATCTACGTCAGGTTCGTCGTCTAATGAAAAAGCTTTTGACATCTCATCCAGGGCTGCAAGGAATGCTTTTCTCTGCTGCTCAAACATTTCCTCAAAATCAATATTATCCAAGTTTTGCATTGTGCCTTTTGACATGTGTTCTTCATCGGAATCATCAACCATGATGTATTCTGTGTTATTTTGCTTTATATCTGGCTGTTCTTGTTGCTGTTCTTCCTGAGGTTGCTTTGGAAGGTTGTTGCTATTGTCTTCTTCATCGCTGCTGATCACTATCAGATCTACAGATGGCTGTTTTTTTATATAGCTTATGAAACTATTTGTGCCGCCATCCTTCATTCTTTTTCGTGTAATTGTTAAAAGTTGTATAAAACAGAGCAAAAAGAAAAAAAAATTTCTTTTTGCTCACACGAAGCTGGTAGACTGACTTTAAATTAGAAGACAAAAGAAAAAGATAAAGACAAAGAAACATTTGACGTATGCAAGGCATTTTTTTTATAGAATGGAATAAGAATGTACATAAAGCATGGAATATAAAGTAAAGAGAATAATATGCATTGATGTTAGATAGAGAGATAGAGAGAAGAAAAAAGAAAAGAATGTCATAAAGTGAATATATATAAATGTGTGTGTGTACGTGTACGTGTGTAGATAAAATATGTGTGTGTGTGCGTAAGTGGAGAATAAAAAGATTCGTCACAGATCAGATGGTGGGTGTTGTGTGAGAGTGTATCATGCTGAGGTTGTCTAGGTGATGTAAAAGAGAGGAGGGCTTCATAGGTAACCAGAACTGAAGATGCACAGAATTTCTTTTTTGGTCCACCATGTAAGTATCATTTGTATACAAATTATATAAACAGCAATAAGAAATGACGTCTTTTGTAGTTGTATCGTTGTCGTCATTTATGCATATAGCGGACAATCTGAAGATACATGCTTGGTTGACCCACAAAAATAACATATCTTTTCACCCTTTGGCGAAGATGATACTTGGTGGTTCTTACAATGATGTTTGTGCATTAAATTGTTGTTCTTCTTAATTGATTCAACCATAGCTTAGTTGGCATAAATTATAAAATTTAAAAGAAAAAGAAAAGAAAAAAAGAGAAACAATAGACGAATTATATAAAAAAAAGAAAAAATTTCAAGGCCCATTTTATAAGGAAAACCCCTCAAAGGATGTGTAACGGGCTTCAAGGACCTTTCATCCTGGGTTCGAGATCGACGCAAATGGTATATTGGGTTACACGTGGAACTTGTCAGAATAAATATCCTATATAATAATTATCCTATTTAATGAGGTTACACTCGGGGATTGGGTACAGGTAGATGATCATAAAATGAAGACATACCCTTTTTTTTTTCTCTCTCTCTCTCTTTTATTTAATGTTACTCTCTTGTTCGTCTTCATCTATTCAACCAATAAATATTAAAAAACATAAAAGTGGAAAGGGAAGCCATTCGCTTCGTGTATTATGGATGGGTTGCTTAGTTTTAATCTTTTTATTGACTTTTTCTTGAGCTTAACAACCAGATTCCAACGATAATGCAAAGAGTATCACGCCAAAAGAAACAGTAACAGTGTACAATGATTCGTTATCTATTCGACGAATAGCGTTTCAAAACAATACAAACGAAAGATTATGACTACTTCTTAAATAAAAAGGCTGCTAAAGTCATTTTGACATCAAGAGAATCAATTACCGCAGCCTGTGAAGATGTGGGTTCTAAGAACCACTGCTTCAGCCTCAATCGTATTTCATGTTTGTAATGTATAAATTCTATACTATGATGTTGATACGTAAAACTATGGGCACACAATGCCTTTTAGACCCTCTGTTTGATATTTCCCGGTAAGTCAATTCACTGTTATTGAAAACCAAGAAACCCGAGTGCTTCCTTCATTGTAGCACAGATAGTGGCAGACAATATCACAAATGTTCAGAAATTTTCTTTCTTTCTTCCGGCCGTGATATAGATACACAAGAAATAATGATGCCACGTGAATGACCCAAACCATTTATTCCAAGTAGTTATTAAGAGTCAAAGGTGTATATTTTCTTCTTTAGGTTATTCAGCTTATTTTAATTTAATCAAAACAATGAATAATTAGATATGAATGTTGAATCAAATGCTACAGTAACGAAATGACACGGAATTTTGCCTCTTATAGAGTGTACATGTAAGCAATTAGGCATCAACTTTTATATCTCTTTATGGAAAAGCATTCGCACTTTATTCTTACTAAAGCAAAATAGAGATATATTCTTTATTACTATCTATATGATCTAATAAACTTTAAATATAACCCGTAAACTCACTTTTTCGACTTTTATATCCTCAATTGACAATATTTCATTCTGATAATTACTGGCGCCATGTTTGGACCCTGTCATTGTGATCGTTTTGGTTAGATCAAACTTTCATCTGGTGTTCTGCTATTTATCGTTTAAAATGCCGCTACAGCCTATGTCTAGAAAAGGCTGTCGGGTATTAAACACTGAAAATGAGACTAACTTTTTGGGTGCACTTAACTTTTGCGCCTCCTTTTTTTTTCCACGCACACGACATACTTGACTGAACTTGGGTCTTGCCGAGCCCGAGTTGATCAATAATATATAGAGATAAGCACTAATGGGAATAAAGCTTCAAAAGGTAATTCATAATAGATTTGATACTGCGATCAGTATTTTCTGTTATTTCATTTAGTGCTAATTTTATAATTTATAGTTTTAATTTGGTAAAAAAAAAAAATTGACAAATATATAAAGTATAATGTCTAGCGGGCAATAGAGTGAGCAGCTGACTGGTCAATAACCTCAATCATACTGATGGGTTAGGTGTTGAACACTGTCGTTCTTTAGCACAGATCATGAAAAAGAAATCGACTTTGCCAAGTCTCATAATACGCGTTTTCTTTTGGTTCTTTAGCGTTCTTGACAGATGTGATAGTATGTTTTATAAGTATAGTTTTTAAAATAGTCGGCACATTATGATGCCATACTTCTGCCTTTTAATTGAGCATTCACTGTGATACGTTTTGTCAATACGGAGGGCCATTTTAAAAGCACCTCTTAAAACCATTTTCAATTCGATAGCCTTTAATGATAGTAGAAAGTCAAAGCTAATTCAAACGTACCTAATTCCGTAAGCTCAAAGCGTTCTTCCAAGGTAAAAAAAAAAACGAGCTAATGTACTAGGAAGCCTTGTTCCATGTAACATAGTGGTATTTCATTTCTGTCCAGTAAGCGCCAGTGTGCGGTTCTAGTATACTTTCTCTTATATACAACTTGATTTATATAGAGCCTGTCTAATTATGCTGTGTCAAAGCTCTTGTCCTGTTTTGCTATTAGTTAGAAAATACTTTATTATTGTTTTTTCCGGGGGTTTTTTTTTCTCACCCAACATGTATACTTGCCTGCTTTACATATTATCCTTGGAAATAATCGCATATTACTGTGTCAATTATAACTTACTCGAAGTGCTGGGCAATACATGGAAAGGACCAATATGGCTTTTTAGAAAACTGATAAATAAAGCATTTGATCCTTGTACCTTATTTAATGCTTTATTCAAAATAAAAAGGAATAATAGAATGAAAAAGGGAGACGAAGGTGATACGGTAGTTTTTATGTGCTTTGGTATTAGAATTTCTCAGCAGTTGTGTAAAGGTATTTACTATGTGTATATAAAGAATAATTACTACTACTGACATTCTTTAAAAGGGTGTAGTGGTGATAGCAGATGTTAAGGGCTCGTATCATCAGCAGAAAACAAATAGACTTGATGTTCGATTTATAAAAAGCTGCTTTTATTAATTTTCAAAGCAAACAGAGAAAAAAAAAATGTATAATTTGATGTTATTTTTGTTTGCCCTTGAAGATAATCTAAGATTTGGTATGCCTATTTTTCTTTATTTTATATATATTTCCAAAATTTAAGATTTCTATAACAGTATTAATTGAAAAAAAAAGTTATAAAGTATTAAAGAAGCGTCCTATTATGTTAAAAAAGCCTCTTTTTGGTTAGAGCAAGTCAGAAATTCCTACTTTGATATCATTCAATGTGATATTTATCCTGTCTGTTTCACTTGTATTACTGACATTGGCTTGTCTTTTCAATCATCAAAGCCTCATCTTCGATATGTTTTTATTCTTTATTTCCAAAAAACGCAATATTCTGTTCTGACGAAATTTTTAGCTTTCAACGGTTGCTTCTGCTAAAGAGAGCACTTATATAGTCTAGGAAAAAAAAAAAATTAAAAATCCCCATAGACAACAGTAGTTACAATAAAGGCTGAATCAGGTGAAGGTAGACACTGCTGTAGAGTAGTAATCGTTTATTCAAAGATTGACAGCATCTTGATAGTGCAAAGGAGATTACCTAAAAACAACAGTTAAACTTTATATTCCATGTCCCTGCAATATTTTTCAAAATAGTGTCAAATGAAGCTTCTTGATTTTCTATCCACTCATAATTATGCACATTCAAATATTCACATACAGCTTTATTATTAAATACCGAACCATGGATGAATACTGTCACGCTTTTTCACTTAATAGTAATTATTTTTGTCTTCCATATATTAAATATATTTATTTGCCGTGTTCTTAGTCCTTTTACACGTGTAAATGCATAAATTGGCTTTTAACCATATTTTGTCTTACTATCTGTCAACGCATTGCCTTCCGAGATCAGCGTTCCATCCTTTACCAAATTTGGCTTGAGAATAAAAGTCAGATTTTTATGATTTTCTTTTTTTTAAAAAAGAGTAAAATATCGACTGGTGCATAATAATAAAAAGGTGTTTTTTTTTAAGCAGATTTTATTACCCTTACAATGATTTAATGGATTATTATGACTTGTATAAATCAATAATACCTCATTTATATGTAATTGGTCTATGTACATTGTCAAAAGAGCAATTCAAGGTAAAGCACGATGGAATCCATAATAAATAACAAGCTGTCACAAGCTGATTTAAATTTCATTGTTCCCTTACTGTCTCCGTACCTTATTTTGGACTCCGCATATTATACATTGACTGTTTATTCTGTTTGTTTTACTCCAGAAACAACAACAAAATATCAAAAGCACCTACTAATTACAATTGGGCATCTTCAAGAAGATGGTTCGAATGGAAGGATGAATACGAACAACAAGTCTTTGTACCTAGAGATGAAGTACTCGGAATGGAATTATTTGGTGTAGAAAACCATGTACATGCAGGTATCAACTTTGCCAAGTATGAAACAATTCCTGTTCGAGTCATTGGTGAAAATCCAACATCAAGCTTTGAGAATGTACGAAGCGTTAGACCCATAACTTATACAGACATCCTGATTTATAGCTTGGTGATGCCAACCTTCACCCTTGTATGAAAGAAAATATTCGTTTGGCAAGATATGCAGTTCCTACGCCTGTCCAAATAAGAAAGCAAAGACAATGACAACATTAAAAAAGAGAGATGACGCTAATAAAAATGATTTATCATAGAGAGACATAGTATATCCATTGTTACTGCTGGATGCGATCTTATGGCCTGTGCTCAGACAGGTTCAGGAAAAACAGCTGCATCCTTGATACCAACCTGTTCTGCTCTTTTCTATCAAGCAAAAAGTTTGATCGCTCGCCCTAATCCCTCCAACAACCACCGTTTCGCTGCCCGACCTCCTGTCCTGGTCATGGCTCCTACACGTGAACCTTGCTCACAAATATTTGATGAAAGTCGACGATTCTGCTATCGCAGCATGCTCAGACCTTGGTAATATGAAATAATTAACAGTAATAGCACTGTATTGATGGTACAACATAGCTGTATTTATGGTGGAGCTGGTGTTAACGGACAGCTGAATCATCTTATGCGAGGTTGTGATGTCTTGATTGCTATTCTAGGTCGTTTACTGGAATTTGTCGATCGAAGTAAAATTGACTTATCCAATGTCCGCTATTTGGTCCTGGATGAAGCAGATCGCATGCTAGATATGGGCTTCGAAAGGGACATGCGTACTATCATCGAATCTAAGGGTATGTATATGCTTCATCATTTATTTTATTAAATGACTAAATATTATTGCTGTAGGGATGGACAGAAATAGATGCACCTTACTGTACAGTGCAACCTTTCCTAGAGCTATACGAATGCTTGCTAGAGACTTTTTAAAACAGGACTATTTGCTTTTAAAAGTTGGTCATGTAAGTGGAACTACAACAGATATCACACGAAAGGCTAAAAAAAAAAAGAAAAAAAAAAAAGGAAGAAAAAAAGAAAAACAGACTAATAACGAAATTTTATAAAGGTTCTTTGGGTAGAAGTGCCCGAGAAGCAACAAAATTAAAAGAACTACTCACTTCTACTCCTCCTTGTCGCACGCTTATATTTGTAGAAACCAAGAGGAAGGCAGATACGTAAGTCATCTTCCTGGCGTAACTCTCCTTTTTTATATGCCTATGTTGTTCTATAGCCTCGACCAGTATCTGTATCAAAACAGGTTCCCTTACACCTCTATCCATGGTGATAGAAACCAAAGCGAACGAGGGGATGCCCTTTTGGCATGCAAAAGTGGGAATTGTCTCATATTAATAGCCACCTTTGTTGCCTCTCGTGGCATCGACATTAAAAATGTCATGCACGTAATTAATTACGACATGACTCCCAATATTGATGAATATATTCATCGTATTGGTCTTACTGCTCGTGTTGGCAATGCTGATCTTGCGACCTCATTTTTTAATGGTGCAAGTACTGCGGTTGCCAAGAATTTGACCAAAGTGCTTGTCGAGTGTGGCCAAGAATTGCCAAATTTCTTGCAGCCTTATAGAACGAATGATTTGCAATCAGTAGATGATAATTAAAATATTGTTTATTTCTATTATGAGTCATATGTAAATTTCCTAGAATCAAGCTGTAATGTAACAGGACCTAAAAGAAATATAAATACATTGCCATAATTCATTGCTGTCTTACCATCATTACTGATATCCACCAACATCATCGCACCAAATTCGCCATCTATACAAATGAATAAATATCAACCATTTGAGGGGAAATATGCAATCACCTTGAATCTTGGCTGGATCATAAGCCTTTCCTAATTTATCTAGAAATTGACCATACATAGCTTTGGCTTGTTCACTCTTCATTGCTCTATGAAAGTCGGGCTTATTTCCTTTGACAGTATTAGCTTGTAGAGTAAACTGGGAGACTATGTTCTCACTGATGTTAGTCTATAGCCAACTCTTATTCACTATATACATTACCACACAATAACTCAAGCCCTGCGTCTTTGACGCCTTTCTTCCACATGACACCATTGTCATCAAACACTCTAATGTTTAGAATCTTATTGACCATGTAATCAATGTCCTTTTCTGTGTCGTCAGTAGCAATACCCAAAAGGACACATAAGCCCTTTTGAATAGATCCGACAACTCTATTGTCCACTTTAAAAATAGTAAGATCACAGGATGAAGATCTACTTTTTGCTATATACCTGTCACACTAGCCTTTGTCACCCTTTGAATTACTGCTCTCATCTAATAAATTAAGGAGGCGAAAAAGGAAAAAGGTACAGGGTCTACACTTTATTTGAAATTATTCGCGCGCTGATAGAAAAATGATAATTTCAGATAACACACAATAATAAAAGAGACAACAAATAATGACAAAAGAGTGCCCATCAGGAGCAAAAGAATGAATAAAGAAATGATTAGTAAATCAGTTATTTACGTCGATATTAAATACTTACATTATAAAGAAGAGAGTTTATAAGAGAAAAGAGAAAAAGAGAGCAAGAGAGAGCAGAAGAGAGTGGCCAAAGGAGCGGAAGGGGCTGAAGGAGTGGATGGGACCAAAGCTTGGTAAGAACCAAACTACCCCCAGCTAGCACCAGTACTGTTTTCGATTTTAGGATTTATAATACTACGCGTCAGTTTCTTACAAGAGTAAGAGATATAACATACTTTAGGGCTAGCTGGGGAGTAGCTGGTCTTACTTTTTGGTCCAAAGAAGAAAAGAAAAGAAAAAAAAAAGATCAGACTATTTATATGAAGTCTCTAACAACTTTTTCAGTTATATGTTATTCATAAGTGTTGATCACATTTATCTTATATATCAAAAATATCAAGTGCGTTGCCTTTTTAATAATAAAGAAAAGGCTGATAGCCAACTAAAGTGTAATTGTTGTTGGTTTTAAAATGTGAGCGAATAATTTCTGAAAATGGTGTATATGAATATGGCCTTCTCACTAGTGTATCTTACACTTGACCCCATTCACTCCTTCTAAAGCATCTTTACCCTTAATTCCAAAAGAGTTTTTTAGTCATCACTCTCCTTCCTTTCTGAACTGTCTTGGACGGGAAAGATGTAATATTACAATCGTGCATCCATTAGAGGTTTTAATTATTTATAAATAAAAATCTGTTTAAACGTATACGAATATGGCTTGAAAAAGCTTACGATTATTCTTTTGTAAGCTGTTTCCCCACACTTTCACATGACTGTCAAATACCGGAGTTTGATCTTTTTCCCAATCCCTTAGTCATCTTTTTCCTATTTTGTCCAATTTCTATATTTTCTCTTTCTTTTTCTTCCTTGTTGTATATAATTTAACTAATGTCTTTTAAGAACTTGATGACTGGAGATGACTCTTGTGGGGGAGCCAATCCCATGTCACAAATGTTGAAACAGTTTGGTCAAGACAGATCACTTCAAAGGGTAAAAAATATATTTATTATGCAAAGAACCTTATAACTTACAATCTAATAGGATCGATTTGCAGGACCTTCTCAGCCTATTGCAGGACCATCCACAGTAAGACCATTGCTGAATAGAAAGATGCCCTTGGATAACTTATGCTTTATAGATGCGTACGCAAAGACAACAGCCAGCAGGATTTGGACAACAGTCAGGCAGTAGTATGGTGGATGAATTTTTTGGTCAAGAGAGACAAGTATCTCATGGTCCAGCAGCAAGTTCCCCATTTGAATTCAATGAATTGCATAGAGAGTTAGATGCTGTACGTATGCAGCGAGGGAATTGGGCAAATGAATTTCAACAATCAGGACCTAAGCTATGGGAATTGACACCGGGAGAAGAAGCCGCGATGGAGAAGGCGTTCTTGGAAAGTAAGGCTGCTGCAGGACCCTCTCAAAGCGTTTCAGGTACGCAGTTTTAATATAAAAATGTTAGAAAGTACTAACGTGTTTTCAGTATGGAGAGATGAATTTATGAATCATCCAGAAGTAGCAAATATGAATCCAGAGCAACTGGCAGAGTTCGAAACTGCTTTCCAGAAACATTTTGACTGGGCCAATGAATTTGATTTGCAAAAGGGCAAAGAGCGACTGGACCTGAACAGCAATCGTTCTTGGGAAGAGCAGTTTGCCGCTTTTGATGAACAATTGGGAGAAGAGGAGATGGCTAAAAAGGTGGAAGAAGCTGCTGCTGCTGCAGATCCAGCCTTTGAACAGTTTGAGCATGTTTGGCAAAGCATTCGTGATCAAGTGGCCGAAGACAACGACTGGGAAGATGAGTTTGGCAATTTCAATCCTGACGGTGCCATATATAAACCCGATTTAGGTGAATACGTATTTGAAATAAATAACCCTTACCTCAATCATCCCGATCCTATGGCCGAAGGACTGCGACTGTTAGAACAAGGAGGCTCCTTAAGCGAGGCCGCCTTAGCTTTTGAAGCTGCTGTACAAAAGGAACCTAACCATTCCGAAGCATGGACCAACCTTGGTAATGTACAAGCTCAGAACGAAAAGGAAGAGCCTGCTATTCGCGCGTTAGAAAGAGCAATTCAAGCCAATCCTGGCAACCTGGAAGCCTTGATGTCCTTGGCTGTGAGCTATACCAATGAATCTTACGATCATGCAGCTTACCAGACTCTCGAACGATGGATCTTGCAAAAATACCCCAGTCTTTTAGGCGATCAACCATTGCCTCAGCCTACATCACCTTTTGAACTTCACGACCGAGTCACAGATCTGTTCCTGAAGGCAGCAAGACAAGCACCAGATGGACAGGCAATGGATCCAGATGTTCAAGTGGGTTTAGGCGTTTTGTTCTATGGCAGCGGCGATTTAGATAAAGCTATCGATTGCTTTGCAACAGCCTTAAAGGGTCGTCCTAATGTAAGACAAGGTGATAGTTAGATATAGGGTTTTAATGACCTTTTTTTTTTATACAGGATTACTTGTTATGGAATCGATTAGGAGCTACATTAGCAAATAATGGACGATCTGAGGAAGCTATTGATGCATACCATAAGGCACTAGAATTGCGTCCATCGTTTGTGCGTGCGAGATATAATATCGGTGTCAGTTGTATCAATATAGGATGTTACAAAGAGGCTGCAGAACACATCCTAACCGGCCTTTCAATGCATAAACGTGGTAACGGCGATTCAGAGGAAGGTGTGAATGTCTCTAGTAATTCTTGGGAAATGCTAAGAAAAGCATTTATTATGATGGTAAGATGCAGTAAAATACAAGGCAAAAAGCGACAATGTTAACCCTGTCTCTTTAGGATCGTCGTGATTTGGCAGACAAGGCAGTCGTTGGCGCTGATTTGAATCAGTTTCGTCCAGAGTTTGAATTTTAATATATAAAGATAGATTTTTTTTTTCGATCTTTTGTTTAACCGATTGTCATTTGGTTGCAGAATTTGCTCCAGGCTCTCGTGCCATTGTTAATGTACCAGTCACTTAAGCCGAACACAGGTTTCTTGATGTTTAAACCCAATAGCACAGTTTGTTCAGGCCATATACTTTATGCCATTTGTGGTAGTAACGATTTCGGTTGTCAAAGACCTGGAGTATGTCAGCAGTCCAAGTCTCTAATGGGGCCATTGATTTGAGTTGCTCGACCGCATGTGGTATCCAATGAATCATAAATAGCTCTGTAAAGAGAGTTGCTTGAATTCTTCGATAAGCTGCTGTACCATATGCTCCTGGCTCAACTCGCGCTTAATGATAAAAAAACGCTTGAAAATTGTTTTTATATGCCTATTTTTTATTTTTTATCTTTTTATAAGCTATTTACTGTGTATGATAAGCTTCGTTTTTGATAAAATTAACAGCGGCCATGTCAAAAAACTACTACTAGATTTCACTGTTGTCAAGTACATTGCAAGAGGATGCATATGGAAACATAATTTATGACCAAACGAGCTTGATTATATTCTCCTTTTGAAAGTAAATAGTCTTTTTGAACTTAACACGAATGTCGATTAGACACTTGGTCTGATTGAACTATGTTAAAATCAACTGTTTTTATTGAGCCTTGTTATTAAGAAAAACGTAGGCTTTGCAAAGCAAAAGCTGATAGGATTGTAGAAGGACGTATTATACAATGTTATCAAACAATCATAACCAATACAACGAGACATTACATGCTTTTATCTTACTTTTACGATCGACTCAAATAGGTCGACTGTGGGAAATACAGTCGGGGTTACTAGTGTTTCGTCCATTCGAAGTTAGCATCAAAAGATTACAGGTTTGTGAGGGAACAGAACAAGAAGTAAACAAAATGAAACTGAATACTACATTCTATTTAAAGCAGCTTGGATTCAGCCAGTATGACATTTCGACCGTGATTGGCATGAAGCGCACAACTGCGCAAGCTGCTACTGATAGAATGGATTCCACTGGCACAACTTTGACAGGAATGAGCACATATAGACTCTCTACCTTTGACTAATACAATCGACAACATTTGAAACGGGTAACTAGAAGAGATACAATTGACAACCTTAGAGGCGGACTCCGTCTAATGGACAAAATTGCTTGTCGCTCCACTGTGATACTCTATGAGTTGTACGAAATATTGGATGATAATAACACAGAGATTATAGGAATGGATTTTAAAGGTACAGGCAAAAGTTTGAATACTACTGCACATTTATTTAAATGTCTCAGCGTTCATTTTCTCTTTTTTCTTTTTTCTTTTTTAAGCTCACTATGTAGACATGGCTAGCAAATTAAGGGTGCAAATATCGAAACGTCGTCGAGAACAATTTTTTGGAGAGCAGTTTAACGTCATCTCACCCAAAGTAGAAGCCCCTCCTCATATACCTTTTTTCTCCAAAGCGACCTACTACCACTCGTCCAAAATAATTTTTTATGTATAACAATTAAAGTTCGACATGTCTTGCAGTACCAGCGCTACTGCCAATATTTCGAATTCTTTTTCTTTAGTTTACTACATATGTTTTGAAAGAAAATAAGCGAGTACAAGTAGTTGAAAACATAACAGAGATTGGTTTTACTGTCGTAGACGAGACCATTCAGGCCAATGATGTGGAGGAAGACGCCTCCTCGGCTCATAGACGGACCAAAAAGCAGAAGAAAAATGGGTACTAGCTATTTAGAGGAAATGTCTTTAAGGTACTGCCATTGCTAGCGGCTCTTCTTCGTCTTGTCCATCTCTTGAAGGTGAGGACGTGACTTATTTTTTTATTTTTCTTGCAAAAACAAATTGTTGTTCATATATTACTGAAGTAATGGTACGGTTTTTATCTTCCTTTCACATAAACATAAACATGATTACGATCTCTGTAAAATGATGTAGAAATGATCTTGGTTGCATCCAATGAGGCAGTACATGACACGTTCTTTCCGACATCGAAAAGTGCATTTTATAAATATCTTGATGAGATTCATAAATGAGATAAAGGATATCGACGGCTACTTTAGGCTGAGTTGTATTCTAAGAATACTCCCAAACATTGATATGAAGGACAAGAAACATAAGAGGAGCTCAAAGGTAAATGCATCAGTAATGACGAACATTTGAAAGTCTATCTTGAAGAGACTGTAATGGATTTTAGTCAATATTGTGAAGAATATATGCGTTAGTTGGTTGTGAACTTTTAGGACGCTGTGTGGCCGAATGTCTGCTGCCTACAGCAGCCCATAGACAGCTGTAGTTTCTATGTGGCTTTATATGACATATAAAGCGATTTTATTAGGCGAGACAATCTCATACAAATATTAAAATGCATTGAGACTTTGACAATACCATGGGAAATTTTTCACCGAAAAATTCAATGTCCAGTAAATAAGCCGTGGTAGGCTAGTAACTAAAATTCTTGTTCCGTATCAAAGTTGTTTTTCTTTTTAAGATACCTTCATTTTTAAGCGATTTGTACTCATGATTGCATTCAAATGAGGATAAATATGTGAATAAAAGCAAAACAGAAAGCATACAATTATATCAAAATATAATATAGCAAACTGTTGAGATTATTTTATGACGCCGTTGCCATGGATCCCCTTGATAAGATCGGATGATGAAAATTATAGATTGCATTTAAGTTCCTGTTAAATCAGATTAGTAGGAATTATCTGATCCTTTGTATTTCGGGTAACACGGTACATTTCCTTTGTTTCTCTAGAATTCTCCATATTTTCTTTTTCTTTTTCTTTCTTTCTTCTTTTCTTTTGCATCAAAAGCATGGTTAAACTCAGCTGCCACAAATATGTACCTGCATGTCCAAAGAACACAGAAAGTCCAAGGTACTTACAGAAAGAAAATACCAAGCAAAATAATACTCATAGTTGATGTTAGTCGATACATTTTAAACGTTAGTCAACAACCCATCCAAGCACGTATCAGTACAAATAACGAACGTGGTAAAAACTAGGCAAAATCTGACACATCCTTCACCAGACTCACACCGCGCGCTAATAGATCGTAAACCTATTGATCCTCCACCGATTGTTCAAATCAGTTTAGCCGATCCTTCTTCTCCGCAAGAAATAGAGTAAGCAAAGAAAAAAAAATTTTTTTTTCGCTTATCTGATCAAACCTCCGTATCCAGCACATTTCATCAAAGCTCCTATTTTTTCATGTGCAGCAATCTATGTCATCCAACGAATGATGAAGAGATTTATACACCAACACACAATGCTCTATGCGGACAAACAGTCTCATCTATGTTTAAATTAAATGATATTGATAACCAATGTAAATATCACGTTGCAAGCAATATCAAGTATTAACCAAATCGTAGACAAAGCCTTTTTTATCTTTGGTGACTTGTCAGTCAAAGTCGAAGGAAACTATCGATTGAAACTGTCTCTATTTCAAATTACAGAGTATGTATAAACTATTCATAAACAGCGTAATCTAACTCTATAATACAGAACTGGCGCAATCTGTCTTTCATCCATCTTCACTAATCCCTTTATGGTCTATTCCGCAAAAGCTTTTCCTGGGCACTTGGAATCAACTTTTCTCTCCAAGGCATTTTCAGACCAGGGTGCACGTATTAAAATTCGTAAAGAAAATCGTGCTCCACCGTAAGGGTCAACTTCTCCGCAAACCATCAGTTACACTAATAAACTTGTTATAGAGTTAATTTGCGTAAAAGAAAGCCTATTCCTGACACAGAGCGAAGAAACAGCGTGACGAGTCACAGCAGTACAGAGGAAAGCCCGGTGCTGGTGAACCCACCACTGCCTCGTGTTACTTTACCTCCACTTTTTCCCTTAGACAAGATGTATCCATCACCTCTTTACGTCTTCGACTTGAAGTTACCCCCGCTTCGACTGAAAAGAGCCAAAATAGATAACCATGAGCAAAATGCTGCTGTTGCCATGATGCAATTATCTCAACATGTATTTACATCTATTTAGACCTTATTTTGTAATATTTAATATGTACCATATGGTTTTCTCAAGTTGCATTAACCCTTAATTGTTTATACTTAATTTATGCTGGCATTAACATTAAATAAATCACTTATTCTCTTTAGTTTACATTAAAAAGTATGCAATGCACGTTTTTTGTAATCAACTTCAAACTTGCTCCCTTTAATGCCTCATCTGACTGACTTCCCCCTAAAGTTGGCATAATTCACACACAAAAAAGACATGCACAATGTTTATGATAACAGTGTCACTTAAACCTTCTCACTTGCAGCATGTGAAGAATGTTAGTTTCTCTGTAACCATTTTGATCAGCTGCAACAAAACACAATCAAATAGACAGTCGCGTAGTCCTTCTCAATCGAATGCATTATGCCGTATCACAGTAAACTTGGTGACAGCAATGGCATATTCGCACGTTGCTTTCATTTTGTTCCAAAATAAGGTTTTACACAGTCAAAAGCCGCGCTTAAGGTTATCACGTTTTAGTCAAAGAGAAGTTTGAACACACTTATCCAGTCAACTAGTTTCTTTATTTGACATTTCGTTTGCATCCTCCTCAAATTCTTGACTTAGTCATGACACTGTTTGATGTTGATATGCTGCTCATGCTCAGTGCTTCTTTTTATTTATATATTTATAATTCATTGATGCATCTCTTATATCTTTTGTCTTGAATCGTTGGAAGAAGAGGAGAGCGAAATCTTTTGGTGCTAGAGCTGTGATACAACAGTTACAATGCTCATTTTTGTATTTTGCCGTGGTAAATGACACGATTCTAAGGATACGACGGAAGAAAAATGTTTATGGCGCCAGTAGGTCTTTGTAGTACAGGCTGTGGCCAATGCAACGTATGTATACACATATCTTGACAGGATTTTACTTGGGGGGTAAAGAATAAGCAAACAAAGCGTAATCATGATATTTATAAAGTTTAAAAATGGAAAAGCTTCTTTATTAGTACAGGCTGAGAATTGTACTCTGCAGATTGTATTAGTTGCTGATAAAGCAAGAGCTAACTGCGCATGCCCCCCCTCTCAATAAATAATAGTAGTTTTTAAGTGTATTTTTATGCTTCCTCACATGTGACAGGAGATATCATCAAATATTTGTAAAATAGGGTTGCCCAATTAGTCTTTTATGTTTACTCCTTTGCATAATTACACCTTAAACATGTCAAATTTGTTATTTGCTTTTTTCTATAAGAAGAAAAGTAAAGTACGTCATAAAAAGCATAATTATATAATTTGAAAACCCTATTGTTAAGCCTCAGTTGGGATAATCAAGTTGGTCGATCGAAGAAAAAGGAGGCCTGATATAGTTTTATCTTTTAGCTCTACAGCATTCATCCGCAGTCCACTTCAGATGTAGGATTTGATGATATGGCCTAGTACTCAGGTAGTTTTCTCAGAAAGCTAAAATGTAAGATCAATTCAGCATTGCACTCATTCATTTTTGTATGTGATGCTCCTAATCCTTCAGAGACCGATATACTGTGAGGGCGAATTTAAATACTGACCTAACGAAAGATCTCGGCCAATTCAAGTGTATTGCTATTTAATAATCCTTTTGAGACCTTTTATCGTAATGCCCTGTCCTTTTGGTTCACTTGGCTAGGTATTAGCTTCTTATGTGCTTTTTTTCATCACCTTCTATAGTATAAAGCTCCCCTACCATTCTAGGTTGCTGATCTTTCCATCAACATACTGCACAATCCTCTTTGTTGACAATACATACCATCGACTCTAAATAATCTAATTTCATCAGTCAACCATATAATTGACTTTCTTTTGCTATTGTCTGTATAAACAATGAAATAAAAGCACTCATCACCCCTTTCCTCCCCTTTCAATCAAGTTTATGACACAATTATCATCTTGTATGCAAAAACAACCTTTTAATTTATGGCGACTCAGCGGATACGACGTATGCTCATCGGATGGATGTATCGTTTGTTGAAGTATACATGTATATCCACCCCAACAGCAAACAAAAGCCCATCTTCAAACCAAGGAGTGTTCCGTTAAATCAAGATGCTCAAATCAAATTGTGCAATTTAGGGTGCTATTGTGCATGAATATTACCAAATTGATATACATCTGTCGCACTTTATGAGCTTGGACCATCATGGACGCTTTTATCTCCTTTTTTTTTCTAGAACCCTTTTACAGTTCCTTTCGTAAGTATTTCATCATGACTTATTATCTGAAATAGCAAAAGAGAAGAAAATCCAGGACCATCAAACCGGTTATATGTGAAATTGCCTCTCCTTTTTTTTTTTTCTCTATATTGTTTAATAAACTTGAAGATTATCCATATTATTGCTAGACAATGGCAAGATCTACTTGATGATTAAAGATAGAATAATATCTTGCAATAACAAGTTTCTTATTGAATAAGTTTCTCATATTTATTTAGTAAATGATGAGAAAGTTCCTCCTTTTCATTAAATTTTCTATAGACTAATACAAAACAGATAGCAAATATGACGATGCAACACATTATGACACTTTGTGTAGCTCAAATTACCCGCCAAATGACTTTATTGGGTCCACTAAAAGAGTCATACTATTTTTTTTTCCCATTTTAATAAAGACAAAGCCCCTCCCTTGAATTACTCATTTATATCATATTTTTATATATGCATAACGATTCAATTACTTGTGCACATATAAAAAGATGAATAGATGAAAAAGCCTTTTCTTAAATTGGTCGATCACTTCAAAAAAAAAAAAAATAGACAGTCTGAATTTTAATAAGCTCTAACTGATCGGTGTTCCTGGTGAAGAAAAAAAAAAGAATAAATTTAAGGAACAAGTAGTAATAGTAACGAAAAGGAAAAGCGATTCTAGTTGACATAATGAAACGGTCACCTTGGCGACATGATAATCATATACTCATCCTGTGATGTTTAAAAAATTCACGTTTATAGAAATTCCTTCTCCGTCTAATGTAACATTAAAATCACTTAGCTTTTCTCTCTCTCCTTTTTTTTACCATTTATTTTTAATTCCTTGAAAACATTTTTATATGGCCAAAGAAGGTCAAGCTGTCCAAGTAGGCAAGTTTTATTTTCAATTTCAGACCACTATCTGTGCTTCACAGAAATAACGTTTAACGTAGCACTTCGTATTCGACCCTTAACGGATCGTGACAGAGCACAACCTCGATTCGCCAATCTTGCTAATGACGACGTACTCAAAGTTCATGACAAGACTGTCCAAGTTGTGCCTCACAACAAGTACTTCTCGTTTGACCATGTCTTTGGGAGTACGAGTTCACAAGATGATATATTCAAGACAGTTGGAGACAACCTAATACACAAGTTTGTCGAAGGATACAACATTACAATTCTTGCTTATGTAAGGATATGACGAATAAAGGACAACATGAATTAAAGTGTATGATGTAGGGACAAACGTCTTCTGGTAAGACGTATACGATGGGTACAGCTGCATCCAACCAAAATGATGGCATTATCCCTCGTTCAATGTCTTTGTTGTTTGATCTTTTATCGCAGACCGATACCCGCCCAGCATCTCCGGCTCTTTCTGTCTCTTCTTCGACCTCTACCAGTCGACTAAGAAGTAGCAAATCATCCACCATCAGCACAGCCAAGCATTCATTTCTCTCTCACCCACCCAACCATCGACCGACTCATCGATATACAGTGACAGTATCATTTATTGAAATATACAACGAAGACTTGCATGACCTGCTGAACTCGTCCCCACCTGAAGAATCACCGCCGATCACAATTCGAGAGGATACCAAGGGCAATATCTATTGGACAGGTGTAAAGGAAGTAGAGGTTCAGAGTATGGATGACGTGTTGCAGTAAATAGACCCAATTGAATGAAATGAAAGATAATAAGCTGAACGAAAATTTTTTTAATTGTTCTATAGTTATCTCGAGCAAGGTGCCCAAAATAGAGCAACTGGTGCAACCGACATGAACGAAAAATCATCACGCTCGCACGCTATCTTTTCAGTCACGCTCAGACAAGAGAAATCTGTGGGCCAGTCTGTACGTAAACCGACCCAGAGTCGGCCAAACAGTTCACTGAGCAATTATACCAGAGCATCACATACCCCTAAAACTGACGAAGGCGAATGGATCATTACAACCTCCAAGTTTCATTTTGTTGATCTAGCAGGAAGCGAGAGAGTAAGGACAAGTGGTTCAAAGCAAAAGAATAATTCATTGATTTGACAAAAATAGCTTAAGCGTACCGCAGCAGAAGGAGGACGACGAAAGGAAGGTATTAATATCAATGCAGGATTATTAGCCCTTGGCAACGTCATTTCGGCACTAGCAGGCGATAAGAAAAAGACTCATGTACCTTACCGCGACTCAAAGTTGACACGACTTCTCCAGGATTCGCTTGGAGGCAACTCGACAACATTGATGATTGCATGCGTCAGTCCTGCAGAGTATAATCTGGCCGAGACGATCAATACACTTCAATACGCTAGCAGAGCACGAAGCATTAAGAACCGGTCAGAAAAGAATGAAGTGGAAGAATGGATGACGACAGATAATATCGATACTCTTCGTTCGCTCGTAGGCAAGCTCAAGCACGAACTTAAATGCCTCAGAATGCTCGCCAAAATTGAGCCCCACGAAGATGACGATAATGACGAAGAGAATCTCAGCCAGAGATTGTTAGTTGCCGATCTTCAACGTCAGATCGAAGAACTTGATGTGGAGGCCACTGTGACCCGAGAACGGAACAAGATAGTTGAGAAGGAATTGCAACGATTAAGAATGCTCGAAGCCTTTGACAAGCAAGTCGATTTTGAGCATTTGGTTGAACCTGTGATTGAAGAATACGAAAAGAGCATAGCCAACCTCGAGTCACAGCTAGCCCTCACTAAAGCCGCGCTAAATTACTCAGACATGGGCTTTGAGGAACAACTGGCAAAGATTCAGCACCTTGAGTCGGTGGTGAAAACGCAAGAACAAACCATTGAGGATCTTCGTACACGGCTAAACAAAGTCATTGAGCGTGAACAAAATAATGAAAACTATATCCGCGAACTTGAGAATAAACTGATGGTGTCCGCCAAGGAATCAACCAAGGATCAAGCAATGCTGAGCGAACTCAAAACGCGTATTATGAAGCTCAAGGAGACTGATGAAAATACAGAGCAATACATCCATGACCTTGAGCAGCGTTTAGCAGCTTCAGATGCAGAAAAAACGAAATGGCAAAAGCACATTGAAGAACTGGAAGCCAAGATGGAGGCCAAGGATCGCACTCATGCCGAATTGTTGAAGCGTCTCTCGCTGCAAACATCCGCGAGCAACACAGAGAAAATGGCTCTTGAACAAGTCACTAGTAAATTAGAGGTAGTCGAGAAGGAGCGTGATGTGCTTAAGCAGCAGGTTGATCAGCTCGAGCGGCTGTACGATGAGAGCAGAAAAGAAACTAAGGAGCGCCCGCTAAGTGGTAGCAGCAGCAGCAGCACAACCGTGCACAGTAATCGCACAAGTCTTGTCGATGAAAAGGAAACACTGGCCATGATACAAACTGAGACGAAGCTTAAGGAAGAAAGTGAACGAGCCAGTCGGCTAGAACGCACTCTAGATCGTCTTCAGGCTGAACACCAAGAAACACTCAAGGAGCTGGAAGAGGCGCTCCAGAATTATCATGAAGCTCTTGAACAGCTTGAGCTTACCCAAGGCGTGGATCTAAACAAGGAGATGCTAGTAGCTAAAGAGATACAAGAGAAAAAAGATCAACAGCATGCGATAGATCAGCTCAAGCAGGAATTAGAAAAAGCCAAGCAAAAGCATCAGGCAACTGTTCAAGACAAACAAAAAGTCGTATCACAATTGGAGCAGCGTATAGAGCAACTTGAACAAGAAAAGGAAAAGAGCATAGTAGCACTTGAACAAATCTCGGGACGAGAAGCCGAACTGCACCAACGCTTGGTGAAAGCTGAACGACAGCACCAAGTGGACATGGGGCAAATCCAGAACAATGTGGTGTTGCTTGAGCAACAGATGGAGCAGCTCAAAAAAGACATGTTTGAAAAGGAACAAGAGATGAACCTTATAAGAGGAAAGGAAATCGAGTTACGTGCCCTCTTGGACGAGTCGAATGCCTCACTGACAGCATGTCAACAGGAGCTCGCCTCGCTCCGTCTTGTGAAAGTAGCACATGACAAACTACTCCAAAAGTCATCCATAGAAGATGATAGTAAAGTTCGTGAATTACATGATGCGCTCGCACGTGCGACAGATGAGAATCGATCCCTTTCAACAGTACTGAAGCAGTCTCAAGAAGGACACGGGAAGCGCATCAAGGAGCTGTGTGCAAAGTATGAACAAGAAAAGAGCGCGATAGAGAAAACAGTAGAGCGTCTCGAGACAGATTTAGTTGAAGCCAATGGAGAAAAGGACCTCTCACTGCTTCAATATCATGAGCGATTGAAAAAAGAAAAGGAAGATCAGACGAACATGATTGCCTCTCTTGAACAGCAACTCGAGCAAGTCGTACTGGAACGGGATCAGGAAAAAAAGCTGGTGAATGTATTGAGAGCTGAGATTGAACAACTAAAATCAAATATGCAATCTGTGCAAATGATACCCGAGGATTATCAAGCGACATCTGAAAGTCTAAGAAAGGAAATAGATAAAAAAGCTCAACGAGAGCAAAAAGTAACTGAACTCAAGCTGGAACTGAAGCGCACCCTGGAAGAGAATGAGAAGCTGTTGCAGCAACTAGAGACACAGAGAGAAGAAGATGAAGAAATACAGCTGGCATTAGATGAAGAATGTCAAAAACTACGATCTGATTTGAGAAAAGTACAAGAAGAAAAGAACGAACAAATAAAGCAGCTTGAAATAGAGCTGAATAAATTAAGATCTACAAGGGCACCAGTGTCTAAAGAAGAAGAAGAATATGTTGAAGGATACAAGAAAAAGATAAAAGAATTAGAATCACAAGTGAAAAAGATGAACGAAGATAATTTGGAATATAGTAGCTTAAGTGAAGAATTAGAGAAAGAAATAAGACGATTAGAAGAAGAGAAAGAAGAGATACATGAAGCCTTGGATATAAGTGAAGTTAAATTGAGTGAATATGAAGAACTGATCAACAAGGTGAAAGAAGTGATGAACACAAATGAACAAGATTTGATAGAAGGGATAAAGAGATTGATGGGTTCACGAGATAAGCCAAGTGATCAGTCAGATGAAAATGTCAAAGAAGAATTAGCCAAGCGAATAAAACAAATGGAAAATGAGTTACGACAAGAAAAACAAAGGGGAGACAAAATGGAAAAAGCCAACTTGAAATTAGAGAAGCAATTGGAAGATGCATTAAACAAGAAATCATTCTTTTGTTTAAAATAAATTGACATGTGCACCAAAATAGTATACACGTGGCTTACCTTCTACTTGCAGCTTATGCAAACTTTATTGCATCACTTGGGGAGATATACTTATTCCATGTCACCTGGTGGTCTGTGCTTTTTATATATATTTTATAAAGGGGATCAGCCGATCAACCTTTATAGAATCATTTTCCGCGCTTTCACTTGTTTTTCATTTAAGGGGATAAAAAAAGAAATTCTTGTTTCCCTTTCCCTTGATTATTTATTATGTAAAAGGGATGAAACACTTGAGTATTACAAAGAATAACCCCTATTCTGTTAGTTCTATTTACTAAATAAAGCAAACACTCACAAAAGAGAAACAAGACAGTCCGTACGACTTGTGTATTCAAACAGGTGCAACTTGATATAAATACTGCCTTCAAAATAATATTTTTTCTTTTTTTTTTTTCTTTTCTTCTTTATTTTCCTTGTAATAAAAAAAAATGTCTTTTACTACTGTAAACAAACATCAATATTAGATAATAACAGTATATACTAATCTTATTTAATAGTATGCAACAAAATCTCGTTCATTTTGTCCTTTAATCTTATACCATGACAAACCATCCAAAGAACTATCAATGAACTTAAATGCTAATAGACATCAAAATCAATCAGCCATAGATCGTCATCGAGAAAGAACCAATGAAATGTTGCTGCATAATGCTCAATTTTGGATTGAGGGTCCTGGCTTAGTAGAAGGTATAAAAAATTTGCTTGTCATACATACCAGTGCATTAATATGTTTTGTTTACAGATGATATTAAAGTATCTCCAAGCACAAGCACAACATCTAATATCAGCTCTTCAAGTTCTGAAGACAGTATAGCAACCATTGACACATATCAACATCCTAGGATTACCAAGTACAACCAAGAACAATCACATGAATTGTCAGGAGGATATGTTTCTTCTACGCCACTTGAAAAATCATCATCAGAGACTACGACAAGTACCCCTTCAACAAATGGAAAGAGAAGGCGTAGAGGAAACCTTCCAAAGGAGGTCACCGAATTCCTCAGAAAGTGGTTAATACAACATAAAAAGCATCCTTACCCAGCAGAAAAAGAAAAAATTGATCTCGCTCAAAAGACAGGTCTGACTGTGAACCAGATTAGTAACTGGTTCATTAACGCCAGAAGACGTATTCTTCAACCTATGCTAGAATCAGAAAGTTTATGCGCTCAGATGATGGCCTATCCTGAATTAATGAATTCTGACAGACGTAGTAATATAAATAACAATAGACACAGACTCGATTTTTATCCCTATCATAAATCTTCAGGTAAGGGGTTGTAGTTGTATTTATTATGTAATATTAACCTTTTTTTTTTTCTTAGTCGAACAACCTCCTATTATCCACCATTATCCCATCGAAGAACGTTTTATGATGCATAACACCGTCGAAGAATATCATATGCGATAACTATGTACTATACCTTACCTCCCTTTCTCTTAAACCCCCTTTCCCTTCATTCGTATATATTATATATTTATTTTATTATGTAATGTCTATTATTGTTACTCTTATTGTTGCTCTTTGTTTAAAAAATTATGTTTGTACACGTAATTTATGAAAAAATATTTTCACATTTGTCAGATGTCTTGTTGTACATGTCAAACATATAAAGGTTCTCGAGTTTGTGAACAATCGATAAACACGTATTCATTCAAGCTCAGATAAAATGACGACTATGATTATGTGTGGGTGATGATGGTTGCTTGGCAACTGTTGATGGGTACATCAATGTTTGTATGTGTATATATCACCTTTTAGTGTTTATTTATCCTTGGATCAATTCATTTTTCTTTTTCTTTGTATGTGCAAAATAGGTTACCTAGCAAGTTGCCTAGTTACCCCTTATAGTTAACTTATCCTAGTTACCCCTTTTGGCTAATACTGTACATTTTGGTTGCCTGGGAGAATCACCTTCCCGATGCCTGATAGTTACATCATCCAATTTAAATACTTTTTTTTTTTTTACTTTTTACCATCCTATGCAAAATTATTTCTCATCCGTACAATAATAACAACAAGTTGAATGGACAGCCCATCAAGAAGTGAAGAGAAAGGTCATTGGGCCATTCATTTGTACTACAAACTTGTTTATTAGCTCAAAGGAGATATGTTTTTCTTATTTTGGACAAGGTTTTACACAATCAAACATAAAGGGTGAACAATCTTGTTTACATGAACAGTCTTTTTTTGTTGATTTTGACTATTCTGACATTAGAACGTAGTACATGCATGAGGTCCAAGCTTTCGTGCTTCTTTTTTTTATGCTCATGTGGGATTCATCTGTAAACGTATGATTATAGTTGTCCTTTTAGTGCATTTAAATTGGAGAATGCAAGCTGCACATCACCTGTCATATTGTATCTCATTGTGGTTACAGAAAATGGGGCATTTTTGGCTTGTTTTTGATGTCGGTAAAAAAAAATAAGTCATCATTCTTGCCTTTTTTTTTATTTATTTGTATTATCTTTGCCCATTGATTATAAATTCATTTATTCATATGCTTGTGTTTTAATATTGATTTATTTTTAAATAAATGTCCGAGAAAAAAAGCTCCTACCTGACGTCCCTTGAAAGACACCTGACAGCTTTTGTTGCTGCCAAATGTCATACAGGCAGAAAAAGACGAGGCTCAAAAAAATCGACCCACTCATATTTGTCTTACAGGAAAAAAGAGTCATTATGCTGTACTACTATCGGACCATATTTAAACTCTAGAAGCACAAATCATTTGAAATTCAGTTTTCTTTACTCTGGAAACAGTAACACATATCATGTACTGAAATTGGCAACTTTGATTAAAAACAGTGTAAACGAGTTCTACACGAGCATCGATACGAAGAAGGAAGCATGACTAACTTTATTAAAAAGATTCCGCTCGTCACTTGTACACAAGACTGATCTACAAGGTGTACCTTTCCCGTCATGAAAGGCTACGATTGTTTATCAGAAAAAAAAAAAAGGATCTCTGCTTGGCATAGCAAGGTTAGTTTCAGAGTTAAAAGAACTAAGACCGTTTTAGGCAAATGTGCTTCATATAAAGTGACCTTTTTCATGAAACGCAGCATTTTCAAACAATAAGCAACACTCAAAATATACCCCAACCTAACTTTATAAGGTGGGGTGGTTATCCTTTAAAGTAATAGTTCAATATCAAAACAAGATGCCATCTAGGGTATTAGTAGGCTTTTCTTTTTCGTTACAATAATAGGGCCTACTGTATGCTTCTTAGCCATTAGGAAAGGTTATTCTTTTCAAACCTTAAACTAAACCATGCCCTTCACATCAGTCAAACATAAGCTGCTCATTTCAAATATGTATGAGAAAAACTATAAAAAGAGCACAAATATAAACATAATTATTGGTGTGAAATGACGGTTCTATCCCAAGAAGCAGAATATTCCGGGACCTCTGTCTTCTGCTCATTACTCATTATGTACAATTAACTATTTTGAGAAGCGCATGGATCAAGATGTAAAAGTTTGTCCCTTGAAACCAGAAATTCGAAAATAGCATTATGAGCGAGGTCATGGCTGTATCAAATAAGCCTCACTTCATCATTAACCCACAGATAATTGGAAGGACGTTTCCAACGGCCGCTAACAGTCTAACCTCGGGATCAAACATCGATTTGGACTATCTGGTTCAATAACACTCCCTGGTTCAAATTGCGACCATAAATGTAATGTGTTTTGCTTATTTGCTTGGACTACTTAAAAGGAAGGTTGATAATTACCGTCTTTCCGTATGAAGCTCAAAGCTACAGCACATGCTCAATAAACAATTTTAGAACAACCCAAAGTTCCGGTTTACTTTAGTGGTTGACGGAAGCCTACATTGAGGTCAACTTCTCCATTCTTATCGTCCTATACATCACTGTCTGGCGTCTGCTGCGGCATTTTATGTGGCTTCTAAAGCGTCTAAGTTTCAACAATCTTTGCTCAGCCGCGTCCACAGTATCTTGGGTCATGGTATTCTTGAATCGATGCTAAGTACATTAAATAAAAAAGCCCATTGGAAACAATAATAGAGTGAGCTGTTTCTTGTCACTTTTGTACAACGCAACTTATCGAGTTGGACATGAAAGCACTCGATGTCTCTTTTGATCTTGCATAATCCTTTACACATTTGTCACTATGGGCTATGCCTTTATGCAAAGTAGTAGTTGAGTTCTTCTGTGCAAGCTATCCTGGGTAGTCGCTTGGATATTGGAAGGGGAAAAGTAGAGTTTATGCTGAATATATCGATTTGTACTATTTAGAGTTAAACACCTATCTACAAAAATGCGCCAAGGTCGAACATTGCTATTATACACGTTAACAAAGTAAGCTTGGTAGTCAAATGGTAACGGGCATAGCAAGCGTGCAGCAACCAGAACACTGCATGTGTTTGCTGCTGAACCTGGTCTTTGCTAAACTTGAAGAGATACATTTGGCCATTTTTACTAAATAACAATAGTTGTTTGCATGGTAAAACTACTGGACCTAGGACTAGGTCGATCCTTGTTCATGGGATTCATGCGGTTGCATTTTTTTCTTTTGCTACCACAGCAACTGAATTCTTTTTTCATCGATTTGAATTCCTTCCCCATATATGAAAAAAAAAAAAGAAATATATCAACACTTATAAAAGCACAGCAGAAGTATAGTTGAAGAAGCCAACAACAAAATATACAAAAGGTTTTGATGATCGGATAAAAATTCATCTTCTACATGTGACCAGCTTGTGTATATACAGGATTAAAAGAAGACTATCCCCTTACAAGCGATCAGCTTTTGGAGCTTAGATATAGACGAGTCCATAATTATAGAATGTTTACTTTTCGAAAGTATTCTTTAAAAAAATAGTGATACAGTGTTTTTTGTTTGAAAATTGCCAAATCAGAGTTTTCCTTTTTCATTTCCATATCAACACGTTCTTTTTCCTTCAGGCATAAAAATAACGTAGCAGTTAGTTCAAACGACCACTCCAATTTGTAGAGATATTTGCAGATCTCAATTCAACAAACTCCCATAATCGATCTTTCTTCAAGTTCATTTTGGAGAGGGTGACTGTATCCTTGATTGCTTGAACACCAAAAGTTGATTTTTTTAAGGCTGCTTTGAATCGGCTATTCTTAAAATGACTAAAGATGTAACAAAGTGCACCATTGCATTCGACTAAAAGCTTTAAGGCATCTTCAAGAGTATGACTGATGTTCTCTTGTAGTAGACCACTAGAAAATTCAATAAACAGAGCTTCGGAGTTATTGGCTTTTTGTTCTTTTCTTTAAATTCAGTACACTACGCGCACGAGGAAATCCACGAAAGGGCTAATGATACAAACTCCACCTGTGATGTCGTCAACCAACCTTTTCAATGTGCAGCGTCACGTTAAGCTTGTTCAGAAGCAAACATCTTTCATGTGTCTTGATGTAGAATAAGAATTTATCTTTTAAGAAGAAAGAGATAAAATGTGATTATTGCTGTATTTTAATGTTTTAATGTCTCCAGTTTGATCAACAAAGAACCAACGTCAATCACGCACAATTATGGTATATACGTATTCTAAATCAAAGGATATCCCGCAGGACAGCTTTAGGTTAGGTAGACACTTTGGTAGTGTGAGCTTGTACAGTGACGCCACATGTGTAGGAGAATAAGCGCCCGTATCATTAGCCTTCTCGTGGATTTCCTCGTGTGCGTAGTGTACATCTAAAGATGTTTGAACTAACTGCTACGTTATTTTTATGCCTGAAGGAAAAAGAATGTGTTGATATGGAAATGAAAAAGGGAAACTCTGGTTTGGCAGTTGTCCCAAAGGAAGAAGCTCTCGCTGCTCTGTTGAGCTTCCCTGAATTGTAATAATGGGCAAACATCTCAAACATCCCTATTGATTGTTAAGGATTTCTACTGGTTTTGCAAAATTTTATTAAATCCAAACATTTCTATTGTCCAAACAAAAGTTTCTATTTTCAAACGCAAAACACTGTAATAGGAATAGATTTCCTTTTTTACTCTTTTGTTTGCAAGGGTACAGTTGATAGTGACTTGGGTGATCATGCGCTCACTGATACTTTTAGTGCAACAGAGTATTGAATGAATGATATTTAAAACAGTCTCAATTCAGTCATGACTAGGTGCTAGCGTTGTATTATTAGCCAAAAAGTCAACCCAATTTATTATTATATTATTATTATTAGCGTCTATTCAGAACCGAATTAACATGAAAAACAATGAAAAGGTCTGTGCGTACAGTAGCCGATGGTTGTTATCCTGACCAAGCTATTGGAAAGCTGATAACATTTTATTATGGCCATGAAGAGGCGCCATTTTAATTACTTTTTTCATCATGGATTTTACTTGATTAGGCTTCTCCGTATAGTATATCTGCTTCCTGTGAACCTCAATTCGCTTTTGAATGAGTGGCACAAAATCATCAAAGGCACTCTTAATCTGTGCCTCTATAGCATCGTTCCTTTTCAGCGCTTCATTCAGTGAATATGTCTCGTCATCTTCCACCTTATGTTTTAATAAACGAATCAAGATGGGAGACATTGTGGCTTCTTCTAGAGCTTGATTGAATATAGACACATAGACTTCCTGTGTACTCTCCGTTTCGGTCTTGTATGCGTTTTCCATCATAGCATAAAGAGAGTCTTGAACGACATCCATACAATCATAGTTACGTCGTTGAATCGCCTGGATTATTCGGTGATACGATTTAGCTTTGGCCCTTGTCGCTTCCGGCTTGGTCATCGGTCTCTGTTGAGATCGTTCGATGATCATGCGTGTTAGGAAATGGTTGGCCTTTTCTGCCATAATAGAATCACAATTACCGGGCCCCAAGGTTGCTTTACCCATTGCCTCTCCCAAATGATAGGCGTCCATTAAGTTGTATGACTTGTGTCGCTTAATCTCGACTAAAAAGTCTAGGATATCCGACAACAACACGATACCTCTCTTGGATATAAACTTGGAAAGTTCTTCAAGTGTGCATGCTTGAGAGTTTCGGTTAGTTATTTCCTTTTAGTTTCTTCAAAAGCATATTTTTACTTTCATAATTTATCGTCTTCCACACTTTTCTGGATATAATACGCTCTTGGCAGCACCAAAGCGTATCCTGCATTAATGTAGCCACTGAATGAATACTGACATGATGTAAGTCTTCAGCTGTGCACTGCTGTTTACGAAACACTTTTAATAGGAGAACACTGTTAGGGACTAAGAAGATGAAGATTAGCAACTGATATAAAAGGGAGAAAATAAAGGGGAGTATAAAAAAGGGGGGACGATGGAGGCGCTTTTATCAAGGCTTCTAATGTCAAAATCAAACAAAAAAAAAAAAAAAGAAATGATACGAATATAGGAGTAGAGATAAATAAAGAATGCCTACCTGATTTACGCAATATTTTGCGCTCTGTTAGGCCTATTGCATGTTTGCGTTAGACAGTTCCTAAGTATAACCATACGCATTCTACCTCTCGATAAGATTTCTTCCATACACAATCGACTCACATGAGCTGCAAACTCTAGAGAATACATTGCTTCCAGTGATAAAGATAATTGCTCTTGTTATTAGTTTTATCTTGTGGTTTTCTACGAGAAATCTGGTTCTCTCGTAATAACTATGTGGGTTTGAAAAGAGAAGAAAAAGAAAAGAATTGAACAACTAGACACGTTTAAGCTTTTTTTTTTTGATTCTTGTTGGTCCCTTAGCTTTAAGGTTCTTGTACATAAACTTTATATTTGGGTAGATTTGCAAGAAAAAGGGAGGAGGTAAAACCCTTTTCCTGTTTACTTTTTTCCTTTTCTTTTCTTTTCTTTTTTTCTTTTCTTTTTTTCCTTATCCCCTTTCATCTACTTTATTCTCCTTTTACTACCTGTTGGAGGCTCTAGTGTCACTAACTCTTGAAATGGTTCTTTGAATAAGAGGGTAATGATATTATGCCTCCTTCTTAGGCATATAATGGCTTAATCGGCTTTTTAGACAAAAGGCTTTCTTTTGGAACGACATGCAATATTCATTAGGAAAACTTTGAATATCTTTGTGATACTGAATGGCTGAGACATGTGCGTTGATTCTTGAGATAGAAGAGAGGAATAAACTTACTCTTTATCTTGTAAATGATAATTAGGCGCAATATAATTTTTTACCTTTTGCACAGATCTCCTTATCGAGATATAATAGATTTGACCTTTCCAATGCCTATGCCTCCTCTTTAAATGATCCACCTTTAAATAGTTAATTACATATATATGTCATTAATATTAGAGGAATGAATAGTATGACTTGTAATAGTAATGATATTCTTAATAAGGCAAAGTACATCCATCGAACTGCGGCATCTTTAGAGAATAGTATTTTGTGAGCGCACATCGTCCTCTCTTTATTGTTTAGACTTTTTACAGCCTTTGGCTGAACCAATATTGCCATGAATACCAACAATAAGATCTAAATTTGATTTTAAGAATTTCTTATTATGAAGAGCTTAGTCAAAGGTTCTTCTTTTCAATAAAGGATATGTTATCATCATCGTTGTTGATACACCCTGATCGACTACAGCAATGAATCATGATCCGTTACTACACAGAACAAACTCTAAATCTCACTCACACACATATTTCCGCTTTTTTTTTATATATATATAACTTTGGTGACCCTTAACAAAGGAGTAACCTCAATTGTCAATAAAGCACTTACTGGATAAATTCCAGTCATTGCTATCTGAGCCCTTTATTGATCATTTTCAAAAAGTAAAACGAAATAAATTTATGCAAAGACATACAATCCGATGCTGTTTTGCTTTTTATTACAGTTCTTCCAATAAGCATTTGCCGTTGGTGCATTCATTGTTCAATTGTTTGTCTCATATCCTTGGTATTGAGGAGTTATGTCCTTTTTGCAATGACTTTGCGACTTTCACCACACATCAAAAAACACGCCTGCAAATATACAATCAGCATTCCATTCTGTTGCCTACGAACACCTACAGGGCAAAGCTTGGAAGCAGCAATCTAGGAATTGCAAAAGTACGTTACTTTGCATACCCGTGCTGCGAATACTATACTACTTCAAATGACGAATTGAAAGTGCACGTGGAGCAATATGGCTTCAAGGTACTCTCTCTTGATAATACTTCGTCTTGGATAGTGCAGAACATAAATACTGTCATCAAGTTTTATGATTATTTCTCTTTGTGCTTGTCGAACTTTCAAAGCAACATGGATGTTGATCGGTGCTTCAATGATCTTCTGTAAGTGCTCTGTTTCTGAAAACGCGAAATTGATTTCGATTGGCCTGCAGCATTAATTTCAATTGGCTGCGGCATTGCTTGTTGGAAGAACTGCATTATTTTTATTTTTGAGCAAGGGCTATCTTTGATAGATCATGTTTGCTTACTACCGCTCAATTTGCCACAATTCAGCCATTCAACGCATTTTAAAGGGATCAATATCTAATTCGGATCCTACCGATCTCGTTCTTGTCAAGGCAAAATAAAAACAAGCAAGTAAACAAAAAGGTATTGACATTACAATAGGGGAATAATCTGGATTGGCACACGATTGATTCTTCACTTGAGAATGTACTTTGTTTGCAATTACAACAAGCAGCATTTGGCAACATAATAGACGCACGTTTACTTTCTTGTCATTTCAGTGATCAACAAGAGTATCTAGAAACTGAAGAGACATATGAAGAAATGAGTTACTCGCGGAAAGTCAGAAAGCACTCTTTTATTCAAGGACAAGACGTTCTAGTGATACTTTCTGAATATGGCAAAATGATTTTCACAACAATACATCGTCTTTCCGACAACATAAAACGGTTTGAGACTCTAGCAGAGGTAAGTGAACATTGATTTGAAAAGACAAATAAGAATTAACCTTTTTAAGATTTATCTGGATTCCCCTGGGTTAGAATATACAAAAATGGGAAAGAAGTTAGCCGTTGATCCATGGTAATAACAAGAGAAAGAGAAGCGATGAAGTGTGATTTATAACATGTATCATAACAGCTCAAGAGCAATCGCTGTAGCCTCATTGCAAGACAAGTTTGACATTTTTATTTTAAGCCCAACATTATCAAGGTCAAGGTTTGATCCAGTCATTGGTGTAAAGTGTGCGCGTATACAAAAAATAGTGATATATCAATCTAAAATACTTGATAAACTAGAGAGGCTCCCAAATTGAAGAAGGCATCATTTGGCATATGGAGTTTTTACATACAGAGTCAACCTCGATGGACAGAATACTGTTAGCTCTTGTAATATACAAGTAAGACATTTGACGTAGTTTTTTTTTTTTTACAAGTCTCACTTTGTTTCATTTAGCGATGTCGAAAAAATATGTCGATTAGTATTGTACGTTATTAACGCTTCCAACTTACAAAATGTCACTATGGAAAGAATCGGACGATTACCATTGGAAAGCAGTAATGATTAAAAAGGAAAAAAGGAATCTATTGATGCTAACCTGCATACGTCAGATACACCACTACCACTGCTCCTTATTCCCCTTCAGTCTCGACCTGAATCGTTTTTATTGGTTACCGTAAGTTAATTCTCAAAGTATATCTCTACTTTACTTATAATTTCTTATAGGAACAACAAGTATGTCTGTTATCTTCTGATGATCTTGCGTGCGGAAATGTACTGTATCCAAATAGTTTTATTCCTAGAGCGTTTGGAAGCATTGACTGTAATAGACTCCTTTCAACGTTAATTCAGGGCTTTACTCAATTATTAAGCATCTAGGTCCACTATTTAATGCTGCTACTCAGCACGAGGACTTGGATAAAAGCTATGTATATCTTGGATCAGCAGAAGGATGTATATACAGACTGCACATAACGTCTTCAAATGAAATGAGTTGGACTCTTATCGATTCAGTAAATCCAATTGGCCAATCTATGTGTCTGCTTGGAACAGCTGATCTAGTAAACGATAACAACACGATCAGAGCGGACGTACTGCTATATGCAGGAGAATGCGCTGATAGTCAAGTTATAGCTGTAAGCATATGCAGAGTAGTTTTGTCAGTTTCACTTACTTTAAGGTTCTTACAGATTCCGTGCCCTGATGTCAGTCAATGGGAAACTCCTACGATCACGGTTTTGCAAAGCTTGGTTAATCGAGCACCCATTACGGATGTAGAAAAAATATCTGGTTATTATGGACAGCAAGAGAGTTTGGCTGTCTGCTCCGGTATAGGCAAGCAGGGATGCTTAACATTTATCGCCCGTGGTGTGAAAGCACGCAAAGTGTCTTTTTCTCAACCAGAGTGGAAAGGGTATAGATATTTTGTATATATTGCTTTCTTTTTCTAAAACTCTCTAGTATCAACCGGCTATGGAGCATTAATTCAACAGCTTCGCACCTACCGGAGATTTCTTGCTTAATGGCTTCCTCTCCTATTGACTCTAGGCTAATAGCAGCTAAAGGTAGAAACAGCTTGATATGAATTGATTAAGCTCACATAAAATACATAGATGGACAATTACAAGATATTATGCTCTCAACGTACGACGAAGCTTTATCAGAAACTATTCATGCAAACACTATTTACGTGAAAAGCGTTTGGCTATTGTTGAGAGCCCACTTTAAAGGCATTTCAATACTCATGGTGCAAGATCAGAATACACTAATACTCACACAGCATAGAATTAGCGACTCTGAAGGCAATATAGAGCATGCCACTTCATGGCAGGATTCTCATGGAACCTATGTTGCCATTTGCTTGCTGAAGGAGAAAGGATATGTGGTGCAGATACTTAGCATTGAAGATGACGGTATAAATGAGGACTGTACTCAAATACAGCTGTGTATCCGTCCTATCAAAGAAATTTGTGTAGATGACTGCCCTAGCTTCATTGATTGTCTGCAAGTGAAGTCATCCTCATGGCTCATTATTGGCACATACAAGCCTTCATGCATCATTTACGAAATGCAGGGCACGGGTATTCAAATGAATCAGAATATCGATTTGGGTAAGCATCACGTATTAAATGATCTTATGAGTAATTCACAACTTGTTATGTTAAAGGCTCAACAACATTAGGTGCATATGCAGTTCCGCACTCTGTAGGCATACTGCACTCACCACATATCCCAAACATGCCTTTCTACCTTTTACTTGGAATTCGACAGGGCTCAATTTTGAGCTTTCGACTACAACACACAGCTCACAGGCTTACTCTTTCTGATGAACCGCCCTTGATTTACACATTAGGGTCTCTAGCAGTATCCTTGACTGTATGTCTCGCAAAAGATACCATATATGCGTTATCCAACCAGTTATGGCAACTGCGATGCAATAGCAGCAACGTGATCGAGATCGAGCAGGTTTTACTACAAGACTTTGACCGACCTCCTGATGCGGTTGTCTTTTTTAACTGGGGCACTGAGGCAAAGGATGAGGTATTGGCTATTGTTGCAGATGATAGGCTGCATCTCTTTCAGTTAAGCCCAAACAGTCGACTCAATTTTCATAATGTTGAGCTGGGACAGGTATTATGTATGATGTATTACTTGTAACAGAGCTAACATATTTTTTTCTTATATCAGACACCAAGAAAAATTATTTATAACGAATCCCTCAACTATGTTATTGCGCTGACGTCAACCATTATATCCGGCACTCGCAAAAACTACATGCATCTTATTAATCCAAAAAGGTATATGTACATAAGGCAGTGACATAAAGAAAAGAAAGCTAACCTTTACTATTTAGTGGTCACTTCCTAACAGAGAGTCAACGTGTGGGGCGAGATAACAATTATGCAAAGAATGACATGATACTTTCAGCTGCTGGTAAAACTTTTATATAGTATACAAAATCAATTTTTAATTACTTTTACTACAGAGTGGTGTGTGGTGTATAAATCAAAGCAATATCAATATCTTTGTGTAGGCTTTGGTCATCCAAAAGAATCTCTGCATACGCTACGAAACGGCCCTCTACGATCTCCAGAGACATCTATTGAACGAGGCACATTAGTGCTATATCGACTCAAAGCATATGCAAAACGTGGCTCTGTATTAAAGCGCATTTGGATAAATGAAAGATTGCCGGGCGGTGTCCTTTCCATTTGTCCATACTCTGCTGGGTAGACAAAATATAGCATAAAAGAAAGCAAACTGACCGTATTGACATAGGCTTCTCTTTTCGGCAGGAAATCGCCTATATCTTTATAGATTTGACTCAGAATCTGGAAGGTAAGCATAAGCTGATATATTTGACTTGTCTTAAAACGCAATCCTTTCTTTTTTTTTTTATTATTGCATAAAAAGACTAGCAGAAATTGCCCATATAACGTTACCAAACGTTATCAAGTCTATTCATGAAAATAAGGGACATATATGTATTACTTCACAAGCAGACTCTGTTTCGTTCTACAAGTTTAATGAAGACAAGAAAGGCTTTGAACTCCTAGCAAGGTACAAACGACGATCCCTCTATATTTCTTTTTATCCAACCACTTTAATAGCGATATCAATGCCATGTCAATTCATCATTTACTCATGTTAAATGATCATACTGTTGTGGGAGTTAGCTATTCTGGAGGCATGGTTGCTTTAAATGGTAACTTTGGAGAAGAAAATGCAAGTAAACGACTTGAGTCGCTATTTTCGTTTCATTTTTCAGACATTATGGTCAAGCCTACGCTGGCAGCACTTAAGCCACTCAACAATGTGTCTAAAGACATGGATCTCTTATTGAATAACGTAATACCCTGGGATACAAGTGAATACGATTTACAAGAGCTTAAACCAATCGTCTGCTGTACAGTGTCAGGAGGCATACTTCATATTTATAGAATCAGCAGTCAGTTATACCGTGTCTTGAATGTACTCCAAGAGCTCTTATTGATATTTGAGCCTACATTGCCGCTACTTGGAGCCACAAGTGATTTTCAAGACTGGTACTGTCAATTATCTAGTAGACAAAAAGCAACCATACATGGTGACCTTGTAGAATCCTATCTGAGACTTTCATTTGATGAACAGTTGTCAGTTTTACGGCCAGGTGGCAGCCTTAGCTCTGAACTAGCCGCTGCTGCCAATGATTTGCTAATAGGATCAAATGACACTGCGATTGACCTTGAAAGTGAACAAGAGGATAACAAGACGAGGATCATAGCTTATTTACTAATTAGCTTATTATCCGAATTTTCAAGATACTGTTAATAATGCATTTATCCTGCTATTTTATAATGAATAAACAGATGTACGGTTTGTTTAGCTTTTATTGTTTGATAAGATCGGAAACAGACAAGATATCTCCACTATCTGATTCTAGATGACCAATATAAGCAGCATCTGCCATATTGCAAAATAAACCTACATCCAGAACACCTGTTAGAGATTTAATCTCCTTGTAAAGTAAATCTGGATTTTGTATGGGGCCGAAGTGGCAGTCCAGAATGAAGTTGCCGTTATCTGTCACCACTGGTCCCGCTTTATCTGATGGCTGTGCGATCCTTAGTCGAATAAGAGCATCTGGAAACATTTCTCTAAGTGTATACTGAATAGGACTTAGAGCCATAGGTACAACTTCGACGGGTACTCCTCGCTTCCACTATTACATATTTATTTAAAAAATCATTGAAATATATACATTGTTAGTTTACCTTTGTTCCTAGTTGATGTGATCGTTTCCTTTCATCTATATTCAATTTAGTCATTGATATCTAAGCCCTAACCCACATAATATTACCAGCTATCAAAACAAACCGCCGGGATGCTTTGGCTACTAGTCTTTCCTGGAAAAGACATGCTCCTCCGCCTTTAATAACATTCAATCTTGGATCGATTTCATCTGCGCCATCGACAGTAACGTCAATCCTTGAATATCTTTTATAAACATCAGCACAGGAAAAAAAAAAAAAGATAATACATTTCTTTACTGTTCTAAGTTGCCCAATTTTAGATTATTGGCAAGTATAAGCTGTCGCGTCTGAAAGCTAGTTGGTATACATATCACGTCTTGTGCTATCTTGTGCTTTTTTAACTCGTCAATGGCGTAAACGATTGTTGTGCCCGAACCAAGACCAATGACAGAAGGCTGACTGTCGATGACATGACGGATTGCTTTAATAGCAGCCCATCTCTTACCTTGTTCTGCTGATTCTGTAGACACTTGTCTTTTCTTCAAAAAGTGAAAATGAGTTCTAATGGTTTGTCTTGCTTGAATTGAAAAAAATGTCATTGCCCTCAAAGCAATTATAAAAAGAAAGAAAAGAAGAAAAAAAGAGAGGCAATTAGTTTATTGTGGGAGAACAATAGAGTTGATAGTATAGAAAGCTTAGGAGAAGAAAAGTGTATTCAAATGATATGAAGACTAGCATTAATAACCTTCGGAAACAGAGCTTTTGCATGAATAATGAAGCTCGAGTTTTTTCGTGCATGTTGCGTTTCCTATCGCCTTGGAGACAATGGCTTAATTCTCGGCCCGGCGACGATCCGGAAATTGAAAATATGCGTCAAATTACCTTCCGGTTGGCCCCTGCCTAGGAACACTTTAATAGAGACAAGAAATAAAAAAAAAAAGGGTTTCACCACTCTGCGCAATTCAACATGTCCTTTCGCTCCACCTTTGCTTTCAAAAGCCTATTAAGGCATGGAAATATAACAACAGTATGCTACCAAAGGCATATGACAAGAACTATTATGAATTATAGACAACCAGCAATACGCAATCTCAACCAACCACGATTCTTTTCTTCAGCAAGCAAGGACAAACAGAATATCTCAGAAATATCAAACATGGTGTCGTCTCCTGAACTACTCCAGGCAGCGAAATCAGAACCAAAAGGATCCAAGCTGAAAGAGCTCTCAAAAAAATATGGAGCAGTAGGCATTCTCGTTTATCTCGGTGTTGGATTTGTCGACTTGGGAATAACCCTTGGTATCATTCAGTTTGCAGGTTTAGAAAAGGTGAAATCATTGGAAGAAGCAACATTAGATATTGCTCGAAATGCTGGTGAACGTATTGGAGTGTATAAACGAAAAGTGATTGATCATCCAGAGACTACAGAAAATGACAAGGATGAAGCTCCATCTTTTGCTTCTGTCTTCATCTTGGCGTATGGCATTCATAAAACCATTCTACTTCCTGTTCGACTTGGCATTACTGCAGCAATCACACCGGCAGTTGTTCGTAAGATCCATCAGTTGGGATGGGCTCGTTATCTTCCTCGAATCCTAGGTGGTTCTCCAAAGATATAGATTATACACACACATGATTTTTATATGCATTTGACAACACGGCTGATTTATGATAGATCAATGACCATCATACCTTTTACTATAATAATAAATAGATCAATCAAATACAAGAATTCTTTATTAAAGCGCTTTCAGCTGAAATCGATCTTCTTCACCAGGACATACGACCCTGTTATAATCATTTACAGTGTATATGTTTGGTATACTTTCCAGTGGCTTCCAGAATGTATTCCAATAAGTCTAAGTATTATGCACATGAGCTTTCATCTCTTTTTTTTTTTCAAACAATCTGTATTACCTTTGCAAATGTTCCATGTCCAATTACAGAAGGATGAAAACAATCACCATCACTATTTTTAAGGATCAGAAGGGAAGGCATTGATCATATAAGCCTACAATATTACCTAAACATTTGAACAGGAAGGGAGGCCAAATCAACATTAGCAGGCGTATACATGATACCAAACGTTGGGTCATTGAATTCATTATATTTTTTAGCAAGTTTAAACACTATAGAATCATAGGCTATAATATGCTTCGGTTAGATTTTACACTTAAAATTTTTAAACATATTCCTTTACCAGCTGCTGCGATATCTACCTCCTTCTTGAAACCATGAGTAGCACAAAAACATTCTAGACTATTTGTCTGGAAATCGCCAAAGATAGTTGCACTGCAGTAAGGATTTCCTGTAGTCAATTCATAAACATTGGTGACATTAAATACACCAACTATTCATTTCATCCCACAAAAAAAAAAGCTTAGTAACTTTATTTTTCTTGTCTTTTGTGTATTTACTTAGATTAACTAAAACACGAGGAACCTCCTTTCTGATACGACGAAGGGCAGAATTTAATGATTTTTCATATCCCTCTGGAGTAAGTAATGGTCCATAGACTGAACAGATATAACACTGATCGACACCTATTGTAAGCTGTGTAAGTCCTTCTTCCTAGTATGCTTATCTATGCGTTAAATCCCTACTTCCTATTTGAATAGTGATCATTTTCCAATCATTCTCAAAATCTAATCCTAGTGTCTTTCTCATAGCTATCAGACAGTGAGTCCATGGTAAATATACAAAGAAAGGGAAGAGGATTGGTAAGCAATACCTGGAATGAGGTAATCTAGCTCCATTCCCAAGTCAAAAGACATGGCGGCGCTTTGAGCAGCATTGAAACGGTCTTTTTCTGGATGATCTTTACAAAACAAATAAGTATTTTTGGACGCTTTAAAGAAAATCATCATCATTACATTGCCATTTAGGACACAAACCAAAGTAGCAAAACTCAACCCAATGGTCACCTACTGAGCCTCCGATCACATTTGGGCTGTAATGTTTAATAAAGTTTGGAATAGTGATCGCACCTGGATTTCCGCCTGCTCCATATGTTATCCCACGATCTTCCAATGCTATATTGATATTCAAAGTGCGAGATCCTTCGAGTCCTTTTGAGACAGCACCTGCCATGATACTAGTTGAGACGGGTTATATGTCCTGTTTTTTCTTTTTTTCTTTTGTTCAGTCATGCTTCACACACTTCCTCTTACCTATCACCTAGTGCGCCCACTACTTTTATGTCATCAGCACGAAGGTCACGTACTGATGTTGGACGGGCCCTTGGTTGTAATCGAGGGCAATCTTCTATTCGTTCAGCATATTGATAAGCATCATTGAAGGCAAGGGTTGATATTAGGATCGTAAACGTCACAATAAATAAATACTGCATTATACAAGAGAGGAAAAAATGGGTATTTATTACATTTTTATACAAAATTTGACAGTTTAAATTAAAATGGTCTCTTAAATCTTTGTTTTCTTTTTAGGGAGAGAGAAGAAGAGAGGCGATAAGGAACAAAAGTGGCGTAAAGATAAGTTGACAATTGTTACCATAGCAACATGGTTCCAACGAAAAATGAAATCAAGCAAAATATATTATACTATGGCTGTAGTTTACAAGTACAAAAGAATATGCTCCTGTTACACGAGATCAAAATCGCAGTCATTGTCCCTGAATTTATTCAGTGACATTTAACCAAATATAGATGCATTCTTTACACTTAAAAATAGTAAGAGAAAGCTTTTGTTTCAAGATGGAGCATAATTTACTACTTTAGGTTACATCAAAAGGATATACATTCGAAAGGGTAATATTTATTATGTACTATATATGTGTATAAAGAGAGAGGGAAAAAAAAAGGAAAACACAGAAAAAAAAAAATGCACAAGTGTAGTGTGTAAATACATGCAATGGATTATACAATAAAATGATTACAGATAAAAGCTTCGTACATCATTTGCTCCAAAAGGTTCGCTACAAGTAGGACATCGTCTTTGTCTAGTCTCTAATCGAGCATCGATACAACTCTTGCAGAATGTATGCATACACCGTATGAGAATATGACTTCTAAACCGTGTACGACATGTGTTACATTTTAGAAGTGCCTATTGATATAAAGTTGAGTAAGAACATACAATCAGCTTTCATTCTTCGTCATTACCCTAAGTTCATCACATTCTTCTGCTAATTGCTGCTCCGCTGAATTATCACCTTGAGACATCTTTTCCCATTTTTTCTTCATCTTTTCATAGTTTTCTCTAACCTCTTCTTGTAATTGCTTTTCTTCTTCCATTAGCTTCATTTTATCTTTTAGTATTTTTTGAAGCTATATCTGTTATTTAATAACGTTTGTCTTTAAGCTACAACACAATTACCTCCGTTAGTAATACTTCGTTTTGATCTATAGTCACTCTATAATCATCGCATACGTGTGAAATATCCTCTAAATCGATTCTATCTTCTTCTATGTTCCTATTTAGCTTTCTAAGTTCATTTTCTTTTTCAATCTAAGCAAGTGAGTTAGTGATAATCTACCAAACATTTCATTTATAAGTACCACTTGTATTTCTAAATTCTTTTCTTTTTCTTCAAGTTGTTTGATCAATTCCTGCTGTTTTTCTCTTGTGGCCTTTAAAGATAAAACAGTAGACATTTGTTTCTCTTTTGCTGACAGTAGAGATCCAAATGTTTGGGCATATTTTAATATCTTTAAAATAATAAGGAACACTGTTTGATGCATATGCTATCTAAAATACCTCTGCCTGTAGTTTAAGCATTTGATCACGCTTTTGAGCAAAATCAAACACCTTTTTGCTTTGTTGTTCTTCTAACTTTCCATAAATACTGGCTACACGATCGATCTCTTCTAACAGATGACTCTCGTTCTTTTCCAAAAAGTCTACCATTAATGCAGACTTTTGAGAATCTTCATAAATCTGATCATATTGCTTCACTAATGAATGCGAGCTCCATTTCTCCAAAGCCTGTTGCATTGCTTTGATATCGAAATGACTCTCTTGTGTTTCTTTTTTCTCCATTAGCTGTAAGCTTGATAGTAGTATCTCCATATGGCTTTTAAAGAGGATTAGTGTTTGTATGTATCCTAAAAGTTTAATCTTACCTTAGCTGCTTCTTTAAACTATTATACATATTTGCTTCTTTTTCAAATGGGCCAGCCATTTCTTGATCATTTTTTAATTTATCGATTCGGTTTTCTAAGGATGCGATTCGAGTTTTTCCCTGGGTTGCAAATGAAATGATCTTGTCGTATCCTTCTTTTTCCCTTGTCTCCTTTATTTTTTGTTCTTCTACTAACGCCTGAAAGCTGTCCCTTTGTCCACGAATACGATTGAGATCTCCTTCCATCCTGCGTATCTCAGATTCCATGGTCATTCCCTGTGATACCTTTTCAGACTTTACTTGTTCTATCAGTTGCTTTCTGGCAGCAGACATCTTATCCAGTTCACGTTCCAGTTCTACCCTTTTTTGCTCTAAATCATGACATCGATTTTTGTAATGATCGATAGAGAGCTGTAGTGTTTTGACATACTCAGTCTCCAGTAGTCGTTCTTCGCTCAACTTAAACATGGACAATAACCTGTCTTCATCTTGCAGTAGGTTTTGGCGATCTTTTTTCAAATCATCAATTTCTTTCTCTCTTGCTGACAGAATAAGTCTATGCTCTTCTAATTGTGTCTTGACTGATTGCTCTTCAGCAGGGCCCTTTTAAAAATGTTGTTTTTAGTATGCTATTGGCGCTTTACGCTTTTAATATATTACCTCTAGTGTTGCCTCTTGTTTTTCCTTTTTTACAGAAGATGATGCAGGCTGGTCATCAGTTGCTGTACTAGGCCCACTATCAGTCATTCCTCCTAAACCGCCCATAGTTAATGCTGCTACCGTTTTGCTCTTTGCACGATCCTTTCTTCTGCAAACCGCCGATAGTTCTTGGATACAATTTTCTAATTTTTCAGTAGTTTCAGCTAATTGTTCTTTTGCCAAAACGACATTTCCTTCTGCTGCTCTTGTTTCATCTTCTAAATGTTGCAATCTTTGCTGTAATTCTGTCATGACCAGTTCGCCTCGTTTATAGCACTGTTCAAGATCGACAATTTCATTTTTAAGCCAATCAGAGATGATGACTCGCTTAAGCATGATGTCATCCTCTAAACGAAATCTTCTTTCAATCAGTTCTGCTTGTTTGCTCCAGCTTTCTAGCCTTGTCAGTGCTTTAGTTCCAAGCTCTTTGATGGTTAACAAACTGTTATAGCACCAGTCTTTTTGTTCTTCCAACGTCATTTTTGCTGATAAAGGAACTAGTAATGTGTTAAATTGGAATTAGTTGAACATGGGTATGGATCATACCAGAAGGTTCAGGCAAATCAAGATTGACCAATATTTTAGCCATGAATAGAATTTCAGATTGAATCTGAAAAGAGCGGGTTAGCACATACAATAATGTAGATTATAATAAACATACAAGATTCCATTCAATTCGTAATAGGCTTTGAGTTGCTTCTTTGTTGATAAATGATTGTTCAAGCGCATCATGTTTTTGTTCCAAATAATTGGCTTCTTCCTAAGTTGATGAATTAGAATTGACAATTGTTTACATGTCAACTTACTTTAGCAGAACGCATATGGGTTAATAAAGCGTCTTTTGTAAAAGTAGAAGAATCAATCTACAGTAAAGATTAGCACATGAATAGATTGATGTAGAAATAGAGACTAACTTTACAGGAAATTCTATATTAGCCATAGGAAACTTGTCTATACGACCTAATGGTTCCATTGGAGTATCACTAGTATTAGTACTAGTACTAGAAGTAGCAATAACAGTAGTAGTCGTAGTCGTAGTCGTGGGTGTATGAATAACAGGTAAGGTATTCACTTGACTAGTTGCTTGCTGTACGTTCATTGAGCTTGTAAATCTCTTTTTGAGAGGTGGTCTTGAAGGTATAGAGGATACTGTTTCATTCGTATTTTCGTCTATTAAAGGACGCTTTTTCTCAGAGGAAGCCATTTAGGTTTATGAAGAAAGAGAAAGAGGGAAAAAAAGTGAAATTTTGTAAAGTCATCATTTTGGTTTTAGTGGTGGAGTTTCAAACTTGATATGTTTTTATTTGGGGGTTTACATACACACTGTCACTGATAGCTGAAGTTGCTATGTTGACGATGAAAGCCTCTAAAAGTAAGCTGACAAATAATAATAACAAGATAAATGTTGTCAAAACATAATGAAAATAATGAAAAAGGAGACTATTTTAAAGATTTGGTTTGATTAAATAAAATAAATAAATAAATAAAAAATCAGCTAAAATCATTTTTAATCAATCACCCGTGAGATTCCTTGTTGTTCTTTTTAAGGAAATCAAAGAACTTTCTTCATGCGATGACATCAATATAAACCAATCATATTCGATTACGCACTGGTTACGCCGCAGCTCATTTTAGAATATAAATATCCTCCCTTTTACCCTTTGTTTTGTTTTTCTTTTTTTTTCTTTTACATTCTATTCTTTATTTCTTATTTAAAAAATGCAAATCTTCGTAAAGACTCTTACCGGCAAGACCATTACTTTGGAAGTCGAATCTTCTGATAGTATCGAAAACGTCAAGCAAAAGATCCAAGACAAGGAAGGTATCCCTCCTGACCAACAGAGACTTATCTTTGCTGGTAAACAACTCGAAGATGGCCGTACCCTCTCTGACTACAACATCCAAAAGGAATCTACTCTTCACTTGGTTCTCCGTCTTCGTGGTGGTATGCAAATCTTTGTTAAGACTCTCACTGGTAAAACTATTACCTTGGAAGTCGAGTCCTCTGATAGTATCGAAAATGTCAAGCAAAAGATCCAAGACAAGGAAGGTATCCCTCCTGATCAACAACGTCTCATTTTCGCCGGTAAACAACTCGAAGATGGCCGTACCCTCTCTGACTACAACATCCAAAAGGAATCTACTCTTCACTTGGTTCTCCGTCTTCGTGGTGGTATGCAAATCTTTGTCAAGACTCTCACTGGTAAAACTATTACCTTGGAAGTCGAGTCCTCTGATAGTATCGAAAATGTCAAGCAAAAGATCCAAGACAAGGAAGGTATCCCTCCTGATCAACAACGTCTCATTTTCGCCGGCAAGCAGCTCGAAGATGGTCGTACTTTGAGTGATTACAACATCCAAAAAGAATCTACTCTTCACTTGGTCCTTCGTCTTCGTGGCGGTCAATAAACATGTCATACACCCTTTTTATAAATTCATTTTTGTGTCAATAAACAAAGCAAAATAGCTTACTAGCCTGCATTACAAACATGTATTGCAATATACAAAACTGCCTTTTTTTTTATTTATGATACAAGCAACTTATTTTTTTTAAAGGGGCTTTTAGTAATTAGGATCGTCTCTGTGTCTTTTTACTTGTCTTTGTCTAAATAAATCAAACTCGGGTGGTCTATTAGGCCCAACACCTAACAGATTGTTGTGTTTAAGTACGTGTGCCATGTGTTGTTTTCATCTTCTTCGTTTACCTTTTTGTCCTTGATAGTCATCATCATAATCATCTCTTCCTCTTCGCTTTTTACCACCTCCACCAGCTCTTCCCATGTTACCTCCCGTTCTAGACTTTCCTCCGCCTCCTGTACGTTGTCGAGCATACCCATAATTTCCTCTCCCTGTGTCTCTTGAAGGAGGCATAGGAGCGTTTCTCATCGGAGGCTGTGATAGATTACGCTGTGATGCCATTGTGCCTTGAGGTGGCAAAGGCAAAATAATATTGCGTAATAAATCAACCAGTTCACCAGCTTGAATAACAGGACCATCAAATGTATGTGCAGGCGGGAGATTTGATACAAAATAATTTACAGCGTCTGGGAGGGGAGTTCGCTGTTGTTGTACAGGAGGTGTCCACGAAGGCATGGCTTGTTGCTTCTGCTGTTGTTGAGGCGTATTCACAGGAGGCTGTACAGGAGACGCTTGCTGCTGTAAGGGAATATCCATCTTCTTTGATACATCAGGTATCGTACCAGCCATGGAAGGGATCGTGGGTAGAGGAATGGGCACATTGTTCACACGACGATTTCCGTCAGCAGCTGGCTTGAAGTTTTGCCATTGGCCTAAATCCGGACGGGGATATCGCTCAGGATGGACAGGTTCCAGAAGCGGTCTCTTCTCTTTTGTTCGATCGCTGTTCACAATCGTAGGTTGAACAGGGAGTGCCTCAAGAGGAATAGTTGCAGTAGGCGACTCAGCAGGGGCCGTTGCAGCTGGAGGTGCTTCTACGACAGCAGGCTTATGGACCTTCAAACCGCCCAACTCGTACTCTTCAATGTTATGAATGTCCAAATAGCTATGTCTGATCAAAAAGGATTCTATAGACGACGTGCTCGATCCCATGGCTTCTAATCTTCGCTTTTCAACATTTTGAACACTGGCAAAGTCTCCATACTTGTTTTCATAGTCCAAGAACTTGAGCCAGATGGGCATTGCTTTTTCAAGTGGCATCGTTGCTAAAGTACGCTCAAACAAGGCACGTGTGTTGTTGTCGTCATTCATCTGAATCAAGAAATCCAAATGTTGACAGACAAAGTCGGGGTTGTCTCCAAACGACTTTTGTCCCAAACTAAACACTTTGCCGGCAACGTCAGCCTTCTTTGAGTTATGATATTCCATAAGAGCATTCGCAACATAGACATGGTAGGTGCAGTTGCTAGATTTGCGCGCTCTAGAAAACAAAGCACGAGCACTTGTGATACCCTAGATAGATAGATTAACCTCTTGTCTTACAACCTGACACCACTCCTCTCCTACCTCAGTTCGACGGGCGAATCGCATATAACAGATCCAAACCAAAGATCCAGCGCGGGCGATCACATTGACTTCTTCGTTCATCTTGGCTTCGACTTCACTCTGCTTCTTCTTTACATTCTTTTCTCGAATACGTAGCTGCTCTCTGACTTCACCGTCGATATCGTCAGACAAGTTCATTGCAGTACGTTCTTCTTCGGCTTCTTGCTGAAGTTTATTTATCTCCTTTTGAGCGGTCTGCTTAAGTTCTTCATGTTCCTTTTCTAATCTATCCACAAGATCATTGTACACTTGACGTGCCTCGTCTATTTGCTTTCTTGACTCACAAAGCTCGGCAAAAGAAAAGTTCAGCAAGAGACTATCACGGAAAATAAATACAAGTGAAAACCAAATTATTTTTACAAGTTACCTCGAAGGCATGACTTCAATTGCCTGCTTGTAAATAGCCGCAGCCTTATCTGTCTTGTCCTGCTCGAGATAGTAAGATGCAAAATCATGCCAAAGTTCAGGATAGAATCGTAAAACAAGAAAAGCTTGTTGATAGGCGTATGCTACACGTTCCAACACAGCAGCATTGTCCTCTAGACGAAGAGGGTCACTTTTTTCCCAATCAATATACTTCTTCCACAGCTCTAATTGATGAATCTCTGATTCTGTCCACTGAGGAGGTAAAGCAACCGCGTTTGTGTTGATACCCTCGGTCAATAATCGCATTTCACGCAAAGCTGTTCGAGCAGTCATATAAGCTGAGGATTTCTCGCCCAAGAACTTTTTGGCCTAAACAGAAAATATAGATAAATAAAGTAGAAACGTGAGGAAATCAACTTACAGTCAATCTGTTCAAGCTATTTTCCCATTGATCATATTCTTTCCAAAGATGTTCAACGTTATTTAAAGGAATCGTCACGGCCTTTTGATATGCACGACGCATTGAATCCATCTTCCGTTGTTCTTCCCAAGTATTTGAAGTCTAAGAGTATAATTGGTACATGTTGTAAAAATAAAAATAAAGAGTTACCTCAGTAGACTTTAAGAAATAGATGTAATCAGCCCAAATAGGTCCAGCTTCTTTGTCAATACCAACGTTACTCAACACATACTCATACGCTTTTTCAATGATAGATCTAGCTTCTGGAGTCACAGCAGAACCGCTTTCCCTGAGGTTTATGCGACGGATATAACCAAGATAAAATTTCCAGAGATCAACAGACAACACAGTTTTAAGACAACGAGTAAATAAAGCCTCTACTTCATTGAAATTGGAATACTTCAATTCCAACTCAAGATAGGCAAGCCAGTGTTTAGGCTATAATAAGTAAATAAAAAGTCAAAAGAAGCAGAGAAAGATAAAAGAGAAAGAAAAATATAAAAAAAGGGTAAGTAAAACGTATTCTCTCTCTCTCTCTCTTTTTCTCTGTTTGCTTGTCTTTCTTTGAATACCACACAGGAAAAAATTGCGCGTGTATACGTTCAAAAGAGAAGGTCCTTCCTACTTGCAAAAATAGCATAACTTGGTTATATATGTATATATATGTGTGTGTTTCTATACATGTACGTGGTCTGTTTTTATTTTCCTGTTTCATATAATGAGGAAAAAGATCAATACAAAGGATAGACATGATCTCCCGATGCTGTCCTATACGCCATAAGAGCAATGAGCTCTTTCCTCCTCCAGCAACAATAACAGGGTTAAGGTGTTGAATGTGGATATTTTTTTACTTACATGGGAAAGACAAATCAAGAGTAAAAGAGAGAGACCCTATATATATATATATATAACTTACCGAAGTAGGAAACACGCTCAAGAATCGTTCATAGACGTCTCGAATAGCATCCAAATCGCCCGTCTGTTGTATATCATTGATCAATGCATTCCATGCTTCAACGTTATATTTTGATTCTCTAATACGCGCCTCTAATTTTTCTCTTCTTAGAGCAGCTCTTTTCATAGGAGGATCTGTAGCAGTATTGCTGGCAGTAGTAGATGCAGCAAAAGGTGTATTTGAGGATGCTGTAGGCGCTGATGCTTTTTGAGTAAGAGCACTAATGGGAATCTGCCATGACGCAGGAGCACTTAACAAAGGCGCCATAGTCTCTTCTTCTTGTTGAGTTTCTTCCTTTTTTGGTTCTGTTTTATCTTCTTCCATTGGTTCATCTTCCAATTGTTGCTCTTGTTGCTCTTGTTCATCTGTCGACTGAGGATTAGATTGTTCATCAAGCTTCATCTCTTCTGCATTAAATTGCTCAGTTGGCTGCTCAACCAATGGTTCCATTGGCTGTTCAGTCGGTTGGTCATTTTGCTGTTCTACTGAAGCTTCTGTTTGCTGCTCAACAGGTTGCTCAGTAGGCTGTTCAGCAGGTTGTTCCAAGGGTTGCTCTTCCTGTTGTTCGGGCTGTTTTTCTTCAATAAGTTGTTCTGACTGTTCTTCATGTTCCGCTGTAGATTCAGCTGCCTCGTTCATGATGGAATCATCGTTTACTTCGACAAACTGTTGTTGCTCCTGCATTGTTGAATCTTCCATGATTCAAAAGGTTGTTATTTATCTGTTAAATATTTGCTGAAAGAAAAAAGCTCAATTTTTTTTTCACAGTCAACTCTGTGACGTAAAAGAGAACATTTTTTAGACTCCCTTATTGGATAAAAATGTCAAGACCTACATCGCATAAGCTATACACTTCTTTAGCTTTTCCCCCTTTTAATTTGTATTGTATCAACGTGATTAAATTTGAAATTAATCCAGAACATATTTATATCTTTAATGCGTATTTGATGAACTTGAATCGGCGGAGGCTCGTGAATATATCTGATATTGTACACATACAGTGACAAGAGTGATTAAATCGTGTTGTATTTCAAGGGTCTACAGTAGCAGCAATAAGCAGATTAACTGGAGTATATGCAAGGACAGCTCAAATTATGTAAAAGTATTTCGCAAAGGCAAACATAAAAGAGTTACCGGATAATTAAGAAACGCGGTAATCTAAACACATAAACCTTTTGACAGACCATTACGATGATAGATCAGATGCTATTTATGGTAGAGGACTAGAGATGCATTTCCTGGGCTTGTATCAATCACTCCATCCAGTCTTCAACCTTTGATATGATTATATTTAAATGATTTGTCCGTATCCCCAAGGTGATAAATGGCATTCGACGGCATTCCATTATTCTTGTTCAACTGAATAATTTCAACGTCTTCCAAGACACCTTCATGCTTTATTTCTATTGAAACAAGTTCAATATTTAATCGAAATTGATTTGTAATAGATATACACACAATCGGTTTTCGTACTAAACAGTAAACTGATCTTCTGCAAACTATGCACCAAATGTTTGGAAAGCCATTGTTCTTCCTGTTCAATATTTTAAGACAGACAATATGAAATAAAGTTGCTAAAATAAGTTTTTATTTACTATACAGTAAACTCTCGATTACAGAATACCTACTAGCAGCCATAGATTCTCTCCCCTTATAAAACGCACACAAACTAATTTAATAACATTCAGCTCTTCTTAATCACTTCATAGACGTCAATGGTTCCCAATTGTTGTTGTTCTATTCAACTTTATTATTGAAAAAGGCTATCGAGTCGACAACATACGAATTAGATTCTTATTAAGCAATATACACCGGTTTTTGGCTCTAAAACCGCCCAGCCATTTGCTTCTTGGCGTAGAAACAAGAAAGTGGATTTTTAAAGGCAAAAGAAAAAAGAGGAGGACGAATAACAAGAGATCTGCCTGTCTTGCAGGAAGACTATTATGGTAAACCAAAATATTAATTTTTCTGGGGGTTAGCAAAAGAAAAAAGACTGACCTTTTTATTTGTAGAGGAAATCGTGACTTCCATGACTACTTACCAGCCAAAATACCAAGGCACTTTAAAGATACTTGCTCATGACGGGCTCGAGCTTGTAGGTTACTCCCGTAATTCTCCAACAGACAATAGTACAGCAAATACAACTCGATTACTACAGTTGATGGTTGATAATCTAAAGGAACGTTCATTCGCTTCAAGAGTTTACGTATCATCGTCAAGTTGGGCGTCTACGCCCTTTGCAAAGCGTGATAGTAAAGCTAATGATGGAATAATGAGTAACTTAAAAAGCATTAATGACAATACACAAGACCTACTTGAATACTTAAACGCCTGCGACCATGATATATGTCTAATATCTATCGACTTTGCTAGTCTTACGACAAGAAGCGGTGATTTATTGAAGCTTATAGAAGACAATCTTGCAATCAAGAAAATTGCTACAGAAACTCTTACAGTCAACAATGGATTGTTTATTATTGATGTTCAAGATTTAAAAGAAAACCAAAGAATGCTAAACCGATTTGACAATCGAAGTGTATTTATTAATAGGCCAAAATAAACTCGGACGTTGACGAAGACGAGACAAAGAATGTGGCAATAGACTTTCCAAGCCATGCTTTATTTTCTGTAATAAAATTTTCTATTGTCTATTTTTTTATTCCTTTCTATATCGTGTTATTTTTTATGTGGATTTTTGGGTGTGGAAACCAGTAGTAAAAACGTCTTCTGTACCAAGAGCGGGTTCTTACCACATCCTTTGTCTCGTCCTCGTCAACGTCCGAATTGGACTTCAGAACACTTTGTTTAAGCATGATATCTTTACTGATGGTCCAATTGAGCGCTAAAATATAATAATAAATAAGCGTCCTCCCGGACCTGTTCAATCCGTTTGGAAGTAAATAGTAGCGAGTAAAAAATGAAAGAATATTTTTATTAGTGACCCAAAATTTTTTTGCATAAATTTTTGCATAAATTTTTGTGCAGTACGAATAGTAACTCGGTGTGACTGCAGGCACACAATAGTAAATATAAAAACTAATAGAGCCAATTGCTGTGCATCTGTATATTTACAAGCCATGGCGACTGTTTCCAAATGACAGTAAAGCTAAACGCATCTTTACTGTATTTTGTAAGACATGTGTAAATAAGGCCCAGCAATTGACTTGTTGGAAGAAATTTTTGCTTTTTTATGATTTTCGTTTATTTCCCAAGCAAATTTAGGAAACGTGATCATTTGTAAATTAAAGGCATATGCTTTAATGTATATCGTTGGTTGTTCTTGCACCGAACGCTGACAAATCCTTGTAGAAAATAATCGAAAGTTCGGATCATGTACCTTCCTCCGTTACTCCGATCCTGGCGGGACTTGTATAAAATAAAAAGAATTGGACAGCTTTTTTCCCTCATATTTCCTACTGATCTTTCTCTTGTCATGGTAGAAGAAGAGTCTTGTAACAAACAGATACCAAGTCAATCGACATTCAGCACTCAAGCAGTTGATGAAAATAACTCAATACAAAGCAATTCAGCCGAGAAAAATCCGAATGATGAAGATAGCAACAGCATATCAAAAAAGAGCAACATCCTCTGGACTTTCATCGGTCTTCAGATCGCATTATTCTTAGCTGCATTGGATGGGTAAGCAAGTTGAATATCCGCGCGCATAAGGTACATGCTCATTAGTGATTTAGAACGATTGTAGCTACAGCATTGCCTACAATTGGATCTGATTTCAATAGTATGTCTATCGTTTCTTGGGTCGCGACAGCTTATATCCTAACATTTGATTCTTTCCGTAAGTTTCTGTTTTCTGGGAGTCACTTTTGTTGCTAATCAAGCTTGTGTCCCTTTAGAACCTTTGTTTTCAAAGTTTTCCGACATCTTTGGTAGAAAGTGGATATTGATGTTTGGTATAGTCGTTTTTCTGATTGGCTCATTACTTTGTGCCGTTTCCACCGTAAGTTCCTTTTTTTGATTACATGACAAAAATGCTCATGTAAAAATAATGTAGTCTATCGTTATGTTGATTGTGTTTAGAGCTATTGCTGGTATTGGTGCTGCTGCTGTTTTTTCAATGGTAATCCATTTTATCATTTTAATTTCATAACTGGACTTAGATTTTATTACAGGTTTTCGTTGTTGTAGCAGACCTTGTTCCACTTGAAAAAAGAGCAAGTTACCAAGGGTGAGAAAACATACCTGTTAGATGTTACACATAAACTCATTCTATAATAGTATTATTAACGCTGTATTTGGTGTGTCAAGCGTCTGTGGTCCTTTAATTGGTGGAAGCTTTACTGACTATGTGACCTGGCGCTGGAATTTTTATATCAAGTAAGTATAATATCCTTAGTTTTACGAGTCATTAACAAACAAACATTATGGAACAGCTTACCCATTGGTGCTGTTGCCATGGTAATGATATTTTTCTTCTTACATCTGCCCATGCCCAAAGAAGGCTTTATTGCAAAGCTAAAGCGTATAGACTTTGTTGGAACATTTATCGTCTTGGCATTTTCAACATTATTCTTACTTGCCATGAATTTTGGTGGTCAAACCTTCCCATGGAAATCAGCAGCCGTCATTGTGCCCTTAGTCTTGACTGTTATCTTGGTCGCTATTCTGTATTACGTTGAAACCAAAGTAGCAGAGCCATTGATGCCTCCTCGTTTGTTTAAAAATCGCTCTGTAGCTGCGGTCTTGCTGACGAACTGGTTCCTTGGTATGACCTTTTTTAGTATGTTGTACTACTTGCCAATCTACTTCCAGGTCGTGCGTGGAGACAGTGCCACGTGGTCGGGCATTCGCTTGATTCCTATGCAATTGTTCCTATCGGTTTTCGCAACAGTTGTTGGATTCTTCATTTCAAAATCTGGTATCTACAAACCACTGTAGGGATTAGAACAAGAGCAAAAAAGAATTCATGCGCTAACGTCTTTCTCTTCAATAGACCTCCTATTGGCATGGCCTTATTAACTATCTGTGTTGGATTATTATCCATACTTGACCTTGACTCAAGCTTTTCCAGTAAGTTGACATCATGTACTATTAGAAAAATATCTGACCCGTCCAAAATAATAGAGGTTTATGGGTTTACAATCATTGGTGGGTTTGCCCTGGGCTTCGTGATTCCTGCAGCCATCATTGCACTCCAAGCGTCAGTAGAACCTAAGGATATCGCAGTTGTTACCGGTCTGGGCAACTTCAGTCGCATCCTAGGTGGTGCACTTGGTGTGGCTATTTCATCCGCTATTTTAAACACTTCGCTGGCACAAGATTTAGCCTTATATATACCTGCTGATATTGTCAACAAGATATTGGATTCATCCAATTATGTCAGAAATGGATGTCCTCCAGAGTACCTTGAAATCGTTCTAAAGTGCTATGTGGATGCGATCAGGTTAATCTGGTATGTCATGGTCGGTATGTCAGGTTTCGGATTCTGCCTCTCTTGCCTTATAAAGACTCACTCTATACGCAAACCAAAAGAACCAAAAGAACAAAACACATCAGCAGCACCTGAAAGTGTCATAATTGACGTAGAGCCTAAAACTGAAAAACAAGATGAAAACAGATAATAAGCCCACGTTCCTCTTAAATATACCAATTACTGCCTTTCATACACAACCAATATTTATATATCTTTTTAAATAAACAAGAAAGCGATAAATAATAAAACTCGTATTTTACAAGCAAATGCATACTCTCTTATGAGTTTCGGATATTGAATCGGTTTAAGAGATCTTACCCAAGGGAGGGGGGTGCTGACTTTTCTCTTTATATAATGTTTAAGCATCTCACCCGCCAGACATTACAACAAGCTAAACGATTATCACCTCAAATTGCCTTGCGACCTCCTTCTGCTAGAATATACGCTCGTGCTATTCCACGCTTTATTCACAACACTTCAGTATCCTTTGACAACAGCACAAGGCCTACATTCACCCCAACGTAAGGATGGAATCAACAACAATATGAAAAGCTTACATATACTTTGAACTTAGAACATTAAACACAGACAGATACCATCGCTTATCTGATGAAATATTGGAACATATGGTTGCAAAGCTTGAGGAAATTGGAGATGAAATAGATATGAAAGGATTTGATGTTGAATACAGTGTATGAAATACTCATTGTTTGTTTCTTTATAACTGACAAGCATATTTTAGCAAGGTGTCATGACACTTTCAGTAGGCGAGCATGGTACCTATGTGATCAATAAACAACCTCCTAATCATCAAATTTGGCTATCTTCACCTGTCAGGTAAAAAGAAAGCAAAAACAAATCACAGTGTTATTCAATCTCTTTTATTAGTGGACCACAGCGATTCGATTATGACGAACAACACAGAAAGTGGTTCTATGCTCGATATAACCAAACATTGGATGAAGTATTGAATAATGAATTATCCAAAGCACTTGACAGAAAAGTTGATTTATTAGAAAATTTTGATCCACAAGAAGAATAAATTTAGAAAGACAATTGTTCAAGAGTAGACAAGACTGTCTCTACATTTGGTATATAATATCTAGCTTCTGTACTTCTTGTACCTACTGTACAAGTGATCACCTTGAGATTTTTCTGTTTGTTTAAAAACGTAAACATGTCTTCATCCGATCGGTCATCTCCAATAGCCAGCACAAAGTCTGGTGCTGTATCTTGTAGAATTCTGTTTGCTATCGAACTCTTATTGATGTCGTGAGGGATGACCTCAATCGTTGTATTACCAATCACTGCATGTACTGCAAAATTCTTGTTAACAGAGTCTGCAATATGATTCTGACATTCGGCTGCTTGCCAAGACACATACTGAGAATCAGTTCCTTCTGTCGTGCGATAGTGCTAGCCCCTCGTTATTAGTTATACACGTGTACGCTTTATGACAGCAACTTACCCAGACAATAGAAGTATCTTTTGTTTCAACGTAAGCACCAGGTGTACGTTCTGAATAATACTGAAATATCTCCTTGACAGTTGGCTTCCACGAGAAGTCAACATTATCGTAAACCTGCTGCCAGTCCTCTCCACGAGGCTTTATGTAAAACCCGTTCTCAGCACTATCCCATAAAAATGAGTACATTCGAAGCCGCTGATGTGTGTGTGGGAACTTACCTCAGTCCTAGGTTAGGAACTAATCCCAAATCAGTATCCACATTGATCTTGGTTCGTCCAGATATCACATAAACGGCATTATCAGGATTACTTGCCAATTTAGTGAGCAATTCCAAGACTCGGTCCAGATCATTCGATCCAGGTGGTTTACCGTGTGGTATCAAAGTTCCACCATAGTCAAACAAGAAACTATATACACGTTCGATTAGAAGTTAAAGCCAACAGGATGTTCTTTACTTACAGTCTCTTTTTATAAGGTTGGCAAACCTCATTAAGGATGGTTGCATTCAGTTTGGGTATCTTTGTGGAAAATCTTCGGCTGGGTTGGCTATGAATCTTTGATAATGTGCTAATGATGCTACTTGCAAAATGCTGGGAAGAGTTAGTTTCGATGCTCTTGTAAAGCTCATTCCATCTTGCTGTCTTTTCGTCTTCCCCCATCGAAAGAGCATCATGAATGGCTTCTCCAATTTGCTATATAATATGAACATTAAACTTCTTTTGGATCCCATCCCTCCTCTTACTCTGTAATCCCATGGGTTAACTCTTATAGATGCGCCAAAACTACCATAAGTACCAGTGAACTCGCTCAAGATGAGTGGATTGTGTGTTTCTCTCTGACAGACAATATACTCATGAGAAGTCAAGTTCATTCCATCCCGAAGTGGTGTCAGTAGACAGGTATCAGCACATGTCAAGAGTGCCAGATACTGAGAAAATGATATATCCTGATGCAAAAAGACAATAGGTTGATAGGAAATGGTGCTAAACTTGAAATTGATTCTTGATACAACGTCAGATATGTGTGCACGCAATTCATTCTGCTCAGAGGTGGATAGTGCAATCTGAATCAAGACCACCTTGCCTCTCCATTCTGGGTGTCTGATCAAGAATTCTTCAAAAGCAAGCAGCTTTTGACGCACACCCTTAATATAATCCAGCTTATCTCTTGCCACAATCAACCGTTTACCCGCATACTTTTCTTTTAATTTCGTCACCCAGTGATCGACTTCAGGGTTTGATATCTTTCTCTGTAGTGCAACAATGTCGATGCCGATTGGATGAATACCAACAGAGCAGTAATGAGTATCTAGCTGAATGCCTGTGGGCGTAGCATCGACAGAGAGAATACGTGAACATGTCTGTAGAAAGTGGCGAGCAAAAGAATAAGTCTGAAATCCAATCATATCTGACTGTAACATTGCCTCTAATAATTCCTTTCGAGCTATAAATATTTAAATGTGTTAGAGATATGTTTACTCTACATATTGATATTACAGTACGTGGTAAGCATCGAAATAGCTCAGAGCTTGGAAATGGGATATGTAGAAAGAATCCGATGGTGGCATTAGGAATCTTTTGTCTGACCATTCCAGGCACGAGCATTAGGTGATAATCATTAATCCAAACTGTATATCCATTCATATCTTAGTCTATGACCGTAATAATAGATATATCCATATCAGATGACCCGCTACTTACTAATATCACCGTTCTTATAGTTTTTGACTATAGTATTAGCAAACTCTTGATTTAGATCCTTGTAGAGTTGATAAGGACCATTTTGTGACATCATGTTATGACAATCATCTCTGACAACATAATGAAAGTAAGGCCAGAGCACCTTTTAACCAAATGTGAATGGACATGTCTATTTCATACAAGACAAAACCTTACCTGTTTACAGTATTGATTATAATGACCATCAAAGGTTGTATCTGATGGCATAACAGGATACGTATTATATCGGCTCTCGAATGTAGAATTGATCTCTTCTTTTGTCTTTTTTAAGAGCGCGTCTGTAGACATACCCAAGGTACCAACCCAAACTAAGCTTTCAAGCTGGTCTTGAATAGAAAACAGTGCATTATTTAACCCAATATTTCCCGCAACTGTTGGTTTAACTGACCAAGGTGCGTCAGCAAAGGCTTTGGCACTATCAATAGCCGAGTGTCGTCTGTTACTGATGGATAAAGGAGGCAACTTTTTAATTTCTTCTTCTCTTTGCTGTTTACTTCTTGGTTGAACGAGCTTCTCTGGTTCCTTAAAGTCAAATAGTTCCTCTTTGGCATCCTTTGGTTGTTTATGTTGAGCTAAACTTTGAATAAGATTAGGTTTGGCATTATTCTTTTCTTCTGTCTTTGCAATCAGTCGGTCCTTTCTCTTCTTTTCGGCCAGTTCAAAGTCAACTGTCCAAGGTAAGAATAAAGTAGCTACAACCACCCTTTTTTCAGAAACTCTTGTCATACTCTTTTTTAAAAGAATAAAAATCGTTCCCAGGACCCAGAGTGGGTTGCTTTTTTTGGACAAAAGGAGTTTAAATGCTGATGATGTCAACTTAATCGAGCGGCTTGTATATAAAATGTAATAATGAATCTTTTATTTCTTTCTTTTTGTTCTTAATAAAGAGGTTATATAGAGACTCATCGACATACAACGGTATTTTGAGATTTGGTAGTGCGCCAAGGACCAGTCTTTTATTATTTAATAATAAATGCAGCTAAGCTATCATCAACTTCGCAAGCAGGTCCACTAGCAACACGAAAGTGAAAAGACGATGTACAACCTACAGGGGCTACACCTTAACATACTCGCCATAAATTAGGAAACGTAAACTAGACAGGCTGCTTCAATCGCACTTCTAGCCTTATAAAGTATGAGAAAAATCACGTATTAACTCTTAAAAAACGTGTAAACATCAATGTTATCATAGGATCTGTTAAGGGAAGTGGCTGAAGAGAGCTCCAACAACAACTAGAGATTATACCTAACATTCATCATACAATAGGGAGTCTTTGGCGAAGGAGTTTGATTTAAATTTTACTCAGGCCGATTAGCTTGGCCTATTATTACTGAGGGATTGATATTGACTGAAATTTCACTCTTCCTTTCAAAACAAAAAAAAAACAAAAAAGAAGACTTGGAACAGTTAGCTAAAATATCTAAGCATTTCATTTTTCGGGACAAAATCTCCCATAGTAAAATACAATGAATTAGGAACAATGATGTTCATGCTGCCGCTAACATACACATTATTCTCCTTGACAATTATTATTCACGTGACTGTGCACTAAAAAAAATGACGTGGAGTATAGTGCGTCTGTGAGTGCACCTCACATCGGCCATGAACCGAGATTTGGCGAATTGCGGAAAAATCCGTCATATATTTTTATGCGGGGTAAACAGTACTACTTTATGCAGTTTTTGAATCTTTTTGTACCTTTTGTGCTTCTCTTTAAGAAAAGAGAAAAAAATCGCTTCCCCACCCATTTTCTCTTCTCTCAGCTCCCTTTTGTATATCTTTATATGGTCTGTTTGTCATATAAGAACTTGTAACCTTCTGTTAAACCTGGTTCCCTCTGTGTGTGTGTGTACTTGTATTGTCTCACATGCATATTATCAAGGTGTCCATGTGAAAATCCAAAATACTGTTTGACCCTCTTGACACGGTATTATTCGGTGTTTTAAACATTAAAAAATTGAACTATAAATGAACTCGTTTCCCCAACATTTTCCTTTCCTTTTTTTTCGTTTAATTACATTAAAAAAACTAGAAGAAATGGTCAAAGTTACAGTCTGTGGTGCTGCTGGTGGTATCGGTCAACCTCTCTCTTTACTCTTGAAGCAATCTCCTTATGTGTCTCATTTATCTCTTTATGATATCGTCAACACTCCTGGTGTTGCTGCTGACCTTAGGTACGTTATCTTGGTCTTATCATGAACAAAGATACTCATCCACTTATTAGTCACATCAACACAAAATCCAAGGTGACCGGACACGTTGGTGCCGCTCAACTCGAAGAAGCCATCAAGGATGCTGATGTCGGTAAGTTGTTACAACATACACACACATGTGTGAGTCTGCATATATTGAGTCTATTTTTTTATCAGTCGTCATTCCTGCTGGCGTTCCTAGAAAGCCAGGTATGACGCGTGATGATCTCTTCAAGATCAACGCTGGTATTGTTCGTGATTTGGCTACTGCTGCTGCCAAGTTTGCTCCCAAGGCATTCATGTGCATCATCTCTAACCCTGTCAACTCTACCGTTCCTATTGTTGCTGAAGTATTCAAGCAACACAATGTCTATGATCCTCGCAGGTAAGCTCCAATATGTTCACTTATTCATTTTAACTGAACTTTTTTGTGTGTATACAAAAAGAATCTTTGGCGTCACTACTCTTGACATCGTTCGTGCCTCTACCTTTGTCTCTGAATTGATTGGCACCGATCCCGTTTCACTTCGTGTTCCCGTCGTAGGTGGTCATAGTGGTGTCACTATCCTACCTTTACTTTCACAAGTTCCCGGAACCGAAAAGTTGAGCAAGGAACAAATCGAAAAGGTCACTTACCGTATCCAATTCGGTGGTGACGAAGTCGTCAAGGCCAAGGATGGCGCTGGTTCAGCTACTCTTTCCATGGCCTACGCTGGTGCTCGCTTTGCTTTGAACATTATCGAAGCTGCTGCCACCGGAAAGCATGGTGTTGTCGAATGCACCTACGTTGACCTCAATGCTGACAAAGCAGGTGCTGAGCCCATCAAGAGTTTAGCTGGTGATCTCGAGTACTTCTCAGTTCCTGTCGAACTGGGCCCCAATGGTGTCCAGAAGATTTTACCTCTTGGTGAAATCAATGAGTACGAACGTGAATTGTTCTCCAAGGCTGCTCCTGAATTGAAGACAAACATCGAAAAGGGCTCCAACTTTATTGCTGAAGGAGGACCCAAGTTGTAAAATCTATTTTTGTATATTTTTTCGTATTTATACCACACATCACTTTATGTACACGATATATTTAAACATCTCACAATAAAAAAAGGCGTTCTTTTTTTGTACTATTTTTTATTATTTTCCATTTGGTTTATCACTTTGTATTGATAAATGCTGTGTTGCTGTTGTAAGTGATTTCATGATAGTGTTATTGCTGTTAGTAGGACTACATTTTAGTCCATACAGGTACCCACTATCAAGTGTTAGTTGAAAAACAGCCTGTTCCTATTTTTGAACTTACAGATATTTTTGATCATCAATTTTATCTTCAAAGAACATTTGCCTCATCTTGAAAAAAGTTGTGCATGTCAGTAAACTATCACTCCCTGCTTGATGTTGAGGCCCTATTCTTGCCACCTTTTGTAAATGTAAGTCCTGTGTCTATTGAACAAGTTGTCCTATCATACCTGTAAATCATCCGCGATATCTTGTAATCCACCTTTTAGGTTTTTACAACTCTTCATCAAATATTTTATATCATATATGCATGGGAAATAAGTACGAAGTAAATCAAAAAACTCTGATTCATCTGCTGGCATCACTGAACATGTCAGTATTTTCAACAAATATCCAAAATCATATCCACTAATATAGCTTGTTACTTTCTGGTTCTTTGTTTAAAGGACAAACAAACCTATGAAATGAAATCCATTTGACATCGTCCAATAACACAAAGCCTGAACTAATCAAAAGCTCTCCAAAGTGCTCTACGTCAATTCCATACTCTTCATGTTTTTTAAAGTCAATGCCTGATTTTGTTAGTAATTCAATTGAATCTTGCGCATACATGTCGTCTCTGTATATTTTGTATAAGTAATAGCTTTCTTTTTTTTTTTCTTTGTCTTCTTACGTTAAGCTAAACTTGAAGTTGAATTGCCAAGTACAGACATTGCCAGGAAGGTTTCCATGCTGATCAGCAAATGTAACTCCAAGTTGAATAATCTTTAACAAATCAACATTACATCTTAATGTTTGATAATGATAATCAGAAGAAGTTTTGAATGAGCCAATAGGTCTAGCGACAACACCAGGAAATTCAGTATCCTAATTGTTATGCATCCTTAGTTGGTCATTATGCTAAATGATACTGAACAAAGGGCTCTATACCATAGCCAAATATGGATAGTCTTCCACTAAATCTCGTAGGTATGCCATCTCTTCTTCTAAATTCTCCGCCCACACTTCTTTGATGTACTTCACGTCGTTCACTGGCATGTAATCTGTTCAATTAGAAGAAAAAAAGGAAAAAGAAAAAAAAGGAGAAACAAAAATTGCAGCCTATATCACCACAGAAATGATGACGTGAGAATCAAAGTTGAAACAAAATCTTCAAAACAATATGTTCCCCTTTCTAACAGAAAAGAATACCTTTTTCTACGTTAAATAAGCATCAGAGGATCGAATGGATCTTTACACAACATGAATACTCCTTTACCAAATCTATCCCATTTTAATTGTTAGCATATAAATCATCCAATCAAACTGCTGACTTACCAAATCACCCGCCATTGTTTACTGGGTTCTCTTTCCTTACATAAAAGGAAACTGATCTATAATGAAAAGCTTATCATCTTTTTGAAGCATTTAAAGCATAGATTAAGCTCGCATAACCTCCTTCATCTTTACTTTTAATTGGACTTAAAACGACGTCAAGAAGAAGAAGATGGATAAACAAAGTTTATCTTTTTTTAATTCTAAAATCAAATGTTGACTTTTACTAAATAAGGAAAAATGAATGGAAGGTTATTATTAACCAGGAGATACATCTCCTTTGCCAGTCTTTAAATGTACGGCGTGAAGAGAGACCACTTGAAGCTAGTGTGATGCAATCGCCTTAATTTATAGATCCTATGTTCTTCAAGGCACAGCTGTAATAGACAAGCCGTGCTTACCCTCCATACAAATGCGTCCATCAAAGATCCATTAGCGATAGAATATCCATCTTACCTACATAAATATATGTTACGTAACTTACTATGCTCTATTTCTTTTATATATACATTTTTTATATATGCTAAATTCTTTGACTTCCACCATTGTCGAATTTGTTCTTACCAACACAGTATCCTGCTTTCTTTTTATATGTAATTCTTGATAAACTTCATTGATTATTAGGGATAGTATAGATTAACTCGGTGTGACTTATAAGGGGAGAAATTCTATTGATTGCTATCTGTATTAAAGACAGCATTATATTCATCATCATGAAGAAACTCTTTCTCTATACCAATCGATAAATTTCAGTGCATATGATGAATCTCATATAGACTCCTTGCATGTGCCATTATATTCTCGTCAAGATCCACAAAAGTACGTTTCAATCTGAACAATGATTATACTGATGTACATACCTTAGTGCAAACGTCAGCCATATTCAAAAAGAATGAAGCAAATCAAAGGCCAGTAGAGCAACCAAGTGTGAGCATACCTTGCAGAAGATCGAGGGGAATCATGACATTATATTCTTAAAGGCACAATGTGTGTGGGGAGATGAAATTCCACCAATTAGATGCATTACAAAGTACCTCAGAAGCTTTCATTTTCACAACAATGCTATTTACACAGGTATTTTATTATTTTGTCTTTTTCAAGAGTGTAAGAACGGCTGCTGCTTCTATTGCATTTTCACCAACGTAGACAGAGAGTGCTTGTGAATCATATGGAATCAGTGGTTTCCTTTTATCCATTAGAGAAGTAGCAAGAGATGGTGAACTATTTGGTGAGCAGCTAAAGGAATCTAAGGGACTTGAATCAGACGATGTTGTACTTTCCCATGTAATAGGCAAATTATTGGCTTCTTCATGAGCATTACTTTGTTTCTTCTTGTTTGTCTTTTTGCTACTACCAGCAATGCTTGACTTTCTTCTTCTTTCCGTGGTCGGAACAGTATCGCCATTAGGCGGCTTATCGCTCAAAATTTTACCATGCTTCCATTTGACACCACAAGCGTTACAGAGAGTACCGGCGCCCTGCGGACCTCTACGCCACATGGGTGTTGTCTTGCAGCCACAGTATAAGCATTTCTTTATCGGGCTGGTTTTAGTTATAGATGCTTTGGAGGTACTCGTTCGTTTGGTTGGCTTGATGAATGTGTCTTCTTCCTCTTCTTCTGCAGCCATATCTTCATCTTTAGGAAAATCAAAACCATTGCAGAAAGAGAGACGTGTTATATTTACCTTTATCCCAATCATCTTCAGCACTGCTCCAGTGATCCGTTACTATTTTAGATGGCCGTTTATCAGGTAATGTCACCTCCATCTTTTGTTGAGCAGCCTTTTCATAATGCAACCTCATCTTTTTTTTTCAAGTTGCGATGATGGGTTAAACACTCAAGAAAGAATAAAAAGATATAATCCTTACTAGATCCATCATGCTTTGACACATGAGTTCATAAGAAGCCACCATTTGCTTCATGGCAAGATACAGATCCTGAGGCACGCTTGACATCAAAATGGAGATGATAGTGTCCTGTCGAGTATCATGATTGTATTCCTCATGTTCTATATCTTGACCATCTTGATAAAATGAGTATAATATCTAAAGAAAAGGAAATAAATATAAATATACACTTACTATTTAGTTACTTACCTTATGAGGGGCAGATTCAGTGAGACATTCCGTCATGGCTTCTCGAGGAAATAAATATAGAGTTTGTTGTTCCATAGGTATTTGACTGGTATTGCTTACTGTGAATATCAAATCATAACGAATGACTTTGGTACGCTTTCTTTTTTTGGGAGGAAGTAGAGCAGTTGATTCATCCGTCATCTCTTCTTTATATGACGAGCTAATCTCTGAAATTTCCGATTCTGTCAATTCATAGAATGTACAAGTAGGAAATGTAACAGATCTAAACTTGATGTGACAAGAACCTAAACAACGAGTCTGAAACCGACTATGATGACCATCGACATGATCGGCTGATGTCTGATGACTAAAAACAGATGGCATCTTGTATGGTTGAAATGCCTCAAGAAGAATGGTGCTGAGCAATGTAAATTTTAATCATTTGCTTCAGATTAAGAATAAATAACAAACTTACCTAGAGTCTGATTGAGATTGAAGCATGATGACAAATGATTACAGTAAAAATAAATATAAAAAGAGAAAGAAAGTGAGTAGATCGATGAACAGTAGATGATGCTTTTTAAGGGCAAGTTAATTTCTTGTCAATAAAAGCTATTATAAGCACAAAAAGAAAGAGGCCGAGTTATAAGAATAATAATAGAAAGACAAGAAAATAAAGTAAAAAAAGAGAGAATAACAAACAAGGAAGAGAGAAAAAAAAAAAGGGAAATAATTTTCACACTGTATGCTTTCTCTTGAAATTTTATTATTTATTCTTTTTTCCTAATGATAAGTATTCCCTTCTATTATTATTTGCTTGATCTTTTTCTTGATCTTTATCGTTCAAACTAAAGGTCCACTTATCACCTTTGCTTTTACTTCTCTCCCGTGGTCAGACAGGAACTCCGAAAAGTTCCTCATTTATGCCTTGTGTGAATGATCGTATTTTAAAAAAATTGTTCACAAGAGGATGGTTCATCAAACGCACAATCGATTACTGCGAGTAACCAAACACTTCCCCCCTTCTCCTTTTTGACACATGATTCATGTATTTTGTATACAAAAGGACTTTCTTTAATACAATTTTGGTGCCAAAAAGCCAGTTTTAAATAAAAAATCATGCAGAGCCCTGTTTAGGATACGTAACACGAAATGAATGGACCCCCCTTTTCTCTCTTTTGTTTGTAAAAAGACTTTAATGCTATTAATCAACCACCATGTCATCGTGCTGATGACGCACAGGATTAGGCACATAATCATCATCATCATCGCTATCATCATCACCATCGCTGTCACTGTTTGTCTCAAGATAACTACTGTCACTTTCGTCCGAACTTTCAATATCACTATCACTCAAGATCTCTTCTTCAAAATTTTTCAACCCATCCTCTTCTTCTCCATCAGCCGGACTATCAAAATCATCGGGTTTATGCAAAGGTAAAAGCGGCATCAAAACATTTTGTATATTTGTGATCATATCCACATAATGTCCCTTCCGAGCACGAACCAGTTTCATCAATCGATATAGCTCCGACTTGTCAAGCTCATCTGCACAACTAGAGTAAAAATAAGTATCCAGTAAAGTAGAAAAGAAAAATGGCTTACTATTTAGCAAACACATAGAGGGCTTGATACCAAATATAAGGTAACTGATTTGCCGATTCAGCAGCTCGTATAAAATAATATGTCAAAGGTCTGTAAAATGCACGAGGTATACGCTTTCTTTTCCTTTCCAGGGCAACGAGTATAAACAATGTGGTTGGTATACTGAATGGGAGGGACATGAGTGACCACAGAATAGGGACTGGCTTCAATTTGGTGTGAAGTGCCATGATACAGCCAATCACCGAGGCTTCCATGGCAGTACATTCACCAGATTCACAAAGAGGTTTAAGGTAGCCTAAAGTGAAGATGCGTGCATTGAGTAAAGCGGTCTGGAGAGCAAGAAAGACGGGATACTCAAGATGATAATTGCTGTTATTAGTGATACGCTGCCTTGTATAAGGAAAGAGCACATAGCTAATAAAACTAAAAGGGGATGGAATGAGATATCAGTGCGTAGCCCCCTCTTTCTATCTTGATGGATACTTACTTTTGCATCTGTACTGTGTTATGGCTCATGAACAGTTTAGATGCCTCATACATTGCCTGTGGTGTCCAGTGGTCAGGCTGAGTCAGATAGATCACCTCTTCCCAATTTTTGAGCATAGGCATGATCTTGAATGACCTAGGTAGTTTCCCTATTTTATATCGAGATAGAAACATGCCTAGCCTGCAACATATACATGAGTATATGGTTGTGTGTGCACGAAGGTCTTTTCTTATCACCTCTTGTATATTTCTGCAACCTTGGGATTAGATGTCGATAAAGGTATGTCTTCAATACCTATCAAAAGAGATGATTTAGTTTCCTCTTTGAGTGACAACAAAAAACTAATCTGACCATGCTGCATCTTTTCATACTTCCTCAAGACCAGTATTCTTTCTAAGCTCATGATAGGCACAGGTTTTGGCACAGGCCATGTAGGTGTCTGATGCAGCTTTATATCCTCATCCATTAGAGCAATTTTGAACAAAGCATTCCCTCTACTGTCTTCATCAAACTCGAGCTTTAATGTATCAAACGAAATAATCACACTTTTCGTGCTTAGCTGTTTAGCTTTATCCACGAGAGATTCTTCACTATGATCATATAAGATGATGGACTTTATACTAATATTATTCTACCTGTCAAGATCCTGCTGTTGTCTCAATTCCTCTAATCGTTTAGCTTGATCTCGCTCGATCTGAGAGATCGCATCCTTTATGTGCTGATCAGCATCTGCCTATACACGTAATGTAAGATCTTGTTTCAAATCGAACAAAAAACTAGATCTTGCCTCTATTCCGTCTATTTCATTAAACAAACTAAAAAAATCTCCTTTCTGTCTTTTGGTTTTCAGGTCACTATTGTCCCAAGTTGTATAAGGTGTAGCATATCCGTTTGTTAAAGTATGCGCCTTTTCCAGGTTGTATTTTCCCATTTGTAGGTGTATATGTGGAGTAAAGAAAGAAGAAAAAAGGAATTTAATAAATGCTTTAAATTCTGATAAAATAGATTGATTATCAGCCAAAAAAAAGGGTACTTATTAATACTTCTATGGAAAGAATAAAGACAGAAGTCCTCCGATGTCAGGGCAAAAAGGCTTACTCAGGAATGCGTGCATAGTTTATTTTGATTTTCCAAAATGAATACAAAAAGGGGGGAGAAATATATGCAAAGTTTATTACAGCTCAACCTTTGTTACATGACAGAAAGAGAGAGTACCCATACTATCACGTGATAGACTTTATTTTCAACGCGTCAACATTCTTGCACCAAACAGGAATACATATTGATGTTTATCATGTAGCACACTGATTTGCCATTTGTTTTTCTCTCTCTTTTTCTTTTCTTCACTAAAAAGCATATATGCAAAGTCTATTCTTATATAACAAGGCTTTTCTTTCTTTCTTTCTTTGCCTTTCGTTCTGACTTGTTTGATCATTACTGCTCTGGGCAAAACTATGAGACCCATATTTCGTACCTGGAAATGAATAAAGATAGGACTGTTATTTTTCATTGTCCACAACAAACAACGTTATGAATACACAAACATACACACACACATTTGTTGAAGCAATGTATCAATTCACCTAGAAACAGAAATCAAGCGAGGATCTACATTGATTATCATGGAAACTATCGGAGCCGCAAAAAGGATCTGTTGTAATCGATGTCATTCAGATAGAATTACAACTTTTACAAATCTTTATTTTCAAAGTCAGCCTGCAGCAGCCAAAAAAAAGAGAGAGAAAGAAAGAGAAATATAGAGAAAACATTTTTTTTCTTTTTTCTTTTCGTTTGTTAATATACCTTGCGTCTTTTTTTTTACCTCTTGTGTACGTGTGTGCGTATTGTATAATAAACCATGTCGGTCGAATTAGACGTAGAAAACACCATTTACTTTGAACGTAAGTATATCTGTGCCTTATTATTATTCCGAACCCTAATTGTTTCTTAGGCCCATTAACACGTATTGTTAAAAAAGACGTTCAAATCAGGAATCCTCATTCAAAACCTGTTGCCTTTAAAGTAAAGACGACTGCACCAAAACTGTATTGCGTTCGTCCTAATTCAGAAATCATTCAACCCAACAGCACGATGACTGTCCAGAGTAAAATATATATATAAAAATTCTATTAGACGCAGCTGATGTGTTTGTAGTTATGCTTCAAGCCTTTAGAGAAGAACCACCTGCTGACTTCAAGTGTAAAGATAAATTCTTGTTTGTAAGCGTGTTAGTTGAAGGAGCACTGGAGTCAATGAGTTTAGGAGATCTTGTAAGTTTACCTGTCTAGGAGTTTATCATGGATACTTATAGTTTTTAGTGGAATCATGTTGAAAGCAAGGAAAAGGCGTCTGTTGCTCAGCAAAAATTGCGCGTGGAATATGTTCAACCCAAGCAAGAAGCGCAACAAGTGCCTCTGGTAAATTATATAAAGTAAGATAGGATATAGAGTAAGATCTCATATATATTTTTGTATAGGAACCAGTTCAGGCTAATCCTCAGCCAATAGTAGCAAATGGAAGAGAAGAAAAGCAACCCGATAATAATGAAGTTGAAGCAAAGATGAAGCAAATGGAAGAAGAATTAAAGAAATATAAGAACGAAGTTGAACAGTTGCGTAATGCAGAACCTACGGTGATTGTTGAAAGAGTTCAAAAGACAACAGAGTCGCCTATTAGCATGCTTATCCTATTTGCTTTACTGGCACTTGCTATTGCTTACTTCTTTCAGCAACATAAAAATTAAAAAGGAAAACACAAAATGATCTCATTACGATGTATCTTCAATTCCCAAGATAAAAATAATAATAAAAAAAAAAAAAGAGTCTGTATTCATCTCTAAAAGAAGGAGTGTGTGTGTATATGCTTCTGATAATCTTGTATTCGCTTGACACAGTTACGCAGAGAAAGAAATAAAGGGGGAAGTAGAACTTTAAAACACCTTGTAACAACTTTAAAATGGTAACAAGTAGAGACGCCATCAATTTAAGAAGAGAAATTAGCTGTAGTTCATAAAAATAAGATGATTAATATAGAACCATTTAAGAGTTATTTCAAGATACATTTTATTATGCTTATATAATTATCTCATCTGTATATCTTATTACATGACAACAAGATAACTCTCTTTTTGGCCCAAACGTAGGAAGGCTTATTGTTTACTTGACGTTTCAAAGTCAGGGAATAAAAATGAAATTTTTATTTTATTTTATTTTTTTCCTCTCTCTCTTTTCCACTAAAGCTTCTCTAGTTTTTTTTTTTTTTTACTGTTCAAAACAATGTCTTCCTTGGAAAGACAAGGAGAAGGAAAGACATATATCACTCTACAATATCTGTCGAGACTCGCTTTATGGGTTTATTTTCGAAACATCAAAGTTATCTGCAAAACACCTGTTGCTGCTGAGGGACCACTACTTGTAGCAGCCAACCATTCTAATATGGTCCTAGACCCTATCGTTCTCATCGCTACCTTTCCACACTCAAGGCCCTGCCACTTCTGGGCACTTGCTCGATTCTTTCGTATACCTATCGTGGGCAAGATACTCGAAGCAGCAGGCGTATTACCGGTTGATACCAAGACTCACAGCAACGCTAAACTGTTTGAACACACGCTCCAATCACTCGATAAAGGCGCTGTCGTAGCGCTTTTTCCCGAAGGCACCTCCTATACAGCACCTAATCATCTGCCGTTCAAGGACGGTATCTCCTGGGCTTGTTTTGAATACCTTCAGCAACTTGCATCGAAACAAGAGAAAGAGAGAGACAGTATATCGATCATACCCGTAGGAATCACTTATAGTACAAAAAATAAATGGAGAAGTGAAGTTGTAGTCGAGTACGGAGAGCCTATTATTCAAACGATCGACAATATTGAACAATTTAATCAAGACCCCAAGACAACGGTAAAGAAATTGACAGATCGTATTGCAAAAGGTGTTGAACAAAGTACTATAAATAGTCCAGATTGGGATACAACCCATGCGGCTAAACAAGCGAAATTGATTCTCTTTGGAGATGCACGAGGCGTTAGATTGGAAGATTATGTACAAGTGACGCAGAGGTATTAATAAATGGAAGAACACCTGTGGCATGTATTCATATATTATAATAGTTTTATCAACCTGCTTCATCCTGACAGACTAAAACAAGATGGATGTCTCTATAAAGAAGAGCGAATTGAACTCAAAGAACGACTACTGCTGTTCAATAAAAAGATGGAGCAGATTGGAATCAACGCCATGGATATTCGAATGTATTCCAAACGAGAGATCACGATCAGTATAGCCAGTGTTCGACTACTCACAAAGTGGATCACACTATTTATTCAAATACCCTTATTTTTACCTGGCATGATCATTAATTCCCCTTTTTACCTGCTTGGAAAAATAGTAGATCAGTATGAACCCTATACAGAATCGGTATCCCAAGATAAACTGATCTTTTCAGCCATATTCGCATTCCCTGTGTATGCAGTGTTGGTGTATATATTTGACAGAATAAGTGGATATGGAAAGATGACATGTCTATTATACATTTTACTCTTGTTACCCTTATTCGCTTGGTATCATATGGCCCTTATTGATAAAAACTATGACATGCTGAAGCAAGCCATTGCATCATGGCGCATATTTATTTCAGTTGTATATCCCAAAGATGAATCATTATTAGAAGATTGTTCAAGATTACAGCATTGGTGTAGAGATCACATGAAGCAGTTATTATTAAAGCTATCAGAACATGAAAGTGAAGCCAGCTATTTACTAGAATATGGAAAGCCTTTATTTGAACAATAAAGTCTATCAGTCATTTATTTTAAATGACTTATTGATGATGATGGTATTATTTTCTTCTCGTATATCTTTAAGTTCATTCAGTCTACTCTTTAAATTGTCCACTATGCCCTGACAGAGGTATTGGACTCTGGTTATACTCCATAACTGTTCAAGAGGTAACTCTAATGGACAATGCGTATACAGCCCTGGTTCATGATGCTGTTCTCTTTTTTCTTCATCATGTCTAACGACCGTCTTGATATCAAATGTGTTCCAATCCATTGTCTTGTCTATTTGAATCGAACAGCGTGGCACACTGCGCTTGGGACGCTTATAGTAATAATAATGATCTGCTTTACACAACACTTCAATATAGTCACTGATCTCTTTCAGTATCTGACTGGATGTTGGTATTTCATCAAAATATGGAAACTCAATATGCTTTATCAATTTATATCTCTCTTCTATAGTACTTTCTTCTTCTTCTTCTTTTGTCCTTTTTATAAAGACACATGCTTGTGTACAGTATCCATTCTGTAACTCTTTTTCTTTTCCTTTTAGCAATCCAATACCGTGAAACTCTATGTCATATCCATACCTTTCAGCTCCTTCCGTACACCTGTAAGCATCTTAATATGACTTATTATTCATTGTGTGTATCTAAATTTACCATGCTTTAAACTGTTCTCTAGTCCACTCAAACTTGTGATCTAAATGTCTAAATGATGCTTTATCTGTTCCATAATGAAGGTTGGGGAAATGAACATTGTATTCACAATTTGGTGTGGTGACTATAAGAACCTTGGGTCTGTAGAATCCCAGAGCAACTTGAAAGAATGAATCCAATACGTCTTGGTAAACGTGTTCAATGACCTCACTACAAATGATGGCTTCATAGCCCTTTAATCGCTTGTCTGGTTCTCCGATTGAACCTTGATAAATGTCAATCACCAAAGGATGTAATCTCTTTTGGCTATAGTCAGAGGGCCAAGGAAGACAAGCCTCAGTAGCCTTTTCAAGTTCTTCTTTAGAGATATCTACACCGGCTATTTTTGTAATCTGATTGTTGTCTGAAGGTGTTATTAGGAAAGACAAGATATTGCCTTCTCCACAACCATAATCTATAACCTAAATAAGCTAAATCGCATACACAATGAAAAGAAGAAAGATCACTTACTGATTTAATTTGGAAACGATCAAGAATGGCAACTATAAACGAGCGTCGTTGTCTCCAAAGTGGAGGACAAAACCAAGATTCCATTTTCTCAAGGAATTAAGAAAAAGACAAGTAAATAAAAGAACAATAGACTATTATTCACGTGATAAAGCCTTTAAATCATAATTTCCCTGTTTATTCCTCTCTTTTTTTCTCTCTCTCTCTCTTTTCTCTTCTCTTGTTTCAATGTCGACTCATTCCTTTAAAGAAACTACATTTTCTAAACCAACTTACTGTGACCAATGTCATGGATTACTATGGGGACTTATTAAACAGGGTTCTCAATGTATAGACTGTGGTACTATCTGCCATTTTCAATGCCAAAATAAAGTGATACCTTGTCATAAAGCACCCAACAAGATAGAATCACCAGCTACAAAATCACTTAAATCGCTACAAGAGAAGGATTCACTTTTAAAAACAAAAAATATCGAAAATATCATTGTATCTGCTGCCATTAATGCATCAGATACAACTCAACCTACAAATGAATACTTGGCCAATTTACCTCCATTGAATCCACAGAATACAGCAAAGAACTTTTCTCGATTCGTATCAAGATGTGGACCCATGTTCACTTTTAGAGATAATGTTATATTATTGCTAAGCTGGGATAAACCAATGGATACTTTGGCTGCATTATTTATCTATTGTTTATTATGTAACATCTGATCATATACAAAAAAGCATAACTCTCACTCAGGGACATATATAGGTCTTTATCCAAAATTGCTATTACTCATACCACATGTCATCTTTTTAAATATACTCGTCACTGGTTATAACAAACGATATCAACAACAACAACAACAACAACAGAATGCAAAACGATTTGGACACTTCTTTCCAGCATTTGATGAGTCTTCTCCTGAGTACTTGCGCAATATGCAAAATTTACAAAACATGATGGGAGAGATGAGCGATATCTATGATCTGATTGCCTCTAATGCGCATCATGTCGATTGGTCTTCAGAAGGAAAAACGATGCGTATCTTTCAAGCCACCTTGGTTTCATTCACTATCCTCATCTTTACTATCTGGCTTGTTCCCTTAAACATACTCTGTTTAATTGCTGGTGTCTCTGTTTTTACCTTGAACACTCGGTTTGCGAAATATCTCATAAAGGAACTCATGCCCCAGTTGGTCGAATTGAGCCAATCACGTCTTAATCATGCACTTGAATGGTATCTACAGCTGGAGAAACGGTTGGATGATCAGACCAATGTACAAGAAATGTCACTTTATGAAAATCAGCGCTGGTGGCCTGATAGTGGTTTTATCCCTCATGTAAGTATATAACCCTCGAGGCCCTATTTTCCCTTATTGTTTTGGTATATAGACATTGCCAGATGAACGTGGTTTATGGTCGGATTATTCAGGCACCATTGAATACGGTCCAAAAGAAGAATTACCTGCTCCTAAAGGATATCATTGGATAGAAGATAATTGGAAACTAGATGAAACAGGACCTTGGATAGATGAACAACTCGGCCTTGGTAAGTATTTTTCTTGATCATCTCTCACAGTTTTAACAAGTCTTCTTTTTTTTTGCTTTTGCTTAGAAGTTCTCGTTACACCTGATAATGGAGGATGGGTTTATACAGACAATAACTGGAAGAATCCAAGAACCCCCAACAGCAATAATAATAAACAGTCAGAACAAGGCGTAACAAGACGACGACGATGGGTACGAAAGTGTGAATGCAATTTGAAAAAGGAACAATAAAGAAAAAAGTGTTTAATCTTGCATATCAGGTGATTCACCAAAATACTGATCAACGAGTCTATTTGCAAATACAAATAGCTCTTGATCGGGTGCAGGCGTAACAGCTGCTAGTGCCTCCATACATTCAGGAACAGCATCTATTGCTTCCTTACCCTATATGAACCATTGTTATAATGTATGTGTGCGTATACATGTGTCTGTATATTTACTTTTGCAGACTGTGTTAATAGTAGTTCGATATAGCCCAAGGCGAGTCTAATCATTTCTGCTTCTTGAGATCTTAAGAGGTCGAGAAAAGAAGGTAGTAGTCGCTTATGGCAAAGTTGATCCAAATGTTCTGGTCCGTGATTAGCTATGTTCATGATACAGTAAGCAGCCTATCAGATGTATTTAGTATGTCTATAGTGTGTATGTATATATATGTATATTACTCCTTTGCGAATATCAAAAGCACCGCGTGTCAGGAGTTCTGATAGACTGTCAATCGCATGTAATTCCTCTACTTGCTCAATTATGTATCGATTATCTCTAAACATATATAAAAATGTCCACTTTAGCAAATTAAAAACACACATTTTTAAGACCTCTTACGTAGACGTGATATTGGACAGTACCCAAAGAGCCTCCTTCTTTACAATCCTATATAAAAAGATGAGTCACCATTTGATGCAGTGCTATTTAAACTACCTTTCTTCAGAATTCACAAGCTTGATTACGGTTGATAGCAATCCAGGTTGATCAGCCAAGACTTTCAGATTATCGTCTGACCCACACAGATTACCCAATGTGCGCAGTACAGGAAGCACAAGCGAGCCTTGCTCAGACAATGAGACAAGCACGTTAACCAATGGTGCAGCAAGCCCCTTGCTCATGACTTGTTGACGACACTTTTCACTACCAGCAGTTAGATAGCTTATAGTCCAGCATATCTCTGTGATTGTATCATTATCATCACTCAAGTGCTTTTCTAGTTTGTCGATCAGTCCCACATTCAAGAATTCTTCGAGCTCTTTTTCCTCTCCACGAGCAAGATTAGCCAAGGCAAAACAGGCAGATTGAATCAGACGGACATCGTTCGTATCGAGCATGCGGGTCAAAGGCTTGATGGCGCCATTATTACGAATCATGGCTCTTATTTTGTCGTCCTCATCATTCATGTCGCCTAGATCCTCTGCTGCCATATTACCCAATGCACCTGCGGCAATTTCACGAAGGTTCTGTTATAATTTGATTAGGGCCCTTATGTTCATTGCTTTTGATGCAATTTTACCATATTATCAGAATCCAAAAGAGAGATAAGGTAAGGCACTGCCAATGTCGATTTTTTCCAAAGTTCGTAGGGCCCAGCAGCAATATCTAGGGAAATATGACATCAGCTATCTATCATGCTTTTTTTTTTTTTGTTTTGTTTTACTTGAGATGGTTTGCGTTGCTTCTATTTGTTCTTCAAGGTTTGGGCCTGATATCATTTGCTATCCTTTGTTTTAGACAAAACAACGTTTGGGAAGAATCACTTACAGTCAATGCCAAGATACAATCCCCTTCAGTTATATATTTGATCAAAGCCTCTGCAGGCTCCAATACGAATCTTCCAATATACTGAGCTGCTTCTATCCTAGTAGATGCATCACTGCTTCTTAAATCATTAGCAAGTGCCTGTACTTGTCCTGGTGTCAATCGGTAATAGGGACTTATTTCGTCTACATGGATTCAAAAGGGTTAAAGAACGGGTATGAGCAAGAGGTGCTTTCTACCGTCATGCTCACTTGTTTTCTCCAACTCTGGTTCATCTTCACCAGCGCTTTCATACTCTTCACGCCTGGTTAGGTTACGAAAACGTTTTGCTGTAATCAGCTGCTCTCTGTGTTTTTTCCTTAAAGCTTCGTCAATCGCCATTCTTCTTTTCATCAGTTCCTCAGGTTTTCTTGATATACTTGTACGCTTATACAAAGCTCGATGCTCTGCTTCTGAATTTCTTCTCTGTCTGTTCATTACTGGAATTAATAAAAAAACAAACAAAAAAAAGAGTGGGAAATAATTTCCTTTTTTTTTGCATGAAAGGATTAAATTTTATGCATTTAATAACTGGTCACTAATCCCCTCCTCTTCTATTTAGGACATAACCATGGTTTCATAAAAGAGAGTATTTATTATGATCATAATTAAAATGTGTATGTAATGAATATAACAAAAAGGTTATTCAATTGACGATGAAACGAGAATATGCAACATTTAAAACATTGACGTAGTTTCAAACACACTGCATTTTACCACTGTTTCTCTTTCTATTAAAAATTAGTATCATCCTTTTGTAATGTTAAGTATGCATCAATGCCTACGCTATCTTATTAAATGCATGAAAACAAAAAGTTTATGATGAACGCATATATTTTAATTAAAAACTAGATTTCATAATCCTTCTTTAGAACGTTAGTTAACGCGAATCATAATCTTTTTGTCAAGAGTCGTTACATCTTTTTTGACTTTTGAAATTAACATTATTATGTTGCTTATCAAGGAGAAAAATAGTTGTATTGGCCCACAATATTGCCTATAATGTGTGAATGTCAAAAAGACGAACTCAGGTCCCTTTCCCATGAGCTCAGCTAAGGTGATCTCGCTTTACATGGCAATAATTGCA